CTACCGGTCTTTACAAATATGGAATTTCTAGTGTGTGTGTGTATTGAGCGAAAGGATCAAGAATATTGTCAAAATATTTTCCCTCGGTTTGGCATAGCATGCTGGATAAACCCGATGAAAATAAAAATGTAAATCCAATAAGAAAATCCATCATGTTTACCGTCTCAGGTTTCTTGGCGATTTCTCAGGCTATGTGCTCGTGAACAGGACCGGCGTATCTGTATATACAGTGACCGGTCTCAGCCTACGCAACCGTTACGTTTACATCCTGTCGATCATTCCCGGTCTGGGCATGTGCATGTGTGCTGTATTGGGGTTAATCTCTGTTTGTGTAATTCTACCCGTGCATTTCTTGCCAACCGGCATCAAACTGGATTTGTCCTGATTTTGGGCCCCCATCATCTGCCTTTAATGCCAACCGGCACATGTATTTGCACAGCGCTCAACAACCAAATTCATCATAATGATAATATTGTCTCCTGCAATCCTTGGTGCTCTTGAGAAATCCTCCACTAAATCCCCGTCAAACATTTTCTTCCATGTTGTGCGTCTGCATTATGTGCTAAATTCGTCTATAGAAAACTAAATCGATAAATAATTTAAAAGCAAATTCCGTCTTACACATAAACGCTCCAATACTGGAACCACTAGAATAATTTAAAATTAAATCTCTGATAAACAGAAAATCGAAAAATAATTTAGAAGAAAATTCGTCGCTTCGTTTAGAAGAAAATTCGTTTATAAACGCTTTAAAATTTAAGTACCAGCCTAATTTTTAATGGTTGTGTACATTCGTAAAACGATGTACATCAAAAATATTATGAGTAATACGAGCGTATTACTCAAAAAAAATATATAAAAATATATATATTCAATATCAATATCAATATCAATATCTCGTATTCAATATCTAAAAAGGGAAATAAATAAAATAAATGCATTAATTCAAATTATCGATGAAATACATTAATAATTTAATATCTCTTAAGAGATATTTTAGCCGCCTAATTTGTCTACGGAAATATGAAGTATAATTGCTATGCCGATCATGTTACATTGGCCGATCGGTGTGATTATTTGCCGTCATAATGGTAGCTAATTAAACAATGTACAACACGCCAGCAGCTGTATAATATCGGATGCCTTCGATATATATAACGGCGCGGATGATTGATTGTTTAAAAATCTGCCCGCTATCGGCCATATACGACGCAAATGGAATGGGGCACGCAGATGTTGCAGGTTGTGTCCGCACTGTCCTGTCCGGCCCGGGGACGGCAGTTTGGGAGATTAATGACCGGCATTTTGGATGGGAATAATTTGTGGATAATTTCCACGCCGGCGCTGTGCCCATTGTGATGCTGCACATGTCAGAAAGTTGACAGTTTATTACGTGCCCATTGTTATTATCGGCTGTCTGGCATGTTTGGCAGGTTGTGTCTCCACTTTTCAATAAAGTCACTCTTTTGCCACAATACAAAGTAATAGTGTTAAGCACGCAAATATTCCGTACTAATGTTTCCTAAATTATTCCGTTGGTAATAGCAAATTTTAAACGGCAAATAATTTTAATAAAAACAAAAAAGATTTGCGCGTCCTAAATACGCTTTAAAAATATAAAAAAATAAATATGTATATAATAAATAAACATATCAACAAATACATGGTAAATATATTTATACCCAAAAATAAAATTATATCCAAATATATTCAGATATATTTTTGACTTTAAAATTTCCTTTAAAATATATATTATGTTTTAAATAAATAAATGTAATAAATATATGTAACTAAATACCACAATAAATAAGCATGTATTAAAATTTTAGTATATTAGAACTATATTTAAATACAATTTAATGTTCTGTAGCTGCCATATTTTTTCCCTTTTTTTCAATAAATATTCTTGCCTAAAGAAATTTTAAAAACCCACTTCAAAGTGTTTATTGGTCGTCGAAAACCTAGATGGTGGAAAAAGTAGGGCAGTAGTTGATTTTTGCATGTTACTTCGTGGTGTTTGTGCTATGCCTGTGTTGGCAGTGAGGGAAGTATTTGGCGTCTAATCGATAGGATGAGCGGGGATAATTGGGTAGTTTTAAAGGAAAGAATCGCTTCCGATTCGGGCATGATATGAATTGTCCGTTTGGAAAGTTGTTACTATCCTGCGCGCATTGAGGCATTACGCGGGCTGACGTTCAGGAGGGACATTTGCCGATTCAACAGCTTCCTGTTTAGATCCATCCGATATATATACAATATACTCGTATATACGTGTATATATGGGCGCGCCAGTGTCCATTCAGCGCCGGTTGGAACTTTGAAAGCCCTTTCTAAATGCTAACAACAATCATTTCCCCGGCTATTCCATATTCATACGGGTAATTCGCGCATTCCTAATCTTTCATCCCACGTGTCACTGGGGAATTTTCGCACTATATTTCCCCATTATGCGGCTGGGCGGCTATTCAATTTTAAAAGGGCTGACGCATTTTAAAATTCTGGCGGATTAAAATTCGCGATGAACGATAAATATCAATTTTATTTTCTCCTTATATTTTCCAGAATTTCCCTTTCTAGGGTATAAAACACGATAGAATAATACGTATTTTTTAAAGATTACAATTAAAAATAATATATAAATTATTAATACGAAAGAAAAAGGTTTATATTAAAAAGTTTATATATATATATATATATTTTATAGTCCTATAATCCTATTTATATTAAAAATCCTCGCAAAATTATTTAGTATTTGATTAAACGTAATTTTAATCTGTATTTTCGAGAAATTCGCAGAAACACAGTATCGAAAAAATTCCGCTGAATAGCGAGTTAATTATTAAACTCCACGGAGCCGTGTACATTGATAGCGCATTAATCCTGGCGCGAGAGTAAGAATTAATTAATTGGGCATTGACGATTAAATGGGAAATCCATTTAGCCGTTGTAACGATAAACAGCATCGCGATCGCGTATATAAGTATATATGTATAAGAACAATTACGGGTGCGGGAGACAAAGGATGTAGATGAGTCGGCCTGATTAGCTGCGCTTCCATAACAGATGCCGATCGGTTAGTTGAGGACAATGGCTGCGTTCCTTTCAGGCCAACTGATGCAGCTGATTCCCGTCGTCATCAATGGCGGGCGCTGTTCTCGCCGCGCCAGAAACAACACATTCCTTTCTTAATCAATGGCCATATAAATATTTTTCACTGAGAAAAATCCAAATAAAAATGGTACAAAATTTATGCTGCTTTATTTCCATTTTTCCGCGCTTATAAAAATATTCCGCCTAATTATTTGCTGTATCTGTATTTTAACCTAATTTACTCCTGTCAAATTTCTGACGGCATTCTTCAAATTATTCCACAAATATAAAAAAACGATTTGTTGTTTATTAAAAACAAATATGTTTAATAAATATTAAATCCCGAAAAATTCAGATTGTAGAAGAACAACTTAACAAATATAAAAAAAACATGATAGCAATTTTTGACTACCAAAAATTTTTTGGTGGACGAGTAAATGATAATTTTTTAATGGAAACTTTCTTGGTAAAAATCATAAAATATTGCGGATAAATTAAAGGCGTATTAAGATGGTAAAATAAATTGTGCAGAGGATTTTGGCGCATAATCTCCTTACAGTGTCGTAACGCGCTTTTCCCATCTCGGTAATTGTGTTACCGAGCTTTGGCCGGCGGCGTGTTGTAGCTGTATCTGACGTCGCGATCCTATATATCCCCGTGCCCGGCGATCGACTTGGCAATTACCCACGCACGGCATGTGTCCGTCCCCCTTTTGAGCGCACGGCGGCCTCCCAGTGGCGGACGTGTATGGGGCACTTTTTAGCCGGATGAGAAATCATCCCATTGTCATGCAAAATATCGCAGCTGAGCATCAAGAGGTCACTCCGCAAAGCCGTGACGCAGGCCGTATGGGTATTATGCCAGTGCTTTGTCAGCGCCAGCAGCGGGATGCGCACCAACTGTTTGTTCGGGAGGGGCCGGGGCTCTTTAATTTTAATGTCCATTGGCGCATAGAAAAGACCGCGCAGTGGACTTAATGACTGAGAATCAAAAATGACCACTGACCGTTGTTATGGTTGCGTCCTGCCGGTTGGATATAAAATATACCGCTCGTAAATGGTTATTTCTAGTATTTTAAATTTTCCACCGACGGAGGCAGGAAATTCGCTCGAGATACCAAAGTACTTAAAATTCACTGACCTGTAGAAATTTTATTTTATTGCTGTTTGAATTTGAATTTGAAAAGTTATTCACAGGAAAAAACTATTTTTTTTTCGCGTCAGCAGCAATTAAAATTTTGCGATATACGTAAATTATAATTTTGATGGCAGAAACATCAGAAGAAATCTGCCAACGTGAAAAATTATTAGAAATTTAAAAAACAAATTACAAAGTATCAGGATTTATAAGAAAAACGTTAAAAAATCTATTTGTAGGAAGGAAACAGAAGGAAATTTAATGCTGTACTCTTTGAAGGAATTTTGCAGAATTTTGTTCGGAAATAAACTGCCTTTCGGTTGTCGTTGTGGCAGCCGCCCGCAGGGCCTGTTTATTTAATCTAAATCATGTGTAAGAAATAACGACCGGAAGCTGCATTTTTTCGGTTTACTTAAGAAAGTAAAACCAAGAAAAGCGTGAAAAGGGCGAAAAGCGGGTGTAATCAGGATGCGTATAAACACAGCCGCTCGTAAATGACCCATCTTGACGAGATCGACCATCGTCGCCAATGACCGCAATTTCCCCGGCCATAAACGCTCTAACATTACCGGTGGTATGAATTATTAATAGCGTCATTAGCATGTCATCCGATCCGTTAAGTGCTGGCACTGGCCACTCCAACCATTCCGCACTCCACATTTTCTGTATAAATATATAGATAAACCCGGCAATTCTCACCTTTCCACTTGAACACGCTGAACTCCTCGTCAAGCCACAAAATAATTTTTATAAAATATTGTTCATTTTTTCAGGTGACGCCGGGAATTTTATCCGGACGCCGCAGAGCCAGATCGTCGGCCTGGCCAACAAGGATGCCATATTGCGCTGTGATTTCGCCTACCCGGGCGGTCGGCCGGTGTCGCACATTATCGAATGGTCGAAACGCGGTCAAGATGTGCCGATCTTTATCCTGTACCAGGGCTACCCGCCCCACGTCGGCAGTGGCTATGCCGGGCGGCTGGCGCTGGCGGCCGAGGGCGGGGAGAAGGCGTCACTGCTGGTGCGCAATGTCCAGCGGGAGGACGAGGGATGGTACGAGTGTAAAGGTAAGGGAGAGCCGGAAAAAATGCCGGTTTCGCCATCGGATTAAATAAATATTTCCCGTAATAATTTTTTTTTAAATTGCATTGAAATTGGAATATATTAAATTTTTATAAATTTATTTGCAGTGCAATTGCTCAACCGGCCACCGGAAACGCCGAAGAACGGAAGCTGGGTGTACCTTGTTGTACACGGTAAGCTACAAGTTTTCCCTTCATTTTTCATGTATTAATTGCTAACTGCTATTGACAGATTAACTGCTAATTTTGTTAGCTTTGAAATAAAAATTAAATAAACGGTCAAATTAATTTTTATACCAGATTTGCAACACTAAACCTTAGAGTGCTGAACACTGCTGATCTTCAATAAAAATTATTCCAATGGAAGTCCACGATTTCCTTAATTATGAGCTTCGAAGGTCTGTTATTGTAATGTTGGCGGAAATATTCAACTGCAGAAACGATTTGGCTGAAAAATAATTTTGTAATATTGATTTTCTTTTAACGGATCGACGAAATTTTAGGTGGTAATATTTCCCTGTAATTTAATATTTTATTATAAAAATCACGCATGTTTTCGCCGAGCGTCCAAAATACAAGCCATGACGAAGCAGGCAGTCGCGGCAAAATCATTAATATTTTGACTGCCGGCCCGGCACAATAGCCATCCCGACCGGCCACATCCGAAACAATCACTTAATCAGCGGAAAAGCTAACATCCGCCAGTGTCCCCGCAGCAGGCCGCCCGCTTGCGGCCACTGCTGTCCCCCTATAAACTGCTACACAACCAATTCGACCCCCACGAAACTATTAATGATTTGACCAGCGGCCAGCCCCGACCTTGCTGCCGGGCAGTGTATACACTGTACACTGTACACACAGGCATCATTTTCTGGCAAACATCAGCACACTTAACCCCGCTTCCACACAGACATTCTCAGTGTATGCGCGGGAATGGGGGCCACTTGGCGACCGGCTTCTTCAAGCCGCACAGCACAAGTGTCGCCGTTCAAGGATTCTTCGATGGTTTCTTAATAACCCTGCACTCATTCGTACAGTACTTTCATCGGGTCATTCAGCTGCATTAGCCGGAATCATTGAGCCCCATTCGGGGTGGACTTGTTCTAACTGACTGTAGGATACTTCACGGGTAGCGCTTTAATAGTGTACAACGGAATGTGGGCGTTGGCGCGGGAATTTCTGCTTTTCCACAATATAAAATTTTCTTTATTTGCAGCGCCACCGAAAATCACCGTTGCTCCGCCGGCGGAGATCTACGTCAAGCAGAACGACGAAGTAACCTTTAACTGTGATGCAACCGGCACGCCAAAGCCCAAAATAACCTGGATGAAGGTCCGTAAAAATCTTTTTGAATTTTTTTAAAAATTAATTTCATTCAAATATTTTCTTACGTGCGCTGTTAATGTTAATATAAAACGATGATCTTTCTGCAAAGAAGTTTCTTTATTAAATCTTTTAATAAGTTTATTCCACTCAAACGATTTTTTTTATTTCTAAATGATGACCTTTTATTATAAGTATGTTGTGCAGTTTTATATATAGAGAAATTCAAACTGTGAGTAGAAAATTGACATAACGTTTTGTATGAAGAACGATAAGGATCGTAAGCGCTGTTTTGATGATGATGGGTGCGATTGGGTGATTTGTTTATCGGTGCATTCCTGCTGCGCGGAGAATTCAATTGTGAACCGGTTCCTGTCCACTATCCAGTGTATAACACGGTGATGTTGTTGTAGGATGGGGAAGCAATGCAATTAACGGCCAAGATCCTGCTAACCGATAGCGCTTTGACACTGCGCTCCACCGGTCCGGCCGACGTGGGCACTTACGAGTGTGTGGCCAAGAACAGCGAGGGCCGCTCCAGCCGCGCCAGCAAATTGATCATCGCCTGTACGTTCGTATTTTCAGAATCCGAGTGTTCGAGCAAACTGGTTGACGACGCTGCGGCGCTGCTTGCGTAATGGGTTTGTTTTCTCCAATCCGAGATGACAGACCTGTCAGATCGGGGCGCGGGATGCATACGTTAAACGGCGCTAAATGAAAACACCGGCAAACTGTCGGCCCCTGCCAATTTTCCACTTCGGACAGCTAGTATTACTATCCAAAAACACTGTTCTTGTGTAATAGTATTAAAAACCGATTTTGCAATAGTTAATTGTCACAAAAATGTCATGGAAACTGAAGCATATGTAATTAAATTGCTTTTCGTTTGAACAGCGGTTTGGGCGTATTACGTGCCTCGCACTACTTTATTTTGTGTGTAAAATTATTAGTGTCAACTGTGAACCTAGATAAACGAGTATTTCGACGTTTTGGTAATTATTTAGCTGAAACAAGTTAAGAATATCGACCGCGCACATTTTCCTATGCGAAGAAAAACTGCAGCTGTCGGAAACTGACAAAACCATCATTCTACCGAAACAAGCCGGTATTTTATTTTGAACGCTTCTGTTTTCAGCGGGAGCGGTGATTCTCCGGCCACCGGAGAACATGACCTACCTGGAAGGGGAACGCGCCAACCTGCACTGTAAAGCGGAAGGCAAACCCAACAACCTCACCTTCCACTGGCTCTTCAGCGACGCGCCCATCGAGCCCAGCTACTACACGGAGCTGTCGTCGCGGGTGGTCGTGCAGACGGACGGGACGCTGATCATCAATCCCACCAGTAAGACCGACACCGGCAAGTACACCTGCCGCGTCACCAACGGGATCGAGGAGACACCGCAGGCCAGCGCCTGGCTCAGTATCGAATGTACGTAAAACGGTGGCGTGGCTGACAAGATCATGTCGACACACACTTGGCCACGGGTTGAAAATAATTTCTAGGAAGATTCCTCATTATTTATAATCTTCTGACCGTAAGCTCGCCATGTCGGTGTGGTAGAAAAAGTTCAACAATTGCAGCGGCTTTCCCCACTTTCATCTGTGAGAAGCGCGTTTAAAACTTTTTTTTGGTATACGTACAGAGTTTGCTGCTGTTTTGCAGTGGGATGCATTGCAATTCATGCATATTCATACAAATCGACGAAACATTTTTCTTTAACGGTAAAAATCGGAAGCCAAAATTTTCATTGCAGTAAATTCCGTTTTGTCAAGCACATAGGGTTAAAGTGGTCATCGAGAGTGGCTGTCAACTGGAATATTCACGACCATCTCGTCTGTGGGTAAATGACGCTTTACGTTGGTTTCTTGTAGTAAACAATTCGCAGCACATTTTAAATACAGAAAAAGCGGCAAAAATCAGTCTGCATCCCAGTCGAACCAAGTGCAAAATTGCTACAAAGTATTTATTTCAGCTCATGTATATATGCGCGATGTTGGGCCAGTACCTCTTGAAGCCAGTTCACTACGAAATAACGCACTCTTCAGTGAGTTTAATACTGTGCAGAAGTCATTAATGCTGCACAAGGTTGAGAAAATGCGGCTTTAATTTATTCCTGATGCAATCAGGTTATACAAAGTTCTTTACAGATATGTTATATTATTCAGGCAACATTGCTAAAATGGTAAAACTAATAATAAAACTATTAAACGAGCGAATGCAGAAGAAGCGTGCACAAATTTACAAGAGATTGTTATTACAGATCCAGCCCGGATCACCTACAATCCAACACTGCAGTACCTTCCTTTGAACCTCTCCGGCATGATCCGCTGCTTTGTGGAAGCCAATCCGCCCGTACAGTTTGTGCAGTGGACCAAGGATAATCGCGTTCTGGACATCAAAGCCCTGGTAAGCGCGTCTGTCATTCGCACCGGCCTCATTCAAGGGCGACATAATCCTATTATCGTACAGAGTTTGGGTGCTAAACTGTTGTGTTTATAGCCGGCCGTCACCAGCTTGTCCAACGGATCGCTCTTCATCGAGAAGGTGACCATGGACCATCAGGGCATCTACACCTGCACTCCTTATAATACCCACGGCACAGGTGGCGCCAGCATCGAAATGAACATCCTCGTCGAAGGTATGTAATAAACAGAACTCTTATAAAAATAAACGAATTTTGAAATAAAATTGATAAATTGCTATAGTAAAAAATTGTACATTGAATCCTAAAACAACGCGAATAACGGTGACCTTTGTTAATAAGAAATAAATACAATAAAATTATTAATGGGCTAAGTACACAATTAAAAGATTAATCAAAAGCAAAATACTATATTGTTTATCGTCTAATCAAAAGCCAATGGCTATTTCTACATTTTGTGCGCTGATTAATGTGTGTTAAAATGAATGAATTTTAAAAGTATCTGTAACTGCACTACATGGAGTAATTCGTACTTAATGTTGTTTTTTTTTTTAATTTTATAAAAGCGATAATATTAAACATTTCAAATCTTCATAATTTGTATTTTTAGTTGTATAAAGCTAATTTTTGTGAAGCCGAATAAAGATCTGATAAAAGTATTCGTGTTGCAGAACCTCCGGCCTTCGCGATTATCCCCAAGCCCTTCTACCAAGGCGAACAGAAAGGCACCGTCACCATGCTGTGCGCCGCCAAGGAGATCGCCGGCCGCCCCAGACCCCGTCTGTACTGGCGGCGTGCCGACAGCGCCCCCCTCCCTACGGACCGCACCAGCACCCACGCCGGCAGCCTGACCATCTTCAACCTGAAGAAATCCGACCACGGCGCCTACCACTGCGTCCTGGAGAACGACGTGGCCACCCTGATGGCCAGTAGTTCCCTGATCATCGAGAGCACCACGCCCCATGCCCCGACGAATCTCACCGTGGACCCCGGACCGTTCAGCGCCGACATCAGATGGCAGCCGGCGTATAGTGGCGGCTTCCAGCAGCACTACGTTATATGGTACCGGCAGTTCGGGTCCAGTAGCCGGCAGTGGCGGACGTTGCGGGTGCGGCCGGATGACGCCACGTCGTTTTCGGTGTATAACCTGAGTCCGGGGACCATGTACGAGTTCCAGGTGCTTTCCCGCAACCAGCTGGGGGATGGTCTGTTCAGTGACCCCATCGTGGTGCGGACTATGGGTAAGGGCGCGTTTGTACTGTAGTTCGTTCTGCAACGATTCGGAAATTTCACCGCTTCCGCATTTCTGAACTTTAGCTTCGAATTATCTGCTTAATATATTTAGTATCAATACTAAAGAACGTAGTTGAATTCTTTACCAATAATAATTACTATTTAGTGAGTATTTACATAATATTATTATATTGAGGGGCGCATGAAAGATAGTGCAGATCATGAAATGATGGGTGTACAGATTACCGTATCTGGACTTAAAAATGCCGTAATAAACAAAAAATAACCATAAATGCCCTCTAATGTTTATGCTAACACTAGGTAATCTTGGCACTTTAAAGTTAAATAAATATACACTTTTTTTGCATTTTTTGGCATAGTCAACCGATTTTACACAACCAGCAAGCGCTGGAATACTGTTTGACAGTTAAAAGAATAAACATTAAAAACACCCGAAGTATCTCTGTCTTTTCTCGGGTTAAAGAAATAACGTACTCCAAACAGCCGTAGCGTTGTTAACGAACGAAGGATATCCTTTGTCCGGGTGCGGCGGCGGCACGCTTAACTTATTTACAGTACATAAATTATTCATGAGCTCACAGATGCGGTCATTAATACAGTAATTTTGGTTTTGCATTTCACATCCAAACGCTTGCGCAAATTTACACTAATTTATGTTATTAAATTTTAAAAGAAAACTGGCCGTGGAATAAATTAATTAATTAATAGTATTTATCAAAAATTACGACGACAAGAATTCCTTTTTTCAATAGCTCAGTCGGTTCAATTGTTGAATTTTTATGCGCGCTCTCGAACGTTAGTTTTTGTCTAATATGTATACTGTACTTACAGTTCTAAACCGTCGAATAAACTTCGACAGTTACCGTAGTGCAGCGGCATAAAGAGACACCGTCCACTAACAAATGAATTTATATATAATAAGAAATAGTATGATTTTCTTTTGAAGCTGTTTTGTTTTGATTTGTACGAAATAATTTAACAATAAGCTTCATGGCGCGTTTCAATTCCGGTTGGCAGATATTGACTCGTACGCCACGGTCTTTCCCACGGACGCCAGCGGCTCCACTTACGTCCCGTCGATCGTCAAGCCGTCGGGCGCCCGTCCCGGCTCCCCGCAGAACGTGCACATCCACCCCGACACGTCGGGCCGCGGGGTGCGCGTGGTGTGGGAGCCGCCGCACAACACCTCGGTGCCGGTGATGTACTACATGCTGGAGTACCGCAAGCAGGGCGAGCAGTGGGGCCGCTCCAGCGACCCCATCGCCGAGGGCCGCACCTGGCACCACGCCAAGGACATAATACCGGGATCGCCCTACGAGTTCCGGGTCTACGCTTTCACGCTGACTTCCTTCAGTGAACCCAGTGACATACAGAGTTTTACTTTAAAACGTACGTGTGCACCGGCATCGTTTAGTGGTCATATAAACCGTAATCCGCAACGCACATAAGAAAGCATAAGAAAACATAAGAAAACACAAGAAAAAGACAGTTCTAAATTTAACTGTTGGTTTGTGACAAATCCATTTTCGCGGTCAGTATGAGTGATAAGTGACCTTTCGGTTTGCAGATGAATTTAGCGGAAATATGAGCTCGACCATCGCCATAACGGCGGGGATCGTGGGGGGCGTGGCGTTTTTCGTATTGTCCATTGTGATAATTTTATGCTGCATCAGATGTTTTAAGCGCAAGCAGAGCAAAGCTCGTTATGGTAAGCCGCTTGTTAGTGACTTATTACTGCTGCCTCAAATTAAAACCGGCAGTTTACCAATAATTTTTTACCGGCGTTACAGAAGCCAACGGCCACCGTAGCAATAGTCCGGTTCCGTTAAAGCGTGGGTAAGCCTTCCCTGTCCTGTCTATTTCCTTTTCGGGTCATCTCATTCATTGCTGTTTTAATTTCTTATATTTCTCTTTTTCTGCTGCGTTCTCAGGAAGCGATCACAAGGTGACGGGCTGATTTTTTTAATATGAGCAATTACAGGTGATTTATGTTTTTATGGTGTTAGCAGAGCTGATAGATTCGAAGCGTGGCGAATATTACGCAGCATGAAATCGCTGCGCGCCACCTGCCAGCAGCTGCTCCTCCCGCGTGGTACCACCCCCTCGCCCTGGCCCCTGGACGACTACGGTGACATCTACGCCAGCCCCGACACCGTCCTACCGCCGCGGAAACCCCTGCACAAACGCAGCTACTCCGTGCAGATCCAGTACACCGAACCAATACACCCCAAGCCCGGCAGCGCCCTGAGCGGCACCAGCAGCGACTGCATGACCATCCGCCCCTGTATACGCGCCCTGCGTCTCCCTCCCGGAACAGCAGCGCCTGGTCGCCGTCCTCCGGCATCCCGAACCCTATCCCCACGTCCTGGATGACCTCCACCGGAAGGGCCTCCTGGAGGACCCCGGCGGGGACTACGACCGCGACCAGCTGCACGAGACCATCCAGCGCCTGCGCTCGCGCTCCCAGGAGCACCTGGACGGGGATATCTGCGCCGACTCGGGCGTGGCGCTGACCATGACCTCGCAGAACGCCACCGACCAGTCGCCGTCGGGCTCGGCGTCGGGGTTCAGCGGGGTCTCCACCCCACCGCCGCCCCTTGGGGATAAAACGGCCGCGTGGCGCCGCTCTCGTTCCGCGCACCTGGAGCCGCCGCCCGTGGGGGTTGGGGTGCCGGTGGAGACGCGGTGTCAGGCGTTGATGGAGGAGTTCCGCGAGTATAAGCGGCGCCGCATGCGTGAGGAGATCGAGGCGGTGCGGGGACGGCCGACGGTGCCGGCGCTGCGGGACGCCGGACGACGCCCGTTGGAAAGCGAATGTTGAATAGATTTGTTGAAAAATAAAATACGGCTCAGACTTTTCTCAGCGGTTGCGGTGCGTGGGAAAGTGCCGCTGGGCTAAACGAAGATTGATGCATTTACGTCACTGCGCCTTAGCTGCTCTCGTCGGATTTGTACAGTTTCTACGTGAAAACGAAGAATTTTATGATAAATATTGTTGTGCGCTGTGGAGTTAATAAGGTAGTAAATATAAATAAAATTCGCGACGATGACGTTGTTTTACGTCCTCAGTAAATTGCTGCAAAATGCCAAGTGGGTTTCTTCCCATGCGTACTCCCGACGAAGTCAACGAGAAGACAATGTGCAATGAAGTAGAAGACAGTAAACTACAATAAACTCTTTGTAAGTAGAAGACAGTATAATTGAAAATTTCCTTAATCGTCCGAGAGTGACGCAAATTTAATCAGGAACATCCGCTACACTTTAATCAGCAGGAGAAAATCAAACGCGTGCTTTTCATGTTGACACGGTGATCAATCAGGGGTGACCGATGTACGTGACGCGATGACGAACATTATTAACGGCTACAGATTTGTACGTATAGCTCACACAGAGACTGCTGCCGGGTGCATTATTGGCTGTGTAGGAGGTTTCCCAACGGTTAGTTATACGGCACATTCGTACCAAGTTTCTCCCTAATTTCCGCTGTGCCGGTATCGATACAACTAGTAAGATACCTCGTAATTTGATTTGCAATGTGAACCATTCCTACTATCATGTGTTGGTATTTGTGCTGTTAAGTTTTTTAAGACGCACATAGGCAGAACTATTACTGTAAGGAGTCTTGTAATAAGAAAAAAGTTAGTGCGAATTTTGCCTGGGTTTTGTTTGCAAGCTTGTCCGATAATTAATTCTAAGGTAACAACGCAAATCAGCGAATGGTTTGTGCTAATAACGATTGCCCTTACACTACGTACGTCTATCACAAACGCAAATTTACTCCTTGCACTATTACAACGTTAATATAAAGGAGAAAGGTTATTACTTTTTAATTTATATGGATAGTTTATAATTTACATAGGCATTTGACATGCATCAGCCATGGGAAATACATGTAGAACGTAAACAATGTGGCGTGGCGTGCCGTAGTTTGGCATAACCGTAGGGAGTTTGGCATAACCGGTGAATTTGTATTTGTCGCTGTGTTGATGCGTTAGAAATTACAGATACTGTGCATTTTAAATGTGCAACGTCTTCAGTTTATAAATAAATAAATTTTATAACAAGGGGTGCATTTAGTTTGCAATAAATCCACGTGAACGGATGAGCAAGCGCAGTTAATTGTTGATCAATCCGCAATTATCCCAGCACCAACCGGAATATATTTTGGGAACGGGATCGTGACACCGGAATCAGCGATTGCATGTACCATACGCAGGAACACCAATCGGCCGTACATTTTCCCAGTATCGCTTTTTAAGATATAGGTACAGCATTTTCCACGGATCCCCCATCACCTGGTTAGTGGCCTTCTTAAAAAATTAATTCAGCTCAAAATCCGCTTAGCCACAAATTAGGGAATTGCTGTTATTCCCGTTGACGGCCACAGTTCCGGATCCGCCGACACGGCACATCCGGTGCGCGTATGTACGAGCGCGTTGTACGACGGTGGAGCGCGTTCACCGCGGAAGCGTTATATGTAGAATGCAGTGCGCGCCGGTGGGATGTTATCTCGTTAATGTAGCGCGGCGGGCTGCGTACTGCTGCCAATTAAGTGGCCAGTTCCTTTTTCTGTGTATATATATGTGCGTCGGATACCGGCAGTCGTCTCGGTGCTCCTGCCCACTTCCGGGCCGGTATCCCGTAATTAAGCACCATCCTCGCCAGCGGCATAAACACAGCTAATTGCCGGCTGTACGGTGATCTCATTCTGCTCGATATGCGTTTAGTCGTGCGTGCCGGTTTATTGCGGAAGATGCACGTTAATGCTTATACATAAATGCGGCGGGATCAGTGTTTACAGCCGTCAGAAAAAACTGGCGCGGTGACTGCTGTATCCACTGGTGCTTTTATCTCTATCTTCCTCCTCCAATAGACTGAGCATTGACGCTATAATTACTATTCGATACTGGCACTTTGATATCGCAGATATTTCAGTGGATATCCGATATTATTTATCCGATATTTTAAGTTTGATATATTTTGATATCCGATATCTTTTATCCGATATTCTATTTTAAATATATTTTGATGTCCGATATTATCTCATCCGATATTTTAATTTGGATATTTTTTTATATCTGGTATCAGTTGCAAGAATAATCAATGATGTTGATATAAGTTGGATCAGTTATTGGGTTATACAAATTAACATTGGTTAAACGCTTAATCACATTCACGCAGTACATTACTTTAGCACATAATACACTTCATCCGGCCTCTTACCGATACAAAACGTTTCCTGAACGCATGCAACCTTACCTCGCATTAAAGCAATACTGATTCTCTGCTTCAGGAACTGAGTGGACCGTTTTTTCTGTGTTAATATACTACTATTTTATAAGCGCCAGAGTACGAAGCGTTTATAGATCGAATTTCCCTTTTAAAACGCTGACGGCATCGGGCAATTATGCATAAGATGCACCACCTCTACAATATCTCCGTCCACCTGAACCACTCGTCCCGTTTCGCGTCCACCCCGTACGAGCTGATCCTCACCGGCTTCCTCGGCTTCTCCATCATCGCCACCGTCCTCCTCAACGGCCTCATCATCGCCGTATACCTGCAGAACCCCCTTCTCCGCAACAGCTTCAAAACCTACATCGTTAATTTATCCATCGCCGAGGTTCTGTTAGCCCTCACCGGGATGACCGGGAACTTCATCAGCGCGGTGTTCGGCTACTGGCCCCTGCCGGACGCCGTGTGCACCTTCGTCCTGTACGGCAGCCGCATCTTCGGCAGCGGCATCCGCTACGGTCACGTGATAATCACCCTGAACCGGTTGTGGGCGGTGATGTACCCGCTACACTATAAACGCCACCATACGCTGATGGTGGCGAACGCCAGTATTGTGGTCAGTTGGGTGCTGGCCCACGCCGTGCACCTGCCGGTGATTATTCCCGGACGGATGTGGTTGCTGGAGGGGGAGGAGCGGTGTGTCCTGAATGTGGGGTTCCAGAAACGGGCGGCCATTGCCGTGGAGGTCATGGGGTTCACGGCGGCCGAAGGGGTGATTATTTGTCTGTGTCCGGTGGTGTGGTATAAGGTCCGGCAGTGGCGGATTAATCAGGAGCGCCAGCAGAAGCAGATGCCGTTGAATGCGGCACGCCCGCAGGAAATATCCAAGTCCAAAGGTGAGAATTATGTAATTCTCTTTCGAGCGGTCATTTTGCCCGAGATTCAAGATATTTTACAAATTTTCACAAATAAAAAAACAGTAAAATGTTTTTTATTTATAAAGCATAAATGTTCTTACGCATTCGAACTGCGTATAGCGGAAAATAAATTAATAAAACACAGCTTTATATTCATCGTTGGTTATATATTCTTTTGGTAAATATGTGGTAAATATTTATTTTGTTGTTTTTAAAATGTACTGAATGCTTTGCATTAATCGTGGTCATATTATAATCGTGGTCATATTATATTAACTAAATTAGATAAATTTAGTAAATAGTCATTTTTTGTTTTCGAATATTGCTCAAGGTTTTATGTTAAAAATTCGCTAAAATATCAATTTTAGTTTTTTGTTTTCGAAATTTACTCAAGTTTGTATTCATATCGTCCAGGAATATTTGATCGATTAATTGACGGATCGATTGTTTTGTTGAGTGGCCGAGCCCGTTAAGCGGCGCCATCACACCTCGTACACTTGTTTATATTATACCATATTAAACAGGCACCGCCGAAAGTTATGTAACCAAAATCCGGCATATTGCATTTAGCATATTACTGCATACTCATACTTACACCTCCCTTTTTTTCCATTTCCGTGTTAGCCGTTAATTATTTAGGGTAAAGCAGCGTCACGGCCGATCCCGACGCCTGCGCGCTACACTGCATATTACAGCAAGCAAACATGCTGCTCGTGGGGTATAAATTTTTATCCATTTTTAATCTAATATGGCCCGGTAGCCCGTCAGCGCCGGCGCGCGTCAACAAGAAAAATAGATTTCCCCTATGATACGGAAATAACATTTACATAGCTCTTCCTGTTGACTCTCCGGCAACAATATATTTACATTAAGGAGTCCTTTTCGTTCTGCCGAGCCAGCGGCTGTCCGTCTTGATGTGCCGGCTTTTACGGGGCGGTTTTGTTGACCGGGCATAATAAGAGCGGTAACGTTAACTCATTCAGAAAAACATGTGTGCTTTATAAATGAATGGGTACCTTGTCGAAAGTGTTTTCTTATACAAGCCGGGTGATTCATTTCGTACAGGTACAGTGAGAAATACAGATTCATAGGCAACGTTAACATTGTAAGCTCCATACCACGGCCCGCCCCGCCGCCCACTTTGCGCGTTAGGGGCATTTGGCATGGCCGATGCACATCAGATATTGGAACCGTATAAGCATATTTATCGTAAAATCAAAGAATTTATCAATGGAATTTATTCATCATAATCATTCACTGCAGAATTAAATTTATTATTACGATAACTGTAGTGTAGTGGCTGTACTACCGATGCTTTACGCAAGAAATTATGCACCCGCCTTGTACCTCTATAAAAGTGTTTTATTCTTTTTACACCGATACCAAAAATTCGTACGGAACGTTCCATACAACGTATGTGTTATTAACTTGAACCGATGATGGATTCCGATCGTCGAACACCACACTTGTCGGTCTATTCCATGTATAAGCCATCCAGGTGTCACCGTTGATTTTACTAATTAAAACAAGGGAATTCGCGTCACATCACGTAGACTTGAAGGGCAGCTGTCCAATTATATAATAATACGCCCTTCCGGTGCGGGCCTAATGAGAGCCGGCCGGAAGAGATATACGACGAGAGTGTGACATGTTATCGTGGAGGAGATTACAATTATATGACTAAAGTAGGACACATAATATACGCGGCTGTCAAAAAATGTTAGTATAATGCTGTAAAATAATTTTACGATACAGGCTTTCATGCGAACAATAAATACGTACAGTAATACAGTAGTTAGTAGTTACCAACTTTCTACTTCCCAAAGCGAAGCTTACTTAAAAAAGCAAAACTAAACTTTGCAATAGTATGCCCATGTTATCTACGCAAATATAAAAATAAATCATAATTCATTACAAATTAGACATTTAGGAATTAAACGAATAAGATACCGAATGTTCTTACATTTGGAATCAATCGAAGTGTTCTTCTTCCGCCTTTTTTACTTACCATTGAACTTAATTTATTTGTTTACCCGAATAATTTATTTTTATTTTAATCAAATTTCCTCTTATGTAGCCGCATTATTTGAACAAATTAGCGGCATGCATTCGGCATTAATCCAATTAACGCGTAATTTTCGCCTGATCTAGACGACAACGAATCGATCATCGATCAGGACAGCCGGATGACCGCCAACGGCCCCACGGACACCCTCGTCTCCCTATCCCCCAAACGGTCCGCCCCGGCGGGCAACCACATGATCCTCACTACCACCGCCATCCGCAAACCCTCCCCCGACGACATGGCCAAACTGCGCCTGACCTTTTCTAAACGCAGCGTGGCGCACAACCGCCTGCTCATGTACTTCTTCGTCGCCATCCTCCTGTGCTGGACGCCCAACAACGTCTACTGGCTGCTGGTGGACACGGCTGGCTACTGGAACGGGACGTTCAACATTATCCAGGCCGTCGCGTTGTACGCGCACTCCTGGATCAATCCCATCATCTCCTACATTGCGCTGGAGAAGATCCGGGTGTCCATTAATAAACTCATGGGCTGCTGATTTTAATGAAGATTTATATAACCGCTGCTGTAACTTGTGGGCCTCGGGATGTAGTTTCTGGGCTCGGGAAGAGGATTTTTTGCTTTCACAGAAATCTGTGAATTTTCTATGACGGATCTGACGTATGGCTCGAGTACAGTCTGTATTTTGCATGATTAATTGTCGGGTGAGGTTGATTAATTTATTAAAAGCGGACTCCTTCGGCGTCATGCGGCGGAATCAAATTAACATTACTTTATGTTGCAGTATTAAACATGTAAGATTTATGGTCCCTGTGGTTGTTATTCACCAGGTTAATTCGTACAGTATTTTTCTGTATTATTACATGCATCCCGAGAATGCGTGGAGAAATCCGGAGATTTTCATGCTGTTAATTTTGATCACCTGAGCAGGCTGCTGGCGGCAGCATATATGTAACATATCCACCTGCGTAACAAGAAATCCCGGATCAGAGTAATAACGCCGCACCGTTTACGCGGAACACAGTAAGCAATCTTCGTGCATCTTCCCAGAGCGATATTTTATAATGGGGAAAATCTTTACTCGTTCTTCGATAAGCCGCTTTTTTTACCGTGTCACAGTATGTTGCGAAGCCCAATAATTTGGGGCCATGTCAAAGTGCAAATTAGGAATCAGGGTCAACAGCAGCGGATTTTGTGGTAAGACTGCGAGGGGGAAGATTAACAGGTGGAAAACACGCAGACATTTCTATGACAGCGCTTGCATTTTACATACAGTAAGTGGGAAAACCTTTCTACTCGCACCGCCTTCCTGTACATCGAACCGTTACCAGGTTTACGTTGTGGCTGCACATGGTGCTAAAATTGCACACTTTATTGGTCAAATCATACTCAATGCAGAACTGTTAGAAAACAAAAACACACAAAAACATGGCGGTAATAATAAAAATACCTAAAAAAAATAAATAATAAAGTGTAATACCGTGTCATATTTAACGATATGTACTGCCAAACGTCACGTAGGTGGGTGACGGCAGCAGTACAGCGAAACGGTCCGAGTAAAATGGATTGTCCTCTTCTGTACCTACAGACTGCAAATAATCTGCAGTACTTTCGAGGTAATACGAGTGCGATACTGTTCGTATTTATTAAATATTCGATCGCGCTCCTGTAGCGGTGTGATGTATGGTTCTTCTGGTTCTCGTGATTTCCTTTCTTTACATACTTTCTACCTTCTTAGCAACTATCTTCTCTTCTCTCCTAGTTACGCTTCTCGACTTTCCTATTCATTCAGTTACTCCCGATCGCGCTACGATTCTGACAATAAAGTTACAATACGCATTCACAGTACATACAGTCTGTACACTACAAGCGGTTACCTGAGAATACGGCATACACACATCAGCAGGTTATGAGGCAGTTTTCGCGCATCGCGGCGTGCCAAGTATTGACGCCAGTTTGTGATCACGTTTTGTGGTATTTTACTATTTACGGAAAAAAAACAGTGACGTTGTCGAACGTCAGAATAGCTCGTATGGCGTTATCCGTTGCAGGTGCGACAGGTTCAATAATTTCGTACTGAACAAATTCCGCATAGTACGCAAGCTCGGACATACATACGTAGGGTTTCACAATTAATTAGCAGACGCGTACGCTTTGTATGAGTTCGCTACTGCTGACGCCGTAATTTGGTAAACCTGAACTCCATGCGCGCCGGATGAGCGAGGTCAGCGACAAATGGAGACTACGACCAGGGACAGCGATTCAGCCTGAGTAAGAGCGGGGACACTATGAGACTGAAGAGTTTATGACAACTCTGCTTCTTCTCGTAAACATTATTCCATAAAAAATTACAAAATAAACTGATTTTTGTGCAATAAATCACAAAATAAATTACTTTGTGCATTTTTAATGATTTTTGCTGTGTTAAGCCGGTTTTTAAGTTGCATCGTCGTATCGCTGACTTGTTTCCCGAGTAACTAGGACAATGGCATCAACCGTGACACTGATTTTCCAAGCAGAAAGGAACAATGAATAAATGATTTCAGCTGTACATGGATAATTAAGGATGTCGTCGCCAGTAGCAGAGTTTATAGTGAATAACTTCTGCAGCGAAGATTAAGAGATTGAAGCAGACGGTGAATAGTGTGGCGCCGGCAATGGGTCGGACATCCTCCCAGCCGAGCGGACGGAAGGCCGCCGTGGTTTGTGTGGGCAGTGCAGTCGGCAAGCATCGCTGGATACCCGGTGTGCGGTATAATTGGCTGAAGAAACGCTCATCTTGCTGTGGAATACCGGTTTCCCTCAAAATATCGTACCTGCACATAATATGTATATAAGAATTTTAGTGATATTATTATAATGGATTATCAGTGAATGACAATTGTAATACGCAGTTTATTAAACCGTGTTGAAAAAACAGCAGACGTTAAGTTTCAAACCCGGCGACGCTCGTTAATGATTTCTTACTTTTGCTCGAAAACTGCTTTCAATGGGGAACCAAAGGGGAAGATGAAGGCGCTAATGGGATGCGGAGTGATGCCGTCGAGCGCGATGAGGATATGGCAGGAGTGCTGGGCTAAATCGACGTGGTCATCTTGGGAAATAATGACCGCCGCCTGTTGGCGGGTGAGGACGTCGACAACAAACGCAATATAGGCCGCGGGATCCACTTGGATGGGGATCAACCGTTGGCTCAACTGCAGCATACTTTGTTTGGGATCAAGCTACAAACACAGTTGGTACAGTATTAAAGCGGTTGAATGTTGTCTAAGCGGTTCACCATGTGTGACTACCTGTTCTAACTTCTGACCAGCCTGCCATGAGCGTTTAGCATGGGCTAGACACATTATCGGAAGCTGCCCATTCTGTTTCTAAGCCTCATTTAAGCTTTGGTCTTTTTCTTTGGTTTTTTTACGGAACGACGTTCAAATAAAATAGGCCTGCGATCTGTCAGCACATGTGCAGTGAACTGGTGTTTCTCGATTCTGGTAACCGTAATCACAGCTGCTTCGTGACCTTGCATCCTTTTCCAACCTACACAGTTGTTTGCTCCCTGGAAGCGTTGTATAAGCAATTCCAGGTGAGAGGCTGTAGGAGCATCGTTTTAATATGGTAATGTGACTAGGCACCAAAAATTTTAGTAGTCTGTGTTGCATTAATAGGTGGGTGCCTGTTTGATGATTACGGACATCTACTGTGGTGCATTTACAGTGCGGTGTGTACGAGTATGTTGTTTGTGTGATTGAGTAACCATAGCGTAGTTATTACTTACGCTAAAAGTCAGTTTCATATTGCCGGTGCCGTAAACCGTGAAATTGGACTCCAGCAGCTGGATGAGCGAGTTAAAGGGCAGCCGGCGTATACGTCCGGCGGCCAGGATGGACAGCAACTGGGACGATATGATGCCGATAATGATGACGGTCCATAGCATCCAGATCATCGTGACGAAGGAATGCGCCATTAACCAGCGGTACCAGTGCGGCATTTCCACGCCCCCTGCATAGAGTCGTAACATTACTAAACATAATATATTATGGTTAAGAGCAACAAGAGCTTTGTCAAAAAGAGCTAAAGGAAAATCCGAAATATGGTTTTGACCAACAATGTGTGTACGAGTACAGAGAGTGCTCAATAATTTCTGGACATACTAATAAACACAGTAAAATTAAAGAAATTCTTAGCTGGATGATAACTGTGATTCTGTGCTTTTTAAGTATAGTGTTTTCTACAACGCTTTTACCGTTTAACTTATGAATATCGATCTGCCTCATTGTTGGATTAATTACTGCAGATTGAGTTCTACACTCTAGGATTCTATACCGACCGAACCCGAGCACCGCTTCCAGCATCTTGAACGACCACATCTGCACATCGCGGCGCCAGCGCCGTCGCGGTCCAAACAACCGACCGGAAGCAATACCCATCAGGATGAGCAAAAGGAGCACCACGACAAACATAACCCCCATCAGCAGCCACACCAGCGGGTCAAACAAACGCGACAATGAGGCAAAAATAGACGTGGAACGCTGGATGAACGCATGCCGCTCATGCACGATGACCTGGTACTGCCGGTAGAAGGGCGAGGGGATCATGTCGGCCGTCTGGGTGCGGCTGGGATTCATGGTTAAAGCGGCCAGAGCGATATCGGCGCGCTGGTAGTATAGGTCACCGAAGACGCCGTTGCGGCTGTCGTTGGCCGTGGAGATGTAGTGCGCGTGGAAAATTCGGCAGCGGTAGTGTAGTGCACGGCACGAGGCGTCCAGGGAACTGAGGAAAATGCCGGTTAGCGCGGAGGTGGCGTTGTGTTCACCGATTATATACGGCGCGTGCTAAGAAAAGCAAAAAAATTTTTGAAGTCGATCGCTATGTCATCATGCTTAAACGAATATATCAAAAAAGCAAATTGTGCTCTGTCATCCCAAATGAAAGTTAATGTCTGGATAAAAAGCGGAAGAAAAAGCGTAAAAAAACACTTTTAAATCCAGTTATGTAAATAATACAATTTTACGCCTCTGCTCAGCAAAAGCATCCAACTCTGACAAAGCTTGAAAGTGATCAGTTTATGTAGAAAAGCGTTATACTTGTATACGCAAATTTCATGGCGCAACTTCAGCGATATTTCTGTTTTTGGGCTTTAAGATTGCTGGAAACTCTTACCGGGTATGCCGATACGTATACCACCTTGGCACTTGAGTTCCCCAGATCGCCGACGTCCCATGTCGAATTGAGCGGATTATACACGGCCAGATTCCATGCGCTGGCGAAGGTGGCAACATGGGTCGGAACAATCTCCGACATGTTGAACGGCTCTACCTTAAATTATCATAAACAAATGCTTTAAAATAACAGCATTCATTCGGTGTTCTGATAATTATAAGCAGCGGCCATGAGAATTGTAGTATCGAAATATCTGTGTCTTAACTGGGCATCGGCGGCTGCTACGAAAGACCCAGCAAAGCTGTTTGTTTTCATGAAACCAGACACTATATCAACAAAGCACGCATCAAGGCGTCGCGGGAACCTGGCCATCATCAGAATCACGGTTGATTTCCTGACAACATACAGTGATTCCAGTATTGTGTTACAGCTGTGGGCGGCTGGATCTGTGTTATACGGAAGTCCCACCCACACTTAACGTCGACTAAACCACCCTGCAATTTGGTGCCGTATGATAACCGTACAAGCGCGTGATCATCTCTTCGCCTTCGTGCTCATAACATTAGACGTACGATGTCTTCAAGGACCTCACAAGTCACAATCAACTATTTTTTATACCAACGAGTGATTATATTCTTCTTTAAGCAACTATATGAAACAGTTTATACTTGCTGATGTAAGTAAAACTTATTTATTTATGGCCTTAACTGAATTCTAGTTACCTGTCGCGTGTACTGAACTGCCTGTGCAAGGTTTTCGTTAAAAATTTTGAGACCTGGCGATGGGCTGGGAATCCTAGTTAAACCCACCCAGTTACTAATTAATCTGAACTATCTAATGAACCAACATATTCGTATGCATAGTGATGCTTGAGAAGTTGTTAGTAACACCGTATAACGGTAATACATAGAACGTATAACATCGTACTGCATATTAGCCGTAGCTGGTTAGCATTTGTATACATTAGCATTATTGAGAATACTGCCGGCAGAAAAACCGATGTGTATCAAACCGGGAGACAACAAGGACCCTTGAACTGTGCCCGGCCAAATAACCATGCTGCGGGAGACTCCAACGCCCTTATCGTTTCGACATCACACATTTCAACCTGTAAGTTCTGTGACTGCTTGATTTTACAGGGTGATAGGCTGATAGCTTTGAGTAAGTAAGTTTCCGCGGCACGCTCTTGGCTTTGGCCTGCTATAACATTTTTGTCATGTCCCTGTCGTACCGTTAAGGTGAACAACCTGGATACATGGGTAACGTAATATACTGTTTACCATAAGGAAAGTCCATTTTGCTGTGCAGTCCGTTCGGCTGAAAGGACTCGTTTCATTTTTCAGGAACTGCAAGTAGAGTTTACAGACTTCACGTTTTCGAAGTACGCTTTTCGCTTTCATCTTTTCTGTGGTGTCTCGTGAATTCCTGTTGCTGTACTCCGTACACATGTTGTTTACATCCTAGCAACTCAGCTTGTATTCTATTGCTGAAATGTTCTACTTGTTACTGATTTAGTCATCTTGTTGGCCAGCTGCAGTGAACATGTATTATTAAAGCTACTTATTATTATTACGTACTTTCAACATACTTCACATTTTCAGTAACCCAAATCTACCATGACTGGCCGTGGACAAGGTGGTAAAGTTCTGGAAATAGGAGGCATCAAGCGCCATCGGAAAGCACTCCGTAACAACATTCAAGGCATCACCATGTCAGCCATCCGTCGTTTGGCGCGTCGTGGTGGAGTGAAGCGTATATCCGGTCTGCTCTACGAGGAGACCCGCGGTGTGCTGAAGATCTTCCTGGAGAATGTTCTCCGGGACGCCGTCACCTACGCTGAGCATGCCAAACGCAAGACCGTCAGCGCCATGGACGTGGTGTTCGCCTTGAAACGCCAAGGCAGAACTCTGTACGGATTTGCCTCGTAGCTGCCATCGTGTGTTAATTTGTTGTATTGCCGTCTTTCGCTCTAGTATACTTAAAAGTTAAGAACAGTGTCACCGTCTTGTGGTGTTGCTTTAAAATATGTCGTCTGTGAAGTTTTGATTGACCGAAACTGTACAATTCGGTGAACTGAGACATCAGTAAAGTAACTAACGAAAACAGCAAGCGTAGCTAAACAAAACACGGTATGCACTTTATACGCAAACGCACTGCGAAAACCGCAGGTGACGCGTCCCATCAGCATTTATTTGATGCAAATTACATTCACTGAAAACAACAACACGGGACTAGCATAAACCGCTGCATTGCAATGCTGATTAAAGTTGGTCGCCTTCTATGGTGACCTTTCAAGAGCGTCTTAGCTTAGTCACTCCCGCATCTTAGCCTTTGCACATCCAATCCGGTAACGCACAACAATATCTAAGAAAACATATGGGTGTCGATATATATAATTTACTATTAATTATTATGCATTTATTAAGACAAGTGGTCGCGCAGGATGGATGAAGGGGCGGGCAGAGCGAATTCTGAAAAGGTCATGGGCTAGGCACAGTAACAGGGGCCTGCAGAAAACAAGGAGAGGTTGCGAATCATGTAACAAGGCTTTCATTGATTGTTCTTACTGGGTGGTGCTCACCTTTGTTCATATTGAGAGATAAACGACAAGAAGCTGTAACACGGTGACAGATAGGTAGTGCGACAATGGAAGTGTAAATTTTTGGCTATCATAAATAGGAAATACTAAAAACATGCAAGGCACGATGCGCAAATTGGCAGACAAAACGGGATGTTATACCGAAAACTCGGCTGCCTAAGAAACCTAAGAAATCTAAGAAAACCTAAGAAACCTAAGAAAACGTAATAAACCTAAGAAAACCAAAGAAAACATGGAAATATAAGAAAACACAAAAAACCATAAGAAAACGCTTTAGGTATTGCGTTGTTTATGATTCGAATTGCATTTATGGGGCGAAATGTCCTGTAGGCGAAATGTCCCATAGGCGAAATGGGAGGATACCGAAAACTCCAATAAACGCCCCGTTTTTTTTTAATTTTTTGACCAAACAAACTGGAAAATGTACCTCACAGTAATCGGAGAGTGAATGATGCTTATAACAGGTGACCTTTGAGCCGCGAGAACAGCACTGTGTTTTTTCGTTCCGATCTATCCCGCGTTCGCTCTTCCCGCCCGTCCATCCGCCCAGTCCGTTCACGACCGCTGGTTATTAATACCCGGTGCACACGCGAGGGTTCAGATCCTGGTCCCCATCCTCAAGAGCGCTGATCAAAGGCACAGCGGTCAGCAGTAGGACAATAATCGCCAAGAAACAGCGCTGCAGCATTGCACAAATACTGTCAGAATGTACTGCCATGACACAAGCGGCAGGTAGCCGTATATTTTATCAAATGGTCAAAGACTGATCACCCGAAGTCAGAATAACTTTGGAAGGTTCAAGTCAAACGCATTTATGCAGTGTTGTGTTTGTTGCAAAAGAATGTACACAGCCCTACAGTACTTCCCATGGGGGATGTTTATTTCAAATCAGCTAATAATTATCAACATACTTTGTCGCAGCGTATTAAGTGGGGCAGAAAAACATACAACTTTGTTTTCATCTTTTGTTGGCTGCGGACTGCGCTCACAGCACCCACGAGCTATTATGATGCGGCACTGCTGCCCAACAGCTGCAGCGTGGTGCACTACAACATAAACAAAGTTGAACAAACAAAACAATACACCGAATTCGGTAAAATGTCGAAGTTTACTTAAGAAAACCTATCAACTGTGTTTTCAATTCCGCAAATTGCAATTAGCTCACTGTGTGCAAAAAAAATTGTTTATCGTCCTTGTTTTCCAAGTCCGCAAAAACGGTTGTCGAAACACCAACGCAGTGGATGTTTATATGGGTTAAGCGTATCTTATACAAACCCTACTCGTAAACCGTAAAGCAACATGTATTATTTCTCTTCGATTTGCAGCCGAACGGAGGAGCCGCCCTCTTTTTTAAGGAGCCGCCCTTCGTAGGTCGATTATCAAGTTTATCCATCATCTAAGCAATGACGGTACACTGTGATGTTGATTGTGCAAGGCAGCATTTGCCAGTTTGCTTTGATTGATACTTTGTGTTTATTATGGTGTTATTTCTTGCTGCAGTGCCTTTCATCAACGCCATCGATGGCCAGGTACGAACGGCAAATTTAAAACAGTTTCCCGCGTGTAAGGATCGCCTCGCGCTCGCGCGGATTGGCAAAGGATCGCTGCCGATGGCAATGTCTACCATGCGTCCTTCTAGTGATAACTCCGTACGATGATCACCGCCCACCGCTGGACCAATAAACCATCAAAGCGCCAATAACTTCCAGAGCCAGAGTGAAATATCACGTGATGAACACCGGGAATATAGCCGGTCACGAAACAACACTAGCTACATTTTCCTTGTAGAAGTTCAAGTGATTGTACGGTTGTATCCATATTATGTGCAATAAGCGTACTCACCGTCAATGTTACAATAAATTTGCAACAGTTGTGTTGCCTCCATCAGAAGATACGAATGCTTACTTTATGTAGAAATTTACTGGCGGCATCAGTCCTATGCAACATGGCCGTATACTAAATAATCGCGGTTTCAATCTGCCGTCTATGATAAAATCAAGCATGTTCAGGGTAAATAATTTTTTTTAAATCACCACTCGTTGTTCGCTTGAGACCACTGCAGTCAACGCGGTTAATCTAAAATCACAATAATGACTGTATACAGGATTTTTGCTGAAAAATTTTGTATTACATATAGTGCAACTGACCGCAAGGACATATTTGCACTTCTTGTCAGTGGTAGTTCTGAAGCAAAACCTAAGCACAACTAAAGCAGTTATCCCTGCATGAGTCGGCAACTCCTGTAACTCTACGCAGCGTTTTGATGTGTGTGTCTCCATAATGGAAACGCTGAACTCGTCGAAAACCATGATTGGATGTCTCGTGGGGCAGTTTTTCCTCAGCCTTCTGGCAACAGCTTGTGGTAAGAAATTTCCCTTAATTATAATATCTGAACTCTGAAGCTATGCGAAAAACTACACCTCATAATTATGCAACATTTTGCGTAGCATTGCTTGCGGTGATGGTACCGTGGATTTCCTATGGCCCCATCCATCTATCAGTGGACTTTGTCGAAAGAGCCGTGACCGGGGAGGTCATTACCAGCTCTGTGTGTTTGGCTGCCGCATGTCTGGGTCTCCATATGCTACGGTATCGCAGTCGTCAGACGCGGCAGTACGAAATCCTGACGTTGCTGAACACCCTCGGCTGCTGCCTAATTGTCGTCAGACTAACCTACACCATTCTTATCATGGTGAATGTGGTTCAGTTGGTCGTAGCAAAACGAGTAGCGAAAAGTAACCTAACGTTCGTATATTTCGGTGCTTTTGGGATTATACCGATTTCCGTTGCGTTGGTGGCGGTGTCGGTTTACATCGCCGTCCAGGCAAGAAAGATCAGCGCGGTGTCCAGCAAACGGCAACAAGTTTCTGCTCTCTATTAAAAAAGATGAAAACTCGTAGCCGCAAAGTGTCTTGTTTCAGTCAGTGGTTTGAGAAGCTTGAGATCTATGTAGCAAAATGCTTTTTATTTCATCTGAATACGTTAAGTTTGGGTAAAAGCCGAATCCGGTATTCGCGAAATGCTCTGTATAAAGCGGAAAACGCATTTGTTTTGGACGAACAGCTTGGGCCAAAACGTATCATGATTTACGTAAAGCCGCCTGGATTCCTCATGCACTAATATCTGTTTTGATTTACTGATGGCACATGGCGCTCCTTGGAGAAAACTCAGTGGTGTTTGGCTCAGTATGATTTGATAATATATTATTGTAGTTGCAAAAATGAATATTAAGTGTCGTTCGGGACATATTGAATAGCAGTGCAGGGGATACAGGTACGTTTTTATCAGTTTATGCAGCCAACACTTTACGAACTCTACTCTCAGTGCATGGTCGGAAAATTTTAGACCCTGAATTTGCCACTTCGCCTATTGAACTACCGGTTTGCATTTGTGTTGTTGTATACATATAAATTTTCTTCAAATAGTTATGTCGTTCATAAATTGGCTTTAAAGAAGCTGATATGAAAGTGTGCGACTTCAAACTGTGCCGAAAAGCTGGCCTCAGAGAAGGGCTTTCTCTGTGACCTTCGTACGAGTTTGTTCCACCATCCCAGTCTTAATTCTCCCGCCCTTATGCCTTATCGAAAGATTCGGCACCATTTACCTTTACCATTCGGCTGAAATATCAGGGCGCGAGATTTTCCAGAGCATTTTGCCTAGGCGGAGGAAACCGTCCCCTTCATAAATTCCACCGGCGGTTCTACGGTTCCAAAACTGCTGCAGCTTGCTAGGACCTTCTGTCCGTATGGATTGTTGAAGTTTTTTCGGCGATCGGCAAGTGTGGTAAACGGCTGTATTATGTAATCCTACTTTCCGTACGCAATTAATCAGCTTTTCCTTTACTATTTAGAATTTATTGCCAAAGCGGGGAAACAATTTAACAATATCAGTATCCAGAATATACAAATCCAGAAATTTCGGCGATAATCTCGAGAACGGCGTCAGTATGACATACACGGCACCATCAGTATGGTTACGTAAAAACATAACAAATGAGTAATTAATAATTATTTTTAAAGCTGTAGCACGGTTGTTCGTGAAGCCGTTTATCGTCTAGGGCAAATTAATGAACAGGGGCAAACAACAAAGAGCGTTAATTATAGCACAAGCAGTTTATAGTTTGTGCCTGTGAGTACTTCGAGCTGTGATGCACGGAAATGATGCTTCCATTGGCAAGGTCACTATCCCCACTGTCGGCCAGTGAAGCGCTCATCCGATCGTGAGCGTTATTATCCAAAACCATACAGTCCACCGAAGCCCCATCCGCGGTTGCCCCATCTACCAACATCAGAAATATAAGAATCTGTTATTTTTGTTCAGCAAATCTGTATCACTTTCTCGAAACACGACGCAAAGTTGGCGCATATTTCTTCTGGCAGGCATCTGTGCACGCTCGGGTTCTCTAACAGCACCTCGAACAATATCTTATAATATTTAAAAAGTACCCCTTCGTCTAAAAAATTATAGCATACATGGCCTTTTAGATCTTCAGAGATCGTTCTTTATCACTGTGTGATGGCATACAAATGGAAATCAGGTACCACCGGTAGTATTTCTGTATTTGTATACGAGTAACTTCGCTGTGTGCGCTTCAGTACGATATTACATTACAGGATTAGAAGAACGAGTAACTTTGTGGTGTGCGCTTCCGTGTTACAGGATTAGAAGAACTAGGACGAGCGAACTTACCCGGAGTTGCCCCATCCGCTGTTACCCCAGCCCGATCCCCATCCGCGATGGCCACCCCATCCACTTCCCCATCCGTTCCCAAATCCGCCCCAACCACTGCCGCCAAATCCGCCGAACCCGCTGCCAAAAGAGCCCCAATTGCTTCCAATCCAAGCGTCGCTTCCTGCACGATCAAGCACAGTTATAACACACTATTCGTCTACAACGAGGCACGTTCCCTAAGGCCAAAATAAACTTAACATGATCTTTCCACAAATGCTTAATTCACTGTGCCTATACAACAACCTTATTCAGAAAACAACGTGGAATCAGAATGTCAAATACGATTATTTAATGATTTTATTATTTAATGACAAATTGGAAAATAAAAAGATGCCGGTAACTGCAGTATCATACCGCTAATGTAGACAACGGCCACAACGGCCAAGAGCAGGATCACTCCTTTCATGATCACAAGCAGTGAAAACAACTGTCAATAAAAACTGGATTATTTAATTATCCGGATAGCAAAACACTCAACGGCGCATATAAAATCCTTAATAGTGATTCTGCTAATGTGTTTACTTTGTTTATATACGAGAATATAGTGGTAGAATCGTTACTGGCAGCCGGTGTGTTGTGAAGGTTAAGTCGCCCCGAGCGCCGCTTCGACCACACACGCGGATGTAATAATCTCATCGTCATTGTTTTAAAAGGTGTTCTTAATACCGGTGCCGGCGTATTTGACGGGAAACAATGACTGTTCTTAATCCGTGATTCATCCGTAAAAAAATGAATTGTATCCACGCGTACCGGCATTTTTAGTGCATTAATGAGGGTTTCTCATAAAGCATATGAGCACATTCTCGCGATGCTCGCGGTGCGGCCGGTCCGGTTAATATACTCGGAATTTCACCGGTAGATGCTGGTTTTCCCGCTTAATCGCGTGGGCTCGATAATTATGTTGTTGATCTCTTTGGATCGTAAAAAAAACTGCTGAAGCATGATCGTGCATTAATTTGCCGGCCGCGAGATGAAACGGTAATTATAACGGCCGGCGCCATGTTTGCATGATACATGCACCGCAACATGTGTCAACAGATACATGTTCTTTTTTTTATGCACATCTATTTTCGGGCTGTTTTTTCGATGGATTCCGATATTACTGGACGCCCTGTACACAGGTATACGTAACGTTTCAATTAACTAGCAACTGATTCGCCGGCGTATTTTAAAAGGCCATTAATTAGATTAAAATGTCCCTCGATCGTGAGCCTTTCCCTATAACAGTTGTTTTTAAATCTATTTAAGATAACCTTACAGCAAGAATTAAGAAGAAATCGTACTCAAAAAATTATAACTAATAGCAATATAAATACTGTACAAAATCCGTATTCCGTGAGTCTAAACAATTTTAGATTCCACTTGTAGCTGATTGTAATTAAAGCTGACTCCGATTACGAGGGAGAGGATCCACTGCACTACGCTTGTTCCTGTTTCTTCACGCAGACAACCTCTTAACAACTTGACAGCGGATCGCAGCAGCAAATCTAACTTCGTCAATGGTACGCGTTTATAGTACTTTGAAGTTTCGCCTACTGAATTGTTCTGCTTTGTTTTGTAAAAGAATAAATTTGTTTTGTAACATAAAGAATTTCCGTATGATCCTACAATTAAAAATCTCCAATTTAAATAATTGGTTGCTTTACTTTTGGCATTTTTTTCGGAATTGGAAATAAGTCGATGAGCGCGTGATACACGTTGAAATTGAGAATTTTTCTGCCTTACAGAGATAAATAAATTGTATCCAGTTATATAAAAAAAGCTGCAGGGGTATTTACGATCACGAGTACTGTCCACGTGCACGAAGACACTGACAAGGGAGATACAATTAACGAAACAGCAATTAAGCGGCATTGACCGGTACATCACAGTCATAACTCCACATGGCGCCTTCAGCCGCTGTGATTCATCAGCGCACTGTGGCGGTGCTGCTGCACGGCCTGGTGCACCGCCGGCCGGTCCTCCATGGAGAAGATCATCCCCTCCGCCGCGCGGTACGTCGGCCCGTCAAACGCGTTAATCGGGCGGCGGTCGAGCTCCACCCGGCTGGCCGGGCTCTTCTGGAAGGGCGTGGGGAGGCGTAGTCGTGCATCTCCATCCCGATGGACGCCCGGTACGTGTCCAGGTCGGAGGGGGTCCCGGTGGAGGAGTAGACGCTGTACACCGTCGAGGTGGGCGTGGAGGCTGGCGGGCGGCCGCCGCGGCTGAAGGTGCTGACGTTCGGGTTGGACGGAGAGTCTAGGGGGGTCTCTAGGAGGGCAGGAGGGGGCGGGGGCAGACGTGCCTAGTGTAAAGAAAGAGAGCGAATGTTACACCGGGTAACGGTGGCTCAAAAACCTGTGTACTGCGAAGCATCTCGCATTTTCAGAAGATAGATTCGCATATGCCGGACACCCGGGGCACGGTATTCTCTGTGTTGTTCCACAGGACAAAACTTGGTAATTTTCATTAATCTCGTGGTATAAAAAACATTAGTTCGTATAAAATAGTTTATTTGTTACTCTAAACAACAGTTTAAAACACTAATCAAGTTTTTATCATGTGAAACAATGCCGGATACTACCATATCCTGGTGTCTGGCGCACGAATCCATATTGTGAAAATGCCCGTAATGCAAAAAAATAGATGTACGAAAATAAGCGGAATTTTCGGTTCAATCGGGAGGCTGTGAACTAGATAGTAACGCTAACGCAAACGTAGTGCAATGGCACCTGGAGCTTGCTCTGCAAGAAAAAGTTACAGAGTGTAAAAAGAAAACATTATGTACAGATACAGGTCTGAAGTTATGAAATATTTTTTGTTTCGAAAGCACAATGATTAAATTCAGAAAATATACCTTTTAACAGTAGACTTGTTGAATTTCTTTTATAAGTCCTTTAATTAAAAATATTACAAATATTTTAACAGCCAAACGCAATTGTCTACGGCAGTTACAGGAATAAGTGTACGCACGAGGAGAAGACGCATAGAATCCGTACGTCCGTAGTGGTAACTAAAGAGCTCCTATACGGGACCAAACAGACGGGACACGGGTTAGAACACAAATGGGACGCGACAGTCAGTGGACGCCACATAGCACATGCATGCCGGCATAATTGAGACCAACCGTTTCCGGGTCCAGCTGCACCACCGGGTTGTCGGTGTCGTTCAGAATGGGCTCGGCGTTGGTGTTAAACAGCGACATCACCGGCCGCGGGAGCCGGTTCTTGTAGTGGATCAGCTCGGACTGGGCGAAGCGGCTGCGCGGCGGAGGCGGCGCGATTTTTCGGGTTTTGGTCGGTCTGTAAAAGAGAGAAATCCGAATGTTATTAGCTGTAATGAACACACATATTATACTCGACCAGTAAATAATTAATCCGCTTTTTCAATGCAGGTTTTTTTATCCTTGTCGCAAATCGTCAGGAAGTATAATTTTAATATGTGTACATATTTACGGATGACTGCACAAGTGTGTCAATAATTTTTTAATAAAATATAGTTTCGCGCTATGGCGCAACAATCTATACGTATATACGACTAATACGAGTATGTACATAAATCGAATTATCTAAGCGGTTTTGTTTGAAACAAGCCCCCTTCTGCAGTGACTAACCGGCGTGATGCCGGCACTTCAATTTATAATCGATTTTCTTAATTTTACTTGACATACTTTGAGGCATAGTTGGGTGCGCCAACTGTATGCAAACTGAGATTAATGTGCTACTGCATAATGAAATTTTATTCAAATATTTATACACATAATCTTACCGCATTTTGAGCAGCAAAAGCGCAGCGCACAGAGCACACGCCAGGAATCCGACTATTCCAACGAACACGTACACCGTAATGCGCAACTCTGCAACAAACACATCTGAATTTGAGTACTATGTTTTTGATGGGTTTTCCTACCGAAAATAATTGCAAAAGATGAAACCTTTTTTAAAGGCCACTTATTAAAAGCAATCAATTTATTTTTAAATAAGTCGTTTTCATAAGAGTTAATAATGATGATAATAAGTACAGGAATTCGTCTTACTTTCGTTTTCATTTTGAATGGAAGCGCCGGCTTCGTTGGCCGTCGTCATATTAAACACGCAGGTAAACGGTCCCACCGGCGAATGGAATTTCAAGCAGGGACAGTCGATGCGCGCCGACACCGGATGGAAGCGGCACCATGTGGTTAGAAGGTCACAGTTGTGCTCCTGCCGGGCACAATAATCGTACGCTGCCAGCGGCACATCCTGCCGGTTGAACGAATAACCACTGGATAGCGACAGGTTGCGAGCGGCGAGAGTGTGCAGCGCCGCCGCCACTTCCGAATTGTTAACGCTGTGACTGCCGCGGATTTTGATGAAGGAGTGGGCGGAAATGGGTGTGGCGTTAGTGGGGTCGGCGGAGCGTTTGCGGATACGGGGCGGCAGTGTGAAGGATTGGATGGCGATGGTGACGGAGGCGTTCAGCGCGTGGTTTAATGGTAGTTCCATCTACCAACAAAAATAATCAAATAAGTAAATCGTAAGACCAAAAATACGCAAAAAAATATTAATCAAATTTCGAGAAATTTTTAGGCCGATAATAAGATTTTGTTAATTTTATAAAAATAATTAATAACATTAATTTTCCAAAGTAAATTTACGCTTGAAACAATTGACTACATGGAGCTACCAAACGTTTGCTAAAAAATCATGCAAGCTGCATTGTATACGGTTCGTTGGCGCCAAGACCCTTGTTAATCGAGATCCTTAAACAAACCCACCAGACAAGCACGATATCGGTAAATTCCGAAAAGGTTTCGTAGTGTAATGGATGTGGCCATACTGTCCGTACCCCATCAGGAGCATTCGAGCAGACGAGAAGTAAAACTTAATACGCCTAATTGTCTTAATTTTTGAGCATATATTTTGTGAGGCATAATTTCAATTGTTTTTACGGATTCGATGTTCAATACTTACTGAGAAACTGTCGACCATTATGAAAAGGACTGTATATCTATTATTTTCAAGCTTTACGCCTTTTTATTGAATACCGGAAAATAGCGACAAAGCATTGGCGATAAATCCATTCTCAAATTATCAAAAACAGAAAATTCTAAATTCAACACTTCATACAAAAATTCTTAAATATTTAAAGAAATATTACAGCTTGACAAGGATGACAACAACTTTTTATTATACAATAATGCTTAAGCACAGCCTATTACAAAGAAGCTTCCACTGCCCAAGCACGATCTGAAGATGCACAAATTTGCCGCTCTTTTAATTAAGCAATAAAAATGCGTTTATACTGTACATAAATATAAAACAAAATAAAACATTTTTACTGACATTAATGACCAGATTAACAAAAATTTCTACAAAATAAAATAGATTTTAAAAATAGAAACTAAAATAGAAAACTTAAGAAATCATTTAATTGGGGTTACCTCGTCTTTCAGTTCTTTGATGACTTGCCGCGCGAGCTGTGAAGAAACATTGAGGAAGTCCTCATTATACGCGCCATACAAGACAATCCGAGCCTCCAACACTTTATTCGCTACAACCCAACACTGACCAGTTTACCCAAAATGTTTATAATAAAAAATTCATTTATCTTTACCTTGCAGGCAATGTCCATCCTGGAACACCTTGGACAGTGGGCACACACAACTGCGCATCCGCCGATCGCCCGCCTCCTCCGGGTTGCGGATAAACCCTTCCTCACACTCACACCGCAAACCATCAGTAAAATTGTAGCACTTCTGATACGGCCCACACTCTAACGAACATGTTAAAATAACCGCCGGAATGTCTGTCACATTAGTAGCCGACGCTTCAGGAGAGATTGTTCCCTGCAAAGCGGTAGTGCTACTTTCAGCCGGTAAACTGCCGGAGTCGGTTGTCCGGGCTCTGGTCGAAGCGATAGAAGGTATAACAACTGTCGAAGTAACTGGAATTTCCGGAATGTGTGACGTCGTTGTCGGTACAATGGAATGTGGTGCACTGACGTCAGCTGTTGTTTCCCCCGGCATTTCTGAAGCCTGTATCGTCGGTAAAATCAGGTTCTCGGTGTGCTGTGAAGAATTCGATGAGGCGTTGGACGTAACGATGCTCATCATATCGACGCTGGTTTCCTGAAAATTAGCCGGCACTGCCGGTTGGGTGGGGGTCGTGGTCGGGACAGTGGAGGTTGTTGTTGTCTCCAGCGTTGTGGTTTCCACGACCTCATTTATTTCCCCGATGACATCATCGTAATCGCCGGTGGCTTCGCCGTCCGGTTGTCCCGTTGCGTCTAAATGCCGGCTGGTGCGCCCGGTACTGTTGATATTTAACACATCACTGGCATTGGTCGGAGCAACACGGTAACGGTCCACCGGGGGTTTAGTATGATGCCGCGAACGCATAGCCGGTGTTGTGGTGGAATCTTCGTTGTCCGGACCGATAGTCGTCTCGTCGGCCGTTGCCACGGAAGTTGTCGTCTCGAACACCGCGTCATGGACGGTCGTCAAGCTCCCCATGGGCACGGTGACCCGCCCTGAGAAGGTGCGAGTAAACTGTCCTTGCTGGTGGGTCGCGTCGGGCAGAAAGCCTACCGGGAGGGCGGTGACGTTGTGGGTGATGTTCCCGTACAGGTCCACGCGCTCTAGATCGTGGCGGACCTGGCTAGGCGGGTGGGCATCATCAGGTTCGTCACCGTGTCGCACAACGGGAGACGGAGGGGTGTCGGTCGTAGTAGCGGACCGGTGGGATGGGTGGATGGTGGAGGGCGAGGTGGCGGTGACTGGATGATGGGGAGTTGTGGTGTGAGCCGTATGAGCGGCGTGCGTGGAGGGATGCGCCGGATGCCGGGTGGTGGGAGCATGACGCGACGGTGGAGTGGATTCTGTTGAGGACGTCTGACCGGATCCTTCGGCATCGTCCGTTACTAGACAATAGTTTTCATCGAACTTAATAAATGGACAGGAGAAAACAATTATAGCAAATACATTGACCGGTCTAAACACTGTAGTGATTGTACTCGTACATATACTGTAATCACGTGTAGTGATATATTTATTATGACCTGATCGTTTCTATAAATTTTAGCAATTTTCTACAATTCCTGAATTTGCACGGTGCGGTCTCGGCACTCTTGACTGTTGGGCCGAATCTGGTAATTAATTTAGTATTATTAACGGTGACTGCTATGCGCCCCGACGAACCGGGCGCATAGAATTTAGTTATGCGCCCCGATGCCCGGGCGCACAGAATTTGGCTTTGCTCCCCGAATGTCCGGGCGCAGAAATATCGGTGATTTGCTGTTTTTCCGAAGATATTTTATGTTGTATTTGGCTTCTTTTACTGTTTTTATTTAACAACCTGTAAATTTACTGGCTTTAACGCGGACTACGGCAACAACAGCGACGATGCGTAATTATTAAGATTTATTTGAGCACTGGATGCAGACACTGCACCGGAACAAACACGCGTCACCGATGCAGTTGACTCCGTCGTCCTTGCTAAAGCCAACCCCCAGTCTCCTCTCAAAAGAATGTGGAATGTGGGGGGAGGGGGGCAACTACATTATACATGAAAATAATCTTAACTGATAGTCTGATACTAAAGTTGATTTACTGCAGTGGACACAATAGCGACTAAAATTAACTAAACACAAATGTGCAATCGGTATGCGACATTGTCAGTCAGAGTTGCATTACTCCCCGATTATCGGGATGAACATCCCAACGACACACCCTAATGGCTTTTCTCGGCTTGACACTGGTCATCCAAGTCGTCCAGCCTTGCAACTACCTCCGCTACGTCAAATTAAAGGAAGTGGCCCGGTACATGGTACCATATTCGTGTACATACACGAAATCTTTCACTTTCGCGTACTTCCAACCCCTTGTTTGTCTTGTTTATGACATTCTGTAGCCAGATGATTTGTATACACTGGCGAGAAAACCGTTTGTCCGCGCAACATCCGGTTTGGGAGTTACGGCTGGTAGAAAATTTCAAAAAGTTTAAATGCATTCAGGTGTAGCAAAGTCTCATTATAGACCGATCTCTTTCAGATTTTGCACGTAAATGCACATACCCACAAAGAACGTTTTCACACCAATTTACTGTTCTATCATGTCTTTCGATTTTTAAAATGTATTTCAAAATCCATTTTAAAATTTGAAAAAAACCATGGAAGTCTGGGATCGGTGTAAAAACGATGTTCATGGCCATGTGTATTTACGTGCAAAATTTGAAGGAGATCGGTCCATAATGAGACTTTTGGTACACCTGAATGCATTTAAACTTTTTGGAATTTTCTAACAGCCGTAACTCCCAAACCGGATGTCGCGCGCACAAACGGTTTTCTCGCCAGTGTATACTAATCATCTGGCTACAGAATGTCATAAACCGAAATAAAAATGTGTTTGGGAGTGCGCGAAAGTGAAAGTTTTCGTGCAAGTACAAGAATTTGGCACCATGTACTGGTCCACTTCCGTTAACCGGAATAAGCTTTGCTAATTCTATGTGCTACATGGAGTGGACTTCTGTGCCATTCTATGTGTTTAGTGCATGGAGTGGACTTCTATGCCGTCCTAGATGACCTATAACAATTATTATTACCCACAGAACGTGATAAACCAGTGTTATAAGCTTGCTGTAAAGTTGCTGAAAATCAGGATCTCTCAGCTGATTCCGCGATGTTTTGAGTAAGCTTTTCAATAAACCATGCGATAAAATGGGAAATGGGTTAATCGAGTAAAAAATTCAATCAGTTGCCGGAAAAACATAAAAACTTCGATATTTCTGCGCCCGGACATTCGGGGCGCAAAGCCAAATTCTGTGCGCCCGAGCACTCGGGGCGCACAGCAAAAATCTATGCGCCCGGTTTGTCGGGGCGCACAGCCATTTCGATTATTAAATTATCATGGTTTAAACGTTAGTATAGATCCGTCTCAAACAATACACTCACCGGTGTCTGCAGTTAAAACAAAGTATTATACAGAATACAGATACAGAATCAGGGGGAATTTTACGAGATTAGTTGGAGCAGCTGCTACTGCAATTATTTTACTTTTTTTACCGCTGAAAAATTACCAGCCTTCTTAATTACTGAGATCCTTATAACTCGTACAAACCCCACAGACAAGCACGACATCGGTAAATTACAAAAAGATTTCGTAGCGTACTGGCTCTGACGACCTAACCGCCCCGAACCCATCAGGAGCAGTGAAACAGCTTAGAGAACGCAGGATAAAATTTAATACGTTCAATTTTAAACCTTTAGACCGAAGATCTAGAAGTTTTCTTAATTTTTAAGCATATATTTTGTGAGGAATATTTTAATTTGTTTTTACAAGATTCGATGTTCGATACTGACAAACTGATTGTACTACTATCGGTTTCTGAGCTTTAACGCAATTCGCAAATATTTTGAGAAATATTACAGTTTGTCCCGGTCGAACAAATTTTTCTTATTGTACAGTAGTAATACTGAAGCGCAGCGTATTACAAAGAAGAATCACTGTCAAAGCATGATCTGAAGATAGACAAATTTGCCGCTCTTTTAATTGAGCAATAAAAATGTGAACGTAAGTCGGCTTAGATAGACCGCAATGGTCCGCACATGTCTTCAGAAGCAACAAACATACTGTACATCATAAACTAAAATTAATGATAAAAGCTACCAGCACACCCGAATTGCAAACGTAACAAATTCGAAAAAATCATTCGGCATTCGCTATTAATTAAATGTCATCGTTACTAACAAACGGAAGAAACCCAACTAAAAAATTCCTTAGGTGAGTCTTAATTCCCTTTACGAAAAATAAAAGCACAACGGAATTAGAATGTAAAAATATATCATCAGCAAAGCATTTACCTATTGACCTATCGGCAAAATAACTCCTGTCCTCCACCGGTAAATATTCCCCCATTAATTCCCGACGACTCCATGTAGATAATTCGTTTCCCGCGCTGCACTTCCATAATGAAAAAACGATTAATAAATTACTGATAATTATCCGTCGAAAATGCATTGTGTAAATAAATCACGATTAATTCCAATATAACACTCCGTCGCCATTCACATATCAAGAGCAACACCACGAGTGCATTTAATCTCAACACATTTTTCCACAACACATCCGATTAGCGCATACTTCTTCGGAATATGGCCACAGAGAAAAACACCAAATCCTATCTGGTGTGTAATTTTGCGCATAGAATGGCGATTGTGTTGAGTCAGGTCATACAATCGGCTGTGCCGGCACACTGTGTGCAAAACCGAGCACTTTGTATGCATATACGATGGAGGATGTTTAAAGTGTATGCATGTATGCGGCGGTGGTGTTTATTGGTTTGATTAGGAAATCAGTGCAAACACATCAGCCTGCTGTAAATCTCCCCCTGGTAAACTGTCCAGCGGAGACGGGATGTAAAACTTTACAATTCCTCCAAACTCCTGATAAGCGCGGTGTGAACAAGGTAAATAGCCATTTAATTCCCATCACTGCTCCGCGTGTGATGATTAATTTTCCTTGTATCGGGGCTGACCGGTTTCGGCTCTTCTGTCCACGGAAGTGGTTTATTACAGGATTATTATTTAAACAATCGCTTTGCGAAACAATTATCGCGGAATTTCCTTTGGAATATCATCCTTGGTTTATTTATGTTTTATTATTATTTAGGCTGGTTCCGTTACTATGTGTTTTCGTAGCGTTTTTTTTAGCATAATACTACATTAAATTATTGTTATTAAATTAAATTTAAGAATGTGAGTCTAAATTATATAGTTTTATTTTCCAATATTAAACGCATTTTAAATCGATTTTTCTGATAGAAGTTTAATTTTTTTAAACAAAAATAGCCTGACGCGGCTAAGAAATTATTGATGCTTCCTTAATTACTATTAACATTCTAACGGCTTTTTTCTTATCATTGCTGCAAAATTGTATGTGATTATGATTTGATTATAAATAAAAAATTATGTTAGTGTGCCTATTCGTAATATTTTTCGCGGAATTTTTTTGTTGAATTTTAAGGGTGTAATACATGAGAAACATGAGTCAGCCAGCCCGGCAGCGCTCCAACCCGGTTGAGCCCAGCGCGCGTCATTCACTGATGGCTTATCTTATCGGGCGCGCGTATAATATGCTTATCTGACATTTTCCATCGTGGCTGCATTTTTCTCTCGCGTTCCCCATGCAGCGCTCGGCACAACAACACACATGAAAAATGACAGAGCCACTGTTGATCTTAATCGGCACAAATCCTTCTCGGGGGCCTGACACAACCGACTGCCGATCCGCGCACATATTTTTCCAGTCGTTGTACTTGGCAGCCCTGCAAGTCGGCGCTTTTTTTTTTCTTCCAACGCGTGGGAAATCTACATGCCGGTTATGCAACACTAACAATTTTTTCTCTCCATCCCAGAAGCGCAGTTTGTCATAAAAACTGTGGGGCGATCAGCTACTGTGCAGTCGGCAGCTCGTGCACGCTGTGATTTTTTAGGCAGTTCTCTTCTGTCACCGGCATATGGCTAATCCGAACAATCAAAAACAAAATAATACTATTTAATTATTAATAATATGTAAACGTATTCGTATCATGTAAGAGCTGAGGGAAAAAGAGACGCATTACGAAGTGCTTACACTGTAATACATAGATAAAGTACTGGTGCTAGAAGTGCATTAAAAAAACTAGAGATGACGCTCTGTAATTTAAATTTTAATTTAATCCGCATCCAAGCCGGCAGCCAATTTCCGGCTAGGGTGACAGTCTAGCATGGTATTTTAAATATAAGCTATATAACCGTAAAATTCAAAGCATGGTAAACTAATTTGGAGTAAACAAGTCTCGCGGCAAATTTCTTAATAAAAAAAATTACCACCATTTTTTCAATACGCATCAAATTATCGATAAATATAAAACATGCACAAGCAGATTGCACAAAAATGCTGTTTATAATTACAACACCTTGTGCCCATCAGAACAATTTTTCCAGACATTATTCCTGTATAACCTAAACGTGCAAAAATAACTGTTAGTTAATCATAAAACATTGTCATTTAACTCATCGTCAAACTAAGTGGTATCACCTACACAGAGATATTACAGTGCAGTCACTGTACTACGATTTATGCACTGACCATAACAACTCAAATGCATACGGGCTTTTTGCAAGCTGGTTGGACATTAGTATGTACATGGAGATTGGAGACCATGACAGTTTCGATCCCAGCTTTCGAATCTGCAGTCATCTAATCAGCCTCTTTTTGATTTTCCTGAAAAGCCGCGCTAAAGCAGACAATGTTCCGGCATCATTTTGCTGACCGCTGAGCAATCACAATAATAATAAAATTCATATCACTGCGTTGCTTCAGATGTATATGCAGTTGATTTTTGTAAAATAACTGGCGACACCAAACTCGATCGTCGGCAATTCAATGAAAGTTTTATTTTCGCATAAAACATGCTTGTCGCGGTTGTAATTGTTTTTTACTGTCTTATGTCGGGTTTGTAGTCAGGAACTTACAGTATATAATCCCCAACCCGTACAACCAAGCTAGATTTTAGCAGAAATTCATATTATTGCCTGCAGTGATTAGTCGACCAGCTATATGGCTAGTACCTGTCTATAATGCTTAATTAGTGGCTTTTGCGAAAATGTTAACCGAAAAATAAAACTATTATTTTTAATACTCTTTGGCCGGTTAATCGCGGTTATCTACAAACAAAATAATATAAGGGCAGAAAACTTCGACAATGATACCGTAGTTTTGTCCCGAGTTCGAACTACTCCTACTTAACAGCGCAAGGAAATCTTCGTCGTCTGATTCAACGGAATGGAATGGGAGTTTATCGAAAATTCTTATCCACATCAACAACAAAAGATGCAATGGTCTGCATGCTGCCGACAAAATATTTTACTTTTAAATTTCTGCAGTTACCCAACCGCAAGCAATGCAGCTGCAACAGGCAAAAGGTGACAGAAGTACGTAATAAAATAATGAACTTTTTTTTTCTAAACGTCTAAGTTAGAATATCTTATGGATTAACTTAGAATCAATAATTATATGGATTCTTTGATAAATTTTAACAATAATAAGTGAGCACATTTTCCTGAGTGCCGCGAACGAGAAGAGTCGGCGGGAGGTCAGCGGTGAGGGTCTCCAGGGTGGCCATGTACAAGGGCGCTGTTTGGTCCTTCTTGGGAAGCGGCAATGTCACCACGTTCAAGGCCGACTTGGCTGAGTGCTCCAGGAGCAAATCGCGTAGACTGTATTACAGCGCATGTATATTAGATAACAGCTGGATAACTCCTGTTATTTTTGCAACGATACGCGAGCCGTGCGAACGTGCACGCATAAGTACTTTATACTGTAGATATGTGAAATTGTCAATGAGCACTCACCGTATATGTCGCTTGGTTTTTTCCTTAAGGTCAACCATGCTGAAGTGCTTATTGAGAGGATCTCGGCGGTCATGGATAATGCTGTGGACGCTCTTCCTTCTTTCACGTGTGTTCTCTTCGATTATCTTCTGGAACCACTGCATACTGTAACGGCAAACGTACCGTATTTACTCAGTATTAATTTTACCCCATGATTAACTTATTTCTTATCCCTTTTAAAGTTATTCTTTATATTATGAACTATTGCCAGGTATTTACACGGCCGGCATATTGTGTTACACTGTCTAACATAATCTACAGTATGTAGGTACTCAAGTAAATCGCAGAGATAATAAATGATGGAACGTACTTAGCAGCACTTGGCGCAATGTCCAGATCCACCGGCACAACATCCAACGCTTCAATGCGGAACTTATCCAACAATGCCCGCATATTGCTCTTAATTTGCTCCTCCGTGGGAGCTTCCGAAGCATCCTCCTTCGGCTTGGCCGGCAGGCAGAAGACCTTTAGCTTACAGCCGCGCCACGGCGACGACTGGGTTAACAGATACGGCAGCAGCAATCCCAACCCTAAGGTCAACGGTTTACGTGCATGACTACAAGCTCGCAGAACTACCGACGGCCAAAGGTCAGCGTGCACTCACCTCCGTCGTCGTACAGCCACCACACATGGATCTCCCCGAGAATGATTTTTTTCTTGCCAGCTTCAAAGCGCTTGGACAGCTCAATCCGGGCCAGCATCTCGGGATTCTTTACGTCTTTCACCTCCACCGTTACGTTGTCGATGGTGCGCTCGGCCGCTTTTCCGCTTCGATCCAGAACGTTGTCCTCTATGTTAAGAAAATAATTCCAGTAACTTCTTTAATAGGCAATAGCCATCAAAATAACAACAAATGGAGGCGCGAGCATACAATTTACAGTAATAAATAAATTCCAATAAAATTAATGATAACTAAAGTAGTAAAAAATTAATTAATTTATTAAATTATTATAGCAGCTACATGATAAATTTAGTAAAATAATTTGAACAGTATAAAACGATTCCAGCCGGCGAAGATTATTTTTTTGTCAGCTGTACCGGTAGCCACCCGGGTCAAGGCGTTCTGCAGCACCAACTGGTCGAAATTCACCGCTTCCGAGATGCCAAAGCCCTCTTTGGCGCACAAAATCATCACAGCCAGCCGGTTCTCGAAGGCACTGCGGATCACCGAGACGTACTCTTCGGTCAGCCCTTCCGCGTACTTCGTCGCCCACTGCCGGTAGTATCCCATGAAGAGGATATTCGGCTTCATCTTGCCCAACCCCGATGTCTGGATCAGCGCTTTAGCGCCGTCCGCGAAACTCGCCGCCACGATACTATCGTAGAAGGACTTGACGTGGGTACGCCGCAGCCATTTGTAGGTTTCCTGCTGCACCGTGCGGCGCTGTTGCGGGGATTCATCCTACAAATAATAAGCATCACGGAAGCTGCCTACAGAATCGATGCATCGGTGCGTACGATTAAGACGTGACCGCAGATTAGAAGTCCGGTAGAATGGCAGATACTGTTGGCGAAGTACACCAGCGCCGGCCGCACGGGCGGCAGTCCGGTCAGCGCCAGGATCTGCGGACGGTAGTTCTTGATGTGTTCCTGGACGTGGAGGAGTTTTAGGGCGTCCACCAGGGCGTTGCGGAAGATACCGGCTTCTAAGGAGGTTCCCCAGTTGGCCGCTGGTTTTAGGTAATACACGCAGATCCATACAATCACTGCAATCGTATGCGAGACAGGTATTTAATAATAAGTTTCCAGCATTTAATTGCAGACGGGCTGAAAATTATTTAAATTAAACATAGCCTAGAAACGCTTTAAATCAAGTAGGACATTTTTCGCCCTCGCGAATACCGATTAAGGCAATGGATAAAATGGCCGATATCCAGTGAATGAGGAACATGATGACCAAGCAGGCGATGCCGGTAGCCAGACTGAGCCACAGATTGTAATATTTAAACGTGGGTCGCCAGCCTAAACAGTTCTGTAAATTTATCAAGACTGCTAATATCAGTACGTATATTTACGGCAAAACAGAATCGGAGGATACCTGGTTGTCGTGAGAAGGATGCATTAAACGTGGCATAATTGACCAGTGCGTAAGTCAGTAGGAAGAAATTGGACACAATCGCTGAGATAAAGTTCAGATCCGCTGCAACATGTTAGTACATTAATAATTATACAAACACAAAGGAATTATGATGAGAACAGATGCGGAGCGTACAAGGCATGAGGAAAGCCACAGCAATCACCGTTCCCAGCGCGTACGCCCGGTACGGCTCATCATTACGGCCGTAACCTTTGGCGAAAAATTTAAAACCCGGGAGAATTTTATCCCGGCAGACAGCTTGGAAGATCTTTGGTGCAAAAACGATACATCCCAGGGAAGTACTCAGTGTCGCCGCAAAAATGCCGCACACGATAATCCACCGGAAGTGCGCCACAACCTGCATAATCTAAACGCAAAAAAATCAAATCGTCAAACTACCACAACAAGAAAAATTACAAAAAGCTTATTAAATGTGTATTTAAAATGCATGATTTGACTGCATTTAAACTGCAAATAGGCGCAATTATTCGTAAAATTACAGTAACCTTGTAGGTACATATAAAAATATACGTACATGTGTACATATACGAGCATACGCACATGTATTATATTCTATATAATTATGTACACAAATATTAACGAGAGACGTAAATATTTGTGTATAACACACCAGCGTATGCTCGTACACTGTAAAGAGACGCAATCATTTGCAAAATTAACGTTGTACGTAAATAAGTAAACATGTGTACGTATATGTGTACAACTGCGTACGTAGATATACAGTATATATAGTTTATATGTACGGATGTGTTCATATACAGTACGTATATAGTCTATATATATATTTTTATTACGATACATTTGTTGCGCAAACTTGTAACAGTTATAATATATTTACTTACATCGTAGTTGTCAATGTTTCCTTCTGTACAAGTCGCGCTCGCTTCGCACGGGAAATGCGGACTGGAGTGGTTGAGATAGATCAAATCCGAGATATTGCCACTGGCGTGACGTAGCGTCACCGCCACCGTAGGCCAGCCCACAAAAATATAGCTAATAGACGTAAAGATAATGGCATAAATGGTGCCCTTGGGAATGGCGCCCGAGGGATCGCGCAGATCCCCGGTGATGGAGGTGCCGGCCAGGATGCCGGTCACCGAGGGGAAGAACACCCCGAAGACGCTCATGAACGTCTCGTTCTTCTGGAATGCCGGTTTGAAGTTGTCGGCGAACAGCTGACTGGACGGCCCGACAAAGCCCCGCGCCCGTTCGGCATCGTTGGGCGGGATCCAGCAGCCGATGAAGATGTTGAGGATGGCGGCTAGAAGAATGACGAAGAAGACCGATTGCAGCTGCAATAATAAATACAATCTGCATATAGGATACGACGCACTTTCACCCCTTTTTACTGCTTTTTGACGCTTTCTGGATAGAAGTGTATTGTGTCTGTACGAGTATGTTTGTACAACTTTTTATTATGAGGCCCAGCAGAATAGTGTGAAAATCAGTGTATAAATAAAAATATTTTATGCGGATATTTAACTGGTAAAACAGGTAAATTTTACCTTGCAACGTGCTCTCACACCCAGAAAATGTAAGGTACTTCCGCGTTAAAAAAATTCGTAAAATTTATGAAATAAATTATATATGTACATTACTAAATTTTATAAATAAAGTTAAAACAAGAAAAAAAAAGCAAATGTTGCAAAAATACTGTATATATTTTGCTACCATCAGAATATTACGCTGTTTTAAAAAATGTTAAGATGTCTGCATTCTCGCGATCGGCACACAGACGGCCAAGTTGCCAACCACAAAAATTGTTATAATTTACTTTGGAAGCCAGCTCCATTCCGCAAAATGTAAACAGTGTCAGAGCAATCAGCGCGATCACACCGATAATCCGCATATCATTAGCCCGGTCCACCATGTACAGGCCGTTCTCCTGCGCAAATATTTGCATCGAGCAATTTTTATACATGCAGAATTCATGCGTCCGCAGGGATTTTACTGCGTGCTACGTCGGTGTACGTACGCCCAGCAGGTTAGCGACCGTCTCCGCGAATCCCTGCAGATTCAGCGAGACATTGACGGTGTTGGCCAATGTGAAAATAATTCCTTCAAAAAAAAGCAATTTTTTCTTATAAACATTATTATGATTGTGTTTTCTTCATTTAAAACATGTTTACCAATGGCGGTGCCGAATTCCGGGCCTAAACTCCTGGAAATCATATAATACGTTCCACCACCTACATGCAGACGTCACGTGTATCAGTTTCGGCAGATGTAGTGACAGACTGATTTTAACGCAGGATTAATTTCCGTTGTGAAGATGTGCATTTTTACTTCCGATTTCTCCGTTAGTGCTGATGGCTGACGTGGACAGGGACGTCAGAATGGCGATAGTCGAGCCGATTAGCACGATCACGAGGAATAATCCTAAGGAAAACACGCCAAGACATATACAGCGTTTTAAGATGCCTCGTGCAAACAGTAAATCGCGGATATTTTTAATGGCTTTACGATGATATTGGCTACTGTGGCAAAACACGGTAAAACATACAAATTATATTTGTGCTCAGTGCTCACCCATGCCGGCTTGTGCGTTCATCCATGCGATCCGCAGAAAGAGCATGACACCCCATAAATTCAAAATGGACCATAACTGCCGAATAAACACATAAACATGTAACGACCGCCGATAAACGGGCAAAACCGGCGCTGCAAACTGCATGATCATATTCCGATACGTACAAAAACACCGCGTATCCATCCGAGTTGGCCCCGTTTCTTGGCGGCCACCGGCGCCGACTCGGCTTCTTCCGGTTTTACCTACGTATACAAAGTTTACCAAATTTCTGCACAAAATTGTTTTGGGTCTTTAATTTTCATACAAAAGTGTTTGACGGTTTCCGTGCATTGATGCAATTTACAGTGGACTGCAAAATGGTGTTGCACTTATGTAACTGTAACCACAAACGCGCGAAACCAGACACTTTTCTGTATCTAACAGGCAAATTGGGAACTGACCATCGGTCTGCTGGTATTAACAAATGCACGGTTGCACCTTGCGCTTGTCCCAACGAAAACCATCACCCGATATCTCAAACGAAAGAGAAAAAATTTCAAGAATTTTGATACCAAACAAGTTGTTCTTTATGAGATCTAACAGAAAATCGACACTCCTAATTAGTGTCTCGTAGACATAGCATAGGATGTGAATCCACGGTTTGGTTCCAGTTTTTCAACAGAAATCGTATGCTTTGTCTACGACAAGCTAAATGGCTTGATTTTCTCTTAGATCTCATAAAGGATGACCTGTTTGGTATCGAAATTCTTTAAATTTTTTTTCTTTCGTTTGAGATATCGGTTGATGGTTTTCGTCGGGAAAGAGCAAGCGGTGCAAGTGTTCAAATTCTTGCGCGTTTCCTGTTTAGTGGTCATTTGGTCCTGGCCAATCACATTAATTGGTAATTTGGGCGTGGGCCGAATGTAATAGGTTTTTGCAGTCCACTGTACAAGTATCATGTACCGCATTTATCGAATTATCAGCTCTCCCAAAATACAGGCTCCCTTATAACTGAAGCTCACTCCAGGAGGCGTTCAAGTACTGATGACCCAAGTAATAAAACTAGTGATTTAAGCTTTTGGAGCTGCTTTACACTAAGGCTCACCTCGCCGCTGATGAGCTCCTCGATCGTAGGCCGCACCCGGGTGGTGTGGAGCTGGTCGTAGTTGACGACGGTGGGGATGGCCTCGGTGGGGTCGAAGCCGATACTGATCTTGCGCGTGCGCACCTCCCCATCGCCGACGGTGCTGACACGGTGATTGGTAATGGTCGGTAACGGACCCAGATCGTCCGTCTCGGCTTCCTACGCAATGTAGGACGAACAAAAAATGGAAAGTGATCAGTAGGTCCGCGGGACAGACACTTAAAAATCAAATCATCAAGCAGCATGCAACAGGAGCACATTCGGTTAGGATGAAGTGGCAGCAAGGCGTTCGAACAGCGAGCCGCTTGTTTATGCCATCATCAATCGGGGCAGTGTGCATTAAAACATATCCTTTATACGTAGCAGCAAAATACACTGCCACTGGGGTCACTTGCAGAAATTTCAGTGTCGAAACCTCGCAGCTTAAAGTTTAGATTCAGGACGTAATACAAAGTCATAAAACCAGCTGAAAAAATCTTAATAAACCCGAGACTTTTTTATGCTTAGGTTAGCTCGTAATCTTGGCACTCGTATTCCTGTTTAACATACTAATAGCACTTGCAGTTTCCTTACTATCTATCGTTGCCTACGAAGATTACAACCAAAACTATCCCAGGCGATATACCCATTTGCGCTTATGCAAATATTTTCACCGAGAAACTGCCATCACGTGTAGTCTCGTACGTATTACGTGTGCTTTATTTGCCTCTTTCGATATTTAATTGCGACCTTTACGGATTACTGCGCGCGGGAAAAGATGATAACGGATGTTATTTTAGCTGCTCTCATGATCGTGATGTACAGTGAACGACGGGAAGGTGCGTCAATGGTAGATGGTCAAATTACTTTCTCCCTGACATATTTGCACACCGAGAATGTTGACAACATACGTTTATGACAGGCAGTTACCGCTACGGATCAAACCGTAACCAACCCGTGAAACTTTACCGGGATAAAACTGCTGACAGCAATGGTTTAAGGTGTAATCAATGCGCATTACCTGCATTACGCGCATCAAACAGTATTGTTTTGCTAAGCCTAAAACTACAGTGAGTATTACTGGCCCTTTTTACACAAGATTGTACTCCCCATTTCCCTCCTTCGAAAAAGCTAAAAACGGACGTGTGAATACCCAAAGCTGTTCTGATAAAAGCCATTCTCCTGCACTCCATACTTGCACATAAACAAGTGAGAATGTTAAAGCATTTTCCAATGATTATTTATTTTCGGAAAGAAACTTACTACAACGACGAGAGTTTCGGTCCACTTGCTTTTTGGTATTCACAAATTTTTAACCTGGTCGCCGTTTCATTAGACAGCAGGTGTAGGCTACATACAGACTGTATACAATACAACCGTACAACTGTTGCAGCCACCTGTCACTGGTATCCCGTAGTCGACAGCTACCGAAAGCGGTTATTACATCTGCAATACTACGTAGTACTAATATTTTACGGAAGCTTAGGTTCGATGGCACATTCGCTCATTCTTAGAACAAACCTTTAATAAAATTCACACCTTTCTAAGACTTTTGAGCAAATGTTGTAAATATTTAGAAATATAACCTGCGAACCAAAACCATATATAGACTCCAGTGTGTCACAATATCTGGCTGTCATAAAATCATCTGGCTGAAAAATATCATAAAACAAAGCAGAAAAGTGCTTAGGAGTTGGGAATGCGCAAAAGTGAAAGTTTTCGCGCATGTACACGACTTGGTACATGTACTGCACTTTCACTTATAGCGTAACTATCGTCCCACAATCGGCAACTTAGTTGAAAGTGAAGGACTTTTATGTAAGTATTATAAAATAGTCCCCCTTAAATGAACAGAAAATACATTACTTTCGCAGTATCACTGTTACCTGAAATGTAAAGGGGGCTGAGATACGATATATTATGCCGGTAGGCCGGGGTGTGCTGCGCTCATGCCGCTTCGCGCTATAATTATCCTCACTCCCCATCGTAGCATAGAAACAGACAGATGTGCCAAGTTACGTATGAACATTAAAATCACAGGCATTAATCCTTGGGTAAATTAACGACTGTACTAATATCCCCGATGCGTATAACCCTGACTGACTCCAATCCGGGAATGATTATTTATACTTTGTACATCCTACGATTATTGATTCGTTGTAACACGAAAGCAAAAATCAGCGTCTTCGATTAACCAAGAAAATGCTGGCTTATACTGAGTTATACTGAATGAAAAAGATGCATACTTCTCAAAAACACTCTTAAAACTGACAAGTTGTCAAGAGCGTGCTTCTTTCTTGTAGGATGTTACGGTTACACAACATTCCGGCATATTATTTGCCATTGACCATGGACTCCTGCTTAATGCTCATTTTTTGATGGCGCGGGCGGTTTTTCCGTAGCGTATCTGTCGACATTTCAAGTGGGCCGCATAGTTTCGCAGACGCCTTCGTTTAGCACGGCGTATTTGTACAACACACACCATGACACTTTTGGCTTACTCAGCCTGAAAACTAGCCGGCAACGACAGTAGCCGGCCTTGTCCCGCTGCGACAATTGCCACACATTAAAACAAATTCCAAACCTCGATTTCGTTGTGAAAATTCTGCTACATTTTAAAAACCATTGACCAATGACAATACTACAAAAGTGTCTGTATAGATTTCGAAAGAAATTCTTGAAGAAGAAATATCTCGCTTACCGTATCGTTTTCCATGATATCGAACGTGACTTCACTCTTCACCGGCTCTCCGCGTTCCTCCTGGCGTTCTTCTTTCCGAGCTTCATCGCGGCGTTCGGAGAGCCGGTCTACCGCTTGCAGATGCGAGGCCGCCTGCATATGAATGGAGACTTTCGGGGAGCGAATGGGCGTCCGCCGCACCCCGTTGGGAATGGCCTCGGCGATGCGATGCGCACTGAGCGCCATGGCCTCCGAATCCGTCCAGGGCCGGGCGGCGTGACCCCGTGCGGCCTGTTTCGGCGACGGAACCGGTGTGATTTTGAGCGTGGCATCCATTTGTCGGATTACGAAGTGCAATCCGAATATGCATACCCGATAGTTTCGCGAATTGTTGTGCTTGCGATCAAGAATACAGCAGCTTGAAAGTTGATAATAAGCTGCTTTACAAGAACGCGGATCTGAAGCTAAATGAAAGTTTTTGATGAGGTGATACTGTGCAGCATGCAGCAGGATGGTAATGTCTTGAAAGATTGATCGTGGTCGGCAAGAACGACTGCTCTTTATGGCCCTCGCCGCAGGACACCTTCTTGTGTCTACTGTCTACTAATATGGCTTTATGGCGCGGGTTTTCTTCATGTGGAACGTATAGCTGGTTGTTTTATTTCGGAGATATAAAAGCGTCCAAGAATACTCTTCTGTCATACATCATTCTAGAATACTTGCACAATAAAACGATTTGTTAATAGCAGACGAATAAAGTTACTGCATGCTGTACATTATTCATAGTGTTACTTCATGCTGCATAGTTAGACAGTAGATACAGAAAGCAAAACGAAGTAGCGATACTTGAGCTACACAAGCGGCATAATATACATGTAAGTCTACAAATCCGTATGTCCAGCTAGCTAATCTGTCTCCCGGCAATCATCATTTGGCTGCTCTTTAGACAGGAAATCCGGAGTCGTTCATTAAGCACCCTTTGTCAGGAATAATGGAGGCAAAAAGCCGGTTTTTAATTAAGGTGTGGTCAATCAAACTCCTTTCGATGCAGTTGTACTGGAGAACTTGGAAATCATCTCGGAACTGCTGGATCAAGGAAAACCTACCAAGTCCTGTCTTGCAGGATTTTTAAGGGTGCGGTTATTAAACCCACGTAAAATTTAAACCAGCGCAATTACTGGTTAGAAATTAATGTGTTTGGAAAATTCTCATTTTGGGAGGCGAACACTGTGTGCGGTCAACCTCGATTCCCTCGATTCCCTCGATTCCTCGATTCCCTCGATTCTGGATTCACTCTCGGAACAGGTGCTTCTCGTTTCTACCGCTGTCTAACATCTAACATGCAGATGCGGTGTTGCGATAGTATACTGTAAATCTACGAAAACAATCGGCAGTTGTAAAAATCATTAGCAGAACACCGGGTACAAGTAGAGCGCTACAACATAGTCACATACCCTCGGAGTCCATACGGCCACTCATGCATGATATTTCCAAACATAAAGTTTTTCATGTAAAGCCTGTTCAAGCTTGTCCCGTAATTTGTATCGCAAAGGTACAGCTACATCACGTAATTAGCTGGTCAAATACTTAATCTCTGTATTAGTGCGATAGAAATTACGGGACAAGCTGGTGCGTACGTCATTTTCTCAACGGCGCGAAACATAATGTCCCAAAAATAACGGGATTTTCTTTTGCAGTAAAATCTCTGCGAACACATCCAAATAATCCCATGCGCTGCACCAATAATTATCAAGCAAACAGCCTGTAACGGCAGAGTTATTCCTTGGCACATAAATGCTGACAGCATGCACTGATGACACTCCTGTCGTTCGTCGCGATATTTAGATTGTTATTGTTATTATTACACGAGTACATTCATTTTAATTGTTGCTTTGGCTTCATGATAAATTTCGTTAGAGTAATTGGTTGTGCACAGGCTTAATACGTACTTTCAATTAAAGGCTTTAATTTTTCCTTTGACAGACACATTTTATCAGCGGTAATAATGTCACCGCAAGTTCGTATTACTGTATCATCCCCGGCCATGTTAAACCATGGCGCTAAAGTGTTGTACTTACGTTAGTACTTTCCGTGCAGTTCGCGATTCTGTATGCATGTCGTAAGCAAATTCAGCTCGGATAAATCAGCAGTATCTTAATTAACTGTCATCGATTACCGGGCATATTTCGGTTATTATAAGGATAATAACGTGGCGAGCGTAATAAGCTGCTAGCTCACGTAACGCCACAGATAACCTTTGCGATGCACGCATTTGTAATTGAAGTACTTATCGGGCCTTATCACCACCAGCAAGCCATGCTTTCATTAATGACTAGATAGTACATACACTAACGCGGAAGCACCTTATCAGCGGAGAACAATATGTCCATTTCAACAAACATTTGGCTTCGTTGCTCAATGAACGTTTCCGCACAAACTGTTCATCTACAGTGTTTGTGCAGAGTTCGTTCTTGTTGCCGGCAAGGCGCTGTATAATACGCTACCATGCTCCGTAAGGGGGCTCTTTTTCTTGCGGTTTATGTGGTTTTTTCCGTCTATCTGGAAAATGTACATGGGCAGAGCAGTGACACTCCGGCCACGGGAGGTAGTAATACCAATACCCCGCCGACAACGACTCCGCAGCCAGATACCGGTAAAATACTAAAATTCCTCGTAAACCACTCTGTAGTTATATGTTTTTATAATATTGCTGCATAAAATAATGATAGGTGCTTTGATTGCTGTGTACTTGTGATGACTTTGCGAAAAAAATTAAAAAATGCTTTTCTGAACTTTTAAAGAGTTATTAGTTTTATTTACCATATATATTTATACTACTTGGCGAAACACTCGTAATGTTTTTGGATTTGTCAAAAAATATTATTTTTAATCATGCGATACGTTGCTATGTATTCTATTCTCGCACCATTACTGAAATGTTTCCTTATTACTAGCAAAAATGGAAATATTCTAATTAAACCAATAAATTGCAGTGGAATCATACTGGCTATGGACGGCCATCGGCATAGGTGGTGGGTTGGTCCTCATTCTCCTCATCGCATTGATTTACTTCGTGTGCCAGTAAGTTACCTATACTAACTAAACCCCGTACGACATACATGTATACATACCTATCTGTTATTTTCTAACAGATATAACAATAAACAATATTTTACTACAATAAACAATATTTTATATTTTTTTATGTTATTCGTACTAACTTCCTGGTAAGTTTTCGGGTAACATCAATTCGTTGTCTTGAAAAATAAACTTAAGCATAATAATAAAATAGTCAAAAATACATAAAAGGTTGTGGTTAGTGGTGGTAGCAGCAGCTGCGGTAAGCGCGAGTAATTTTGTACTGGTTTTTAAATTATGCTATAAGATTAAATCATCCCTCCTTGTCGCGTACTCCTTGTCGTGAACTCTCCTTGTCGTGCACTCTCCTCATAATAAGTAGTAAACTCTCCTTGTCGTGCTGAACTAATTATGTATGTCATTTCAAGCCGTGTTGATTGATCAGGTTTTTGTTAGGTCTCTAATTTCGTTTCAAAAAATTTCCATACTTCGCTATTTCCATTTGCAGATTGATATATTTTACCGAATACACTTGGACAGTGTAAAATGATTTGTTGGTATTTAGGTATCAGAAAGAGCACAAGCAAGTGCGCAAACTGCGCAGTGAACATGCTCCTATCATTGAAATGGACGTTGAGAAAGCCGTTGTCAATGATGCATTCACCACCGAAGATGAAGGCAGTTTTGTGGATGACATCCCCACACGTTCCCCAACGGTAATTTTTATTATTTTCGGATTTCACCGTTCTTATCAAACCTTTGTGCGAGAATTAAGCGAAGTAATGATCGATAATGTTACTATTACTTAATTTTTATTATAACAAAATTTAAAAGCAAAATTTATTTAAAATATCTGAAATTAATGCGCCCTGTGTACCGCTTAGATTGCCGTCCAAACCAGCCGGAAACAACAGCAGCAACAAGCCCAGCTGCCCAACGGCTACCCGGCCGCTCCCGAACTGACCAACGTCCGCGTGCCCACGGACCGTCACAGCCGGGTGCTGAATGACGACCGCCCGCGCCGCGGGCCCTCCTCCATGAACGGCGACGACCGGCGGCGTGTTCGGTCCCCCTCCGGCCGCCTCGATGATCGGCGCTACCCGGAGGAGGAGGACCGGCGGGGTAGTGCCAACCTGGAATCCCGTCCGCGACGCTCGCAGTACGACGAGGAAGTGGGCCGGTACAAATCACCCCGCCGACGAGGGGAGGATGATTTTGAGACGATGAGCTCGCAAATGCCCCGGTATCGGGATCGGGATTACCGGCCGCCGAAGAAGACGCGCTCGATCCCGGATTTGGACAGGATCGATGAGGTACACATATGGATATCACAAAAAAAATTCCCGTGTAAAAAGTTTTTGGCAATATGAATATAGGTAAATAAACTTCTTTTATAGGGATGTGCCAACAGCAAATAATTAAAAATTGGTTTATCAAGAAAGTTGCACAGCAGACACTACAGTAGTGCAGTTATACGTAATTTCAAAAGTGTCTCCTTAATTTCGAAAGCTGTTTTTGTTTATTGCCAAAGGGTAATTTGTTATGTGCTTAGAGATATTTGCTAGCCAGAATATATGCACATACTTGGCAGATTAAATTAAAATAATAATTATGCCGGAATATTTTTATAACTTGACTTCCGGAATATGTTTATAACTTAATAATTATTAATAATTAACTTAACAATAATAATTTATAACTTAATAATTACTATTAGTTTATAACTTATTAATTATAAATAACAACATTGATCGGTAGATTGAGCGCACACCTTCCAAACGGATTCCCGCCGGTGGCTGGTCGTATTTGCCGGGCGCCGTCGATGTATACCGCGGAATCCCCAAAGCCAGCGTCGACCCCAAAACCGAGGAGCGACGCGACAGGAAGACGTCCGGCCAGCGCAATGACGGCTTCATCCTGAAGCCCAACCGCAGCGTCGATGATCTGGATGACCGGCGCCTCAAGGCGGAACGTTCCCGCAGTCCGCCGGGCGACGAACGGCAGTGGTCGCGGGATGCCGGCAACCGGCGGTCGCGCTCATCGGATGTCGGCGGGAGACGCACAGGAGACCAGAAGCGGGATGCCTATGGACGGCCGTATTATTAATTATTAACGCGGTTGGATTTATACATAAATTTTTACGTTTATTAAATAATACTATCTAATGCCTATTAAACATATAATTATCACGATAGCGGCTTCGGCATGCTCAGACAATGTCTGCAAAATGGTGTACTGAAAAAGGGGATGAGTGCTTCTAGTCCGACTGTTTTCATTGTTTTTGTTAGTGTTGTTCTTCTCGATAATACAGGAGTGTGATTTCTTTTTTTGTGATCCTTTGTATTCAAAATTTTTATTATTTCGTTGACTTTTCCGATACATGCAAGATTAATAAATTTAACAACTAAATAATATTATTTTGATCGGTCGCAGCGGTGAACACTTATTACAATACACGTACACCGCCATTGAGAATAAGTTTTATATAGTATAAAATTAAATTGGCTGCGTAAACCGGTAGAACTACACACAGTGTCGGCCTGCTTATCTTCGCACATCCACGCGGACCACGCCCGTATTATCTACTTAATTTTTCTAGTACACACGAATGAAAAATATTATGTTTCGGTTTTATCGCTTGCGGTGTTAGTGGAAATAACCGTTTTCTTTGGCATGAGGAAATTACTGTGGAAACAAGGTTAATACACGTACTTATTAACGATAAGAAAGACAAGACCGTGTCTAGTTTGCATCGTACTGTACAGTACGGTACGGAATACAACTGACTGGTGAGCAGTGAGCACGCACTACCAGAACAGCTGAGAACACCGGCACTAATACACCGCATTTATAAAAGTGCAATACTTGCTGCTCGTATGTACGTACGTTTGTATCAAAGTGCTGAGCCTCGATGTATTGATCCGTGTGTTTATCTGATGCGCCAGTCGGGTCCCATAGGCACTTAGGCAGCCTTGTTTAACGTTTAACGTTAAACCGCAAAACGCGAAAGCGATAGAGCAGTTGGAAGTTTGTTTTTCATGGAAGAAAACCACAACAAAACGCATTCATTGGAATCACAGACCGGTGGGAACGCCAGCTCCAGGATCAAATTCCTTCGGATGTAACATGGCCGTTGTCGGAGTGATTGGCGCGGGAATATCGGGATTATCCGCTGCGCATTTCTTATCCAAGCTAGCACGCTCAAATGTTAAAAAGGTACGCTAACAAATTTTCGAGTAACGTTTTCACCTAAGTCTAGAAAAACTAACCCACAACTTAAAGCGTAAAATGATATTATGACAGTGCATACTTTTTCGCTAATACTGTAGTACAGATGCTTAGCTATTGCAAATACTGATGGTTAAAGTTGCAAATGAAGAAAAACCAAAATGTTGCAAACTGTTGCAGGTGATAGTGTACGAAGCCAGCGATCGCGTCGGCGGTTGGATCCAGACGACGCGCTTCCCCGACGGCACCCTCTTCGAGCACGGACCACGCACCGTGCGGCCGATTGGCATAGCTGCGCAGACCGCTTTACGATTGGTAGTTACCCACAATATTTTATCCATAGAGTGCGCCGTGGTCCATCGTAATGCGAAAATAATCTTGCAGGTGGAAGATGTCGGGTTATCCATGCAGGTCTTATTCCTGACCGGATCGCATCCGGCCGCCGCCCGCCGCATGATCTACGCCAAGGGCCAACTGCACTACCTACCCAGCCAGATATCCGATCTCCTTAAGGTCCGTCCGCCCTTCTCCAAGGCGATGATTAAATACCTGACTAAAGAGATGGTGACGAAACGCGGTCGGTTGGAGGATGAGAGTGTGTATGATTTCGTCAGCCGACGATTTGGCGACGAGGTGGGGTGGGTGGCAAAAAGCGCCATGGGTACAGAAAATTGTGGAGGGTGAATTAATGTTGTGGAAGTTTAGTTAGCGCGTTACGCGGCGGATGCCATGTGCCTGGGGATATTTGCCGGGGATTCCCGCAAGCTCAGTGCGAAGTCCTGCTTTCCGTTGTTGTGGGATAAGGAGAAGGATAGGGGGTCGGTAGTTCGCGGGTTCCTGGCGCCGACTTTTGGTGCGAAAGAGGTGAGCATTGCGATTTACGTTTCAGACGTTCTAAACATTTTTATACACTTCGCAGAACGCCGAAAAAAGGCAAAACCTTTATTTTTCCGTGTATTTTTCTAGTTATTATCCAGGGTAACAGCAGAAGAATTAACGCATGTATGGAAGTCGTCACTTCGTAACAGCCTAACGGTTTATTTATCGACACATATGTGAACTTCAGTAAAGGCTAAACAGCAGCGAAAATTTAGAGGACATTGATTTCGGGAGTCCGACGAGTAAAAGATGCTTCGCATATTTGGTATTGCTAATTTTCGTTTTCATAACGCAGTAAACACCCGAAGGATCATTATAGTAGATCCCGAGATAGTGGTTACACCACCAGCGAATCCGCAAAATACAAATGGTTCATGAAACCGAGAAATGCAAAAAATTTATGTTTTAAGCGCACATTTTTTAAATTTTTTCAGTCAGAATCGGCAATGCACAGCAAATTATCCACCGTCGCCAGATCCGGCCGTTGGTTCGCCTGGTCCCTGCAGGAAGGGTTAGAAACGTTACCCCGTGCCGTGGAAACGGAACTATTGAGTGACAATTTTGTGGAAATTCGAAGAAACGATCCGGTGACGAAGCTGGGATTTCTGCAATCTGGAAAAGTTGAGGTAGGCGCGGCGAAATATTTTCGCTGAATTTAATTCAGCAGTAAAAAAATGAAAACATTTCATATTGCAGATTGACAGCGCTTCCGGTCGGTCGACCGTGGACCATGTCGTGTCCAGTGTCTTCGCTCCGCAGCTGTCGCAAATGCTGCCGCCGGATATGGCCCCACTGGCGGCGGATTTACGGAGCATCTCAGCTGTTACAGTCGCCGTACTGAATCTCCAGTTTCCGGGTGATATTCTCCAGCATTTACCGGTCAGTCGAACCGCTTCCGGTCAATCGCAGCATTACCGGTTTTGTAACAATTTTTTTATAATTTTTCTAATTAGGCATTTGGATATTTGGTGCCTTCGGTCGAACAGTCACCGCTCCTGGGTGTGATTTTCGATTCGTGGATATTTCCTCAGCATGCGAAGAGCAGTGATGAACAACCGATTACACAGTTGACGGTACAGATTTTACGCACTACAAATCTGTTATACAGTTTTACAAATACAATATTAAATGTTACAAATAAAAAAAACAACATTTATAACGAGATATAATAAATGTAATTAAAATATTATACCACCGTAAATCGTAAGTACAAAACAAATACATTTGTAGTACTTAACAATTTGTATTGGATTGCTAAGTATTAGTTTGTTTTTAAAAATTGAATATTTATTTTTGTTTATTTATGCTTATGCTGAATATTTGTTCCTCTGCAGTCTTTATTTTTGCTTATTAATTTCGTAAAAGATGTTGTTGACTATCTGTAAACTGAATTTGGCGAAAAATGATTAAATGCTTGCCGGTGGCTTTAACGAACACGACTGCACAGTACAACCTACGAAAACATTTTTATTATATATATTTTTGCAGTGCATGCTGGGTGGTGCATATTTCGATCATTATTTCGGCCCACTGAACGCCACGACCGAGCAGCGCATCCTGGAAGCGGCGCGGATGTGCCTGGAACAGCAACTGAATATTACGGGAACGCCGCTCCGATACAGTTTACGGGTTCACCAGGTAGCGACTCGACTGTGCGAAGTGATTTTCCTGTTTTATCGGGTAAAATTTCACCGTCTGACTGATTTTTGCAGAACTGCATTCCACAGTACCATGTGGGCCATGCCGAGAAGCTGGCCCGAATTAAAGGATTTATTGCTCATAATAAATTGGAGATGAGTCTGATTGGATCGTCGTACGGAGGGGTCAGTGTCAATGATTGTATTCATGGCGGGAAGAAGGTGGCGGAGAAGTTGGCGCAGTTCGGGACGGCGTCCTACGCTTCCTACCAATGAAGCGGCCTTCCAGCGGATAACGGCTGCCGTGATTAATTCACTAGGGCCCTCCATGAAAAGAGCATTTTTACTTGTATTCCGCGCTGTTTTTGACGCTTTATTGAATTGTATCTGTCGGAGATTTTAATTCGTTTCGTTGTTAATTTATTCGTTTCTAATTTAATTTCCAATAACTCAATAAGGAAAATTTAAGACACACAAGAAAAACTCATACCTTGAAATTTGGCTCAGCTAGCAAGTTAGGAATTTTTTTTTACCTATAACAACAAAGGCAAAGCAAATACAACTAATTTCAAGAGGCTGTAGCAAAATAGAAAAATCTAAATCGTAAAAATTTAAAAGCATTCTTCTAGATTTTAAAGATTGGCTTTTATTGGTATATCTTATGTACAGTATATCTATATTTTATTTTCTTCTATATTTGGTATAAAACAATTGTATTACGTGCATAATTTTTTACCGTGTTATATCGATAGAAGTATGGTTAAAAATTATTAATTTTTGAACCGGAATTCCGCTCTTGATGGGTTGCTGCTATGCGTACGCAGACAAGTAACGAGGTTTAATTACAGCAAAAACAGAATAGGAATATGCCGGTAGATTAAGTATTTCAACTGCGCTACTGCTGTGTTTCCGGTAGATCTTTCTTAACATTGATGAGACTTGCATTGAGGCGGGCTTATGGCTGCGTTTTTCTCAGACGGCTTTATGCCGGGAATGTGCAGAAGTTTGGATATTCTTTTGATAAGGTGTGTAACAAGTCAAACTGGTTACGCTTTTAAAATACAGTAATTACCGGAAGCGATAGCGCACCCGAAATATTTTTTTTAGTCTATAGCAGGTTACCGACGCTCTCTGACAGCGTTTTTACCGGTTAGTATGTATTGATGCTTTTAAAAAATGCATGGAGTTTGAACTGGCAGCACAATGCTGCTTATTTTTTTACAAAAATTTCATTCTACAGTACATATAACTATGTAGTTTCGCTAACCATAAGTTTTCCAATCGTGTGCAGTAAATCCGCGTTAGTGGCTTTGAATGAAACAGAAATTTAGAAATTTTATTTAAGATTTTTTTTTACGTACTGTAATTCCGCATCGAGGAGGCAATTCTTAGCCTTTCCCGAATCCCGAAAAAAAAACAGTTCTGCAGTTGTGTGTCTTTATTAATGTTATTTTAGCCATAATTGCATGCAACATGTGAAGCACGTCTATCGCAAGCACAACAGGATTAGATTGCTCTTAGTAAATTAAACAGTACCCATACCGGCAAAATTTCATCCGGTTTTTAGCCCGCTTAAAAAACACAAAGCTGCAGCCAGCTGCTGCTGCAAATTTGTTTCATGCATTTCCGCACTCGTTTTTGATGCATAAAGCAGCTGTTTTACATGGGGGAAGAAGCGCCTTCGCCTCGCCATGTGCGACTGTCGCCACAGGTCATTTCAATCTGGCAGTCGTCGTCGCTCATGCAGCCGGCCCAGTTGTGGTTACCAGAGGCCACGCCCATCGGCTGGGTGAAGCACCAGGGAGCGCCGGACTTCATGTTTTCCCAGCTGGCATACGCCCAGCACCAGCCATGATGGCAGCCGCATTTCTTGTGGCTGGAGCAGGAAGCATCCACTTGGCTAAGCGCCACTATAATACACAGAATTTTGCGCATAAATTTAATTTAAAAAGCGCAAAAAAAGGTACGCAGCTGTTGAGGTCTTATTTTATCGAAAGCAATCGAGCAAAAACCATAAAAAATTAACCGAACGTTTACAGAAAGAAAACTAGTAAATAAAATGCACAGTAGGATGAATTACTAACTTACCGCACAGGACAACGGCAAGGCAGAGTAACCACAGCTTGGACATTGTGAAGGGTACGGAAGACGGAACGCTGAATAGAGTTGGCGGAATGGAGAAAAGTAAACTGATTTGCTGATGCTTCCAAATAGACGAAGCTCCGGTTTTATACGTCCGACGACGGCGCCATGCCGCCTCTCATTATCCATTTAATGGTTTTTTTGGCATGGCGAACACACCTCCAAAATGTTTACTGCAACATCACAGTCCGGTCTTCTCCATGATAAAGAAATTATATAACAAAATTAATGAGAGACGCCTTGTGTATTGCATTACTAGTAGATCTTGTAGGTGTGTCTGCAAGGCGGAAAAAAAACCGGATTGTAGGATTTTCTTTGCAATCAATATCATCAAAGCTATAAAGGTGCAGCGCTGCGGGTTGTTGATCTCGCTAACTTATCTGCTAACGAGCCCGTATAAAAATTCGGATTGGCTACGGTAAGGCTAATTACTGTCAGGAATGATATGTAGTGATTGACATACCATAATTCTGTAGCGTATGTTTACTGTGAAACTCCTTTAATATAACTTCTGAGCGATCTCCCGATCAATCACCCGCAAGCTGCAGGTAGAACGTGTTCTGTGCGTTTGCCAAACGAATTAAAAGAAGGAAAATTTTTTGCTTGGTACAGACACGTCGCCGAAGAAAATTGCTTTAATGTAGGAGCTGTATGGCTTCTTGGACTGCACTACTGCAACGCGATCAAAATTGCAACCCAACTCTTCAAAATGGTCAGTTACAATTTACACACATTAACTCCCCGTCTTAAATAAGAGATAGCAGCATCAGTGTATTTATTACATGTATAATACGCGTATAATATAAAATGCAACAAGAGAAAAATTTCACGCCGTTAATTATACGGTTTTTTTCAACAGTAAAACTTGAAAACTGTCTTCAGCTTTTGGAAACTAAATAGGTACACCTACATAGTTCATCACCGGTGCGTCTCGTAGACTACAATTCCTCTTCTGAGCAAAAGATCCACAGACGAACTGAACACATTTACTTGTTAGAGGCAAGCAACGCTTTTTTAAATCTACGTTAATGACGATACTGCACAGTATACTGTAGTACAGTACATAATTTGGTTGACAGTTGATGGTGAGATGCTGCCGTGCGTGCTTTAACTTGCTGACCGCTAGTCCGCTGCCATAAACAATGATCAACCATGAGTCCATGACACTTCCAGCAAGCGAAAATCTTGTGTGGTATCGAGACTGCCGACATTACCCAGTAAGCACTGGCGATCATTTTCATGTCGCTTTTGCCATAAGTTTTATTCTCCGTCAGAGTCTGGACCACCGTAGTTGGTTATAGTTTATGTCTACCTGAGCACAGAAGAGTATTCGTGATATCTACTTTTGCTGTACATAGAAGAAGAAACCTATGAAAATGAACGACGTAGTAGTCAAAACTTCCACGGAAAAGGGCATTATTTTTTTCTTGTGGTATGCAGATGCGAGTATCGATTCATGAATACTAGGCTGGGTGTGGCAAGGGTGAAAGTTATTACCTGCCGTTTTTTATTGGCATAATTGTGCATCGTCCATACGATGAAATAGCAGCTCAAAACAAGAGTAAGGATGCACTAACTTAAGCTGCCACCTGGTCAAGCATCGTGAGAAAACAACACCAAAAGAACTCTCAATTCTTTGCCACACGTTATTGCCTGTCAGGGATCTGAATAATAGTCACATAATGCAAGCAGATTCAACACGACTGGGAAGGTGGAGAGCGTCGTTTATCCTGGTAGAGAGCTGCACGTTCCCAAACATAGCGGCTGCATATCGGGAGGTACCTACATCTGCATTCTGCAAACGTTCTCTCGAAACAGATTTCTATCTTTGCTGAGGCCAAGATATTTCTGAATAAAACACAAGCAAAAGCGATGATGAGGCAGCAACATGCCACGAATTGCCTTAACTACCAGGAAGTGAACCGATCCCGTTAATCAAGACAGCAACGCAGTTCGTTGGCGATCGAAATACTCGGCTACGTATGCTGCCCCATGCGCTGTGTAGTGGCGCGAATATCCTCACAATTTACCATCCCATTCCATCGCTTAAAAAAGCCAATCGAAAAATTTAAAAACTTTCTGATTTGCCTTTTCGAAGTGTACGAATTCATTGTTTACCTGTTTGCCTAGCGAAACATAGCGGTTATTAAAGGTTACGGACGCTCGTCGCAGCGGTTGCGAGTGCACCCGTTTTGTGCAACTGTTAGCCGTTTATTTGATCTATGATTTTTGTCACACGTCTGACACACGATCACACTTTTAGCCGGTAGACTGTGCATGGAAGGACATGATAGCCTTTCTCCACGGCGCCACAGCATAGATCCTTGAATTTTTACTATTACAAATGTTTGATGAGGTAGTTTACAGATGGATATCTGGTTTGAGCCTTTAGACGCATCGCCCGTTGCACGAGCGTATAAGTTCTTTTTTTGTTGGGTAGAATACTACCATTTTTTTCTGCTGCACAAGAAATTAGACGGAAGAGTAATCATGTAGATGGAACAGTGCACGTGCTAGTAAAACTTGAACTAGACTAAATTATCATACCGACAACTTTGAAACCGGTTTCGGCCCGCTCAAAATTTATGAGTATAATACCGGCGCCGCTTTCTCTTTTCTTTCGTTACAACGCCTTTTAACTGCTGAATAACAAGTGGATCAGCTTAAAAAGGACTGGAAGCTCCTTCATCTTTCCAAATGCGGCTGTCGCCACAAGTCGTTTCAGCCTGAGGATCATTGTCAACCTTGCAGCTGGCCCACTGCACCTTACCGAAGACGGTGCCCAGTTTCTGTGTGAAGCACCAAGGATCGTTGGTTTCGAAATTTTCCCACTTGGCGTACGCCCAGCACTAGCCGTGGTGGCAGCCGCATTTCTTGTGCGTCGAACAGGCAGCATCTACGTGGAGCTGGCTTATGACCACTGAAATACAGAAAGGTCATCATATTGCTTCGGTATTACGCCGTGTTCACGTTATTTAATAAAGATGGAGGAGCGCTTTCTACTCGAAGGGTAACTTATGTTATATTCTACGAAGATCATCATCTGTATTTAGAAATAAAGAGAGTAAAGGTCACATATAAAAGTACTTACCACAAAGAGCGAAAGCCCACAGCAGTGCCGACAATTTTTCCATTTTCTCCTGGTCGATGCTAACGCTGATTAAAAAACCACATCAATAAAATACTACGTTATGAATATTATCTTTGTAAAACGCATGGGTCCGGTGGCCCATCTTTTATATGTTAGAGATCTGCAGCACCGGAGACGCCATTCACCCATTTTTCCTTACATAACCGGCAAAATAAAATTAACTGTTCGAAATTTTGACATTTTGTGGGTTTTTCAAAGAGTTAATTGGATAAAAATAAGTGACTGCCAAAATATGCTAGTGAAATTCCTAGTAGATTTTTTAATTGCGCGCCGTGGTTAATGGGTTAACGCGGTTAGTGTTTCTTTATTCCTTCTGGCACTAGTGATCCATATTTCTTATTAATTAATGTTTTTAAAGACTTTCTTGGAATGCTTTTACAATGGCTTCTAGAATTGCATCTCTAATTGAAATTAGTTTGGCGTTTTTGCGGATTTCACCGAAGTACTGCAATGGCTTACGATGATTTTTTTGCCAACTTGCCGCAGTAACCTACTAGCTAGTGATTACTCGTAATTGTCGATCAGTTTAAAATATAAAAATTTTCTCTGTGATTAATGTTCGGTATAGTTGTGTTGCCACGATTGCTTTGGCAGCCAAGATGCAGTTTTATCACAAGCGTTTCAAGCTTCCTTGGCTGTCCTACTTGTGGTAAACCAAAGTACATCTTCAGGCATCAATTATGACAGTTTTTTGTGGTATTCACGATTCTGCAAAAAAGACTCTTTTATTTCACGGGTAAACCGCCCGCACTTTGACGATCGAGCCGAGACCAGACCGGTTTTCCCATGCAATAAAATTATAGGGATATACGTACTGTAAACTGCATCGCGGACAGACATAATCATGATCATGTGGATAAAACCATATTCTTCCTGCAGCAGTTTGAACTTTAATCATAGTAATACGAGTTATCATAACATCTGTTGCATAAACTTTTTCATTAAATGAAACGGCACCATGGGATTATTTAGGAAACACCAAACAAAACTCTGTCTACTGTATCATTATGTGGCGCAAAATTAATCCCAAACAACCGACTAACATTTTTCTTCCATAAAATACGAAACACGACATAAATTCAATTTAATTATTTTTTACATTCAGAATAATGTAGTTTGCGCTTCAGGACACTGCGCCAGGAAAGCCCCGACAAGCGAGCTGCCACACATCTTCCAATAGATTGTCCAGGCACAAAAAATTACTTTTGTGCAGATCGTACGGTTTTTATTTGTCTGATTTGGCTGTATGTGTACACTGTACATTTACATGGTAACTGTTGCGGTTAATACAAGCATTAACCGGCATCCCTGCACATGTATGTACTTCAGTAACATGCAGCACACATGCAGCAAGTCTTTTTTGTTTTTTATCATAGTTATTTGTTAAGCTCTCTTTTATTGGTCTGCTTTGTTTGCTTATAGTTATACCGTAGGAAATCATACCAGGTACCGGCTGCTTTGCTATACGGCTTACGAACAAGAGATTTAGCGGTTTTTTGGCACTTTACTTGCTTAACAGCTACTTCAATCTGCACCGCATTTAACGCCGCTAGACAGTTGCTGTGTAAAGGCAAATTAAACAAATTATTAATCAGTGTTTGAAACAATTCGCGTAAAGAATTTTGAATTAACGCCGCGCAAGTCTTTTCGTCAATTCCGTAGCGCTTCGCGTCATTCCATTCTTTCATTGATTCAGTAGGGAAGTAGATCGATAGGTCAGAGAGATTGATCAAGCAGCAAACACAGAGAACGAGAATTTCTGGAGTCAGCAGTGCAGTTTCTAAACCGGCAGTATCGAGTCCGGGCGCTCCACCATAAGCCGGTAATATCTCCACCATCCGTTGATGCGTCGATCTACGTTAACCCATTTTGTTTTAATGCTCCTTTCCCAATGTTCTGCCGGTAGAAATAAACAATGCGATTATTAGTCGCTGCTCACCGTAGTAAAAATATTATTACTCTGGTGTATTTCATATTTTTATTGCGTATTTCTTACTGTGATGCCAAACTGCCGCGGTTGGTTATCCCCACGGTATTCGCTTATGACAGTGTGCAGCACCAGATACCATGGCATATTCGCGGATTCATCCTGGGCGTGGAGGAGCTGCGCGCCAGATTAGCCGGGCGGCTGGAGATTACCCACAAGATCATCTTCGCCAAGAATGTATCGCAGTGCGCGGACGTTATGGCCCGCGTGGTTACCTGGGCGTCGCAGGTGTTTTATCCGGAAAGGAGTAAAAACAACTCCGTTATTTTCTGCAGTCCAGGTGAGCCAAGAAATTATTTGGCTAACTGTTGACATGCACGCATTTCTTAAGCCGCAATGTAGTTTTTACAATATCGTCTCTATATATTTCTTGTTTAAATTTTCTGAAATCTTTAGTACAGTACATACACGTAGCTTTATATGCGTACTATTAATTTTGAATTTTTAGCTTTAGTGCAGTAGTCGTCCATTATGGCCGCTTGGCGATGATAACGTCATATTTGCGACCTTGTAAAATTATGTAACATAATGAGTGTTATATTACTAATTAACAGATTTTGGTTTTTGGATTAATGTAAGTCACCTTTTACTTTAAAAGCTTTTTTAATAAATTCATAAACATCCACCCTTTATGCAGATATTTCATCTCACACAATTGTGAAAAGCAGGCATCCTCCATAATTTTCAATAAAATTTTTCGAAGTTTTAACAGAATATTTTGAAATTTTGTGCGTGCTTTTATGGTCATGTGATACGTACATATAATAATGCGGCCGTATTATAATTACATTGCGTAAATTCAGGTTGCTTTCAAGAGATATTACAGCTGGGAGCCGTTGCACGAGGTAGGTCGAATTATAAAATCGCTTGTACAGTCATTTATCCGGAAACCCCATTCTGATTGTTCTTTCGTTGCGCACCACCAGAATGGAACGCATTGTTCGTAACCACGTAAGTTTTTATTACGTGCACTCCCATATTTCCCCTTCCGTGACGAATCTCACATCTTCATCGGCCGCTCCTTAATTAAACAGGCTGGGCAGCAACTACGTGGTGACCCCGACCACCTATCCGACCATCGTCTCCATGTCCTACCGCCAGCAGCGCTCCTTCGCCGAGTTCCTCATGCGGCTCTTCCACAAGTACGCCTGGCGCACCAGTATGTGGCTGTGCGACCAGGACCAGACCGTGTCGGCCTTCACCTCCTCCACGTGCTCCAACGCCGGCAAGATGATGCAGGAGAACCACGCCTACGTCACCAATATGATCGACTTCAATTCCCGCATGAAGTGGGACGCAGGGGAACTGCTGCAGAAGGTGACGACACTGGCCAGAGGTAAACATGTTGACTAACATACTGAGCAAATATAAATAATCCGTTGAATGAACAAATAAGCGGCGCTCTATGGGAAACCAATATCAACAAAACGCGTGTCGATCAATTATATTGGGCCCCGTGCGTTTGTAAATGACAGCGTTTATTGACTTTTGCGTACGGTCTTTATTGAACCTGTTGACCTCTAACTGTAACGTCCCTCATTTTTTTTAGTGATTATTTTATCTGCCACGGCTGATATTGTGAGGAAATTCATGGTAATGACTAATGAGCGTCACGCGATCGTTACACGGACAAGCAACGCATTCGTTACAATAAGAATTTATGGCTTTTCAGTTGGCGGCTGCCAAGCTCGACATGATTTCCGGTGATTATGTTAGTAACCTTATGATTATCGCTATGTACACATTAAAGTGATTAAACTAAAAGCCAAACATGGGAACATTGTATTCGAGAAGGCTTTAAAACGATCTGTTTTTGTATTAATCAGAGGGTATCTACAGATTTTTATTACCGTACAAGAGCTCTCTGAATCTTTCCTGGAATGGCGATTAAACGATGCCGATGACGCGGTACACAAGTCTGTCAAAACTGCGGTGGAAAAATTAAGAGTTAGCTGTTTTAATCAGGCGTTAATCGCGGCGTACCGGGCGTTATTCGTCGTCACCATCCAGAATCCCTTCAACGCCACACAACTAGCCATCTTTAACGAGCGTCTGGCCGCCGTGGAACAATCCGATTACATACAGGAACTGCTGCGTAACGGCACCATCCGTCCACAAGAACTGCATGACGACACGGTAAACCGGCTTATTAGCGTAATGCGATACCACCCCGGTAAACACGACCCTGACTCGAGGTGTTTATGCAGAAACCGTACAATATCGTCGGATACGAGGCAATCATCGCGTTAAGCACGGTATGAACGTGGTTTACTTTCTTCACATTACGTCATTTCGATTCTGGAAAGTGATGATCAGCAGGTGCTATCCGAAGCGGTGGATGCCGGTGTGTCGCTTAATGATGGGAGGAGTTTGGCGCGCATGTTCTACAACCGTTATTTTCAAAGCAATTACTCCACGTTCTATGTGGATGCGACGGCGTTACGGGTTTCGCCGATGATTGTGCGGGATTTTGACATAAACTCCACTTTATTTAAGGTAAAAGCTTAATTTTGCGCTGCTGCTTCTGTGTTATATAATTTTTCTCTGAATTACTCGTAATTAATATCTGAATGTTTACAGACGGTTTTAATTGGAGAAGTGCATCCGGAAGGATACAACTTGGTGCCCCTCAACGGAACCACGATCGACTGGGGACCGGCGTTTACGCAGTCACCACCCGATGAACCACGCTGTGGATTTCTCAACACACGGGCAATATGTTTCGATAACAGTAGGTGCTGTCTGTTCTCTGTTTAATGAAAAATTTAAAGCATTCGGAATGAAACCCCTGAAACGGTGAAAAATGTTACTGCGTATATGGATTTCACGGTCTCGTGTTACCGGCAACAGAAAATTGTAATTATTCCGGTGTTTTTCTAGGTCAAAGCCGAACAGCCACAATCGCCGGGGCAGCCGCGGGCGTGAGCGTAACCGTGATTTTAATCGGTGCCGGCGTGGCGATCTGGATTTACGGAAGGTGCAACTTTAACCCAGGATTAATTTCCTCCTACTGCAGTATTAAGTGTTAACACTTCCACATTTCGCAGAAGGAAAGAGCTCGACGACAAGTGGTGGGGGCTGGATCCGGTGCTCTTGAGCGCGGACGATGGAAACAGTTACGACTACATTGAAGAAACGGTCCGGGTCAAGCATGTTTCCAACGTCATTAATGCTGGATTTAATAACTACGCTGTATGTTTACAGGTAAAAGCGATATCTTTTCGTCCAGGGAGGACATACTTTTACGCCGGAAATAAAGTGTTTCTCCACATTGTCCGTGATCCAATTCACCACAGCGGGTCAAAGAGTCACTTGACAATCCTCAACCAAGTGCGCTTATCGTTTATCGACTTTTTCTGATCATTAAAATATTAATCGCATCGATATTATTAACAATAATATTTCCTCAACTGCGACTTATGCAGTCTTCGCGCAGTCTCGCATAATAAATTGTGCAGAACTATATGAATATTTTAATAAGTACGTAACGCTTATGCGTAATTTTAACTGCTTCTCGCTGAATTCTTATGCTGACTTGTCATAGATGCGAGAACTGAATAATCACGCTAATATCAACGCCTTTCTCGGAATCTGGGAGTGTAATCCGGAAAAGACACTCTTAGTGAGCAAGTGTTGCGAAAAAGGAACGCTAGAAAATCTCCTGCAGAATCCCAGCATCGATATCGACTTATCGATGCAGAAATCCCTCATTTGGGACTTGCTAAAGGTGACGCAACTAGAACGTAATCCATTTATTGGAAGACTGCCTTTCTTGTAACCCGCGTTTTTGTAGGGTGTGGCTGCTATCCATGCATCGCGTCTGCTGTTCCACGGATCGCTAACGGGTCAAAAATGCTGTATCGATAAGCATTTTGCCTTAAAGATTTGTGAACTTGGGTATGATCGACTGTACGGCAACATTCAAGCCCTTTCCCGACCGGAGACGACAACCGTTGACGCAGTGTACAGTGCGCCGGAACTGCAGAGTCGGATGCCGGTTTTCTCGCCCAAAGTCGATATCTTCAGTGTTGGTGTGATTATGGGGGAAATACTGCTGCATCATGATCGGAGCCAACAGGAATCGCTGGGTCTGCACAGTACAACAGGCAAGTAACTCTTTGGAGCTTGATCTGTGTGCGGGATATCACCAATTTTGATTCTGTTGTAGAGCTTATTGGTTTAATGATTTCCGGCAAAATTAAAAGCGCCTTAAAGATCTCTTTTCCCGGTCATGACGATCTGCTACAGACCTGCTGGAAGACGGATCCGACCATGCGGCCCACTATTCAAAAGGTCATGGCCGCGTATAAGCACTTAGCCGGTCCGGCGCCCACTAATCTCGCCAACATCATTATGCACCGTCTGCAGCGGTACAGCGACAACCTGGAAAACGCCGTTGCCGAGCGGATACACGATCTGCGCCGGCAACAAACTATTGTCGATGAACTGCTGTGCCAAGTGATGCCTGAGTAAGTCACTTTGACTTTGGTTCAAACCAAAGTTTATTTAGATGTAATATATTTTGTCTAAAGAATGATTGTCCGCGAGCTCCGAGCCGGACACACCGTGCACCCAGAGTCCTTCGATCTGGTGACCTTGTGCTTCACATCCTTTGATGGATTTGCTCAATTTGTCCAAACGGCGCGACCGCAAAACGTCCTGGAATTCCTGAACGAAATGGTGGTGACGTTTGATCGCGCCGTGACGGCGCATGATGTGTACAGGGTGGAGATCACGGGAGACTCCCATGTTGTATGTATTACCGTTGCTATTAAAGCTGGCACAACACACTGAATTTACTCGTGACCTTTGGTAGCTTGCCAGCGGAGTGCCTTACCGTAATGGAACCAGCCATGCCGCACAAATCTGTGATATTGCTGTGAAGCTCCTGCGTGTGTATTGGGACGGAGCGAAGAATGCTAGCGAACTCCGAGTCCGTGCTGGAGCGCATAGTGGTCCCGTTGTCACCGCTGTTGTTGGTACCAAGCTTCCAAAATATTCATTGTACGTCCTACGTCTAATGCCGTAGTGCTACATTCTACTTATTTTAATTTTTGGCTTTTTTACAGACTATCATTAATTTTTAACGATTCTCTTCGCGTATATGTATTGTAGGGTCATGCAAGTACCTAACACGGCTTATTCTTAATAGGGAACGAATAAATAGGTCTTTATTACTAGTATAATTTTCCCGTGACTGATTTTCAGAGTCGGAGATACGATTAACACGGCATCGCGGATGATGTCTTCCGGTGCCGGTAAGCAAATGCTTTGTCCTCATTTGACTGAGGTAGTGCTCTCCAGTAACTAATTCAATTTGCTGGAATTCTACCAAAATGCTTTTGCTCGCAAATGTTTTTCAAGGAACCACTTCCTTATCAGCTTAAAGTAGAAAATGACGCTGTGGCAAGCGATCGAAACAATATGATCCAGGAATATGTATAACGTGCCGTTATGCATTTCGTTTGATTATGTGCTTGTTTCTACAGCGTCCAAACTGCAAATATCGGAAGCTACACATAAAGTTCTGCAGAATTCCAAACACGACGATTATGTTTTGGAACAACGTGGTACCACAGAAATCAAGGTTTGATTCGATGCCGGGATTATAACGCAGTCTGTTTTATTAGTTGGTATGTGTTTCAGGGAAAGGGAAGCATGATGACGTATTGGATATGCCCAGTGCTGTGACCAGAAAGGATGACAGGACTTAACATAAGATTTCAGAAATTCTTGCCGGCAGCATCGGCTTGTCGCTATACCTTGCTTTGCATGGTCTCGTTCGCTGTATTTACAGTAAACTCAAAGTTCTTACGTCAGTTAGGTAGATCGCTTTTTATACAATGCAGAACCGTTAACAAAAACACAATGACTGAAGCAGTTGTGGAGGCGCGAAACGTTCACACCAGTAGCAGTGCCTTAATTAACCTGGGTGAAATAGTCGTCAATCTGCAGTTCCGCAGCTGTTTTGCGACTGTCCATATCGAAATATAGACATGATTTGATAAAGCTAAGCAGCAGTTGGTCGAGTTTGTCGTCTCCCAAATCTGGTAGCTTTGGTTTGGCTTTCAGTCTCGCCACTTGGTAGAGGATATTTTCTTTCGTCTTCAGTTGCTTTCCAAAAGAATACGATCCCTCCCATTCGTTCGTAGCATCTTTGGCTTTCTGCCACTGACAAACGACTGGTGCAGCGCCCGTACACAACTGTATCGCCACACAGCCCACACTCCAGATGTCAGTTTTACAGGAAATCGGCGGGGCTTTGGCGATGCCCTCTAGTGCTGTACAGTCAATCAGCTCGGGAGCTGCATAGCACGGCGTGCAACATGCGTTGTCTGTCTCGCTCTGTTCACCCCCAACGTCATTCAGCACGGCGTCGTCTAGGTCGATAATGATGACTTGACGGTGGCCTTCCTGTTTCAGCATCAAATTTGCGGGTTTAATGTCGCAGTGCACCAGTTTAACAGAGGTGTGTAAAAAATCTAAGCCGGTTAAAAGATCTCGAAGGAACGCTCCAACAGCATCATGCCGAACATGCAATTCTCCATGGTTTCCCGATCCAGTCATCGGTGGTGTGACGTTCTTTTCCGCCCACATTTTCAGGTCGCCGCCTAAACGAGATAAATCAATGGATTCACTGATGCCACGTCCTGGCACATGTATTCATTGTGCCACTCTGGCCGGATAGATACTAAAATAATAATATGAGAAGAATACCACAGAACATCCCGTCCCCTGTAGGTCACAAAATATACAAATGTTGCTAAGCGTTAAGGATCGTAGCCACGGCAGTTGCACTACATTACACAGTACATAAACGTTTAAAATACAGTCTGTACAACGTTAGCTTGTCAGTAAATATTATATTATTCAGACTAACTGAAATAATGTTTACCTGTATAGTACGGGCTAGCAATACGATAAATCAGTTTGCTATCGAATAGCACCTTGACCTGCTGCAACTCCAGCCCAAAATATTTTATAACGTTGGAATGATTCCACTGCATCAAGTGCTCAAATTTCTTAGCCATGGTTTCTTTAAAAGTGATCGCATCGATTTTGGAATAACATTCTTTGATCACAAATTTTTCATCCTGTTTTGGATCATCGTAAGTCACGAAAATTTCCGTATGCGGTCTTGTGGCTGATCTGCGCTTGCAGTCTAATTTTGCCATTACCGTGCGGGAAAAGGCATCATGTGGGAAAAGCGGCTCCCAGTGTGTTGAGCTCATTTCGCAGTGTTAAACGATGCAGAACTTCGACACTGCTTTTTTTCTACCAGTAGGCTGAGGAATGTATTAGCTTAGCTTCTACTCAGCTGTAGAAGACTCGAATGTGCAGAAATTTGCATTGTAAGCGAAATGCGAGCACGTACGATTGTACTCAAAGTAACTATAACCGATTTGAACATGTCACTGTCCGTATACCGGAAGGCACTTTGCTACGACTATCTTCTGATCTTTCCTTGTTTGCTTATGCATAAAAGCTTCTACGGATTAGAGTATTATCTAATCACCGAATGTTTAGTTAGTCCAACGTCCGCCGGCAGAAGAATTAAATGCCGGTACGGCATGCAATTATTACAGTTCGTCAGCTACTGACCGCCTCGGCAAAACACTGACGCGCCACTTCGGGGAGCTTTGGTGAAAAAAGTAAAAGGCCTGTATTCATTCTGCAAACAGGGCAATGTGCTTTCCCAAAGGCCAGATTTCAACACCGGATGAAGAAATTTCGCCGGTTTCCGAAAGGATGTCACCTGGTCTTCCAGAGCAAAATACCGCGCGTCATAAACTTGGGCCATTTCCAGCAGAATTTGCCCGGGATGCCAGATGTTGCCCATCGGCAGGAATGCGTTTGAATACTCAGCTACTTCGGGAACAAACCAATACCGAGGATGCTGACTCACATTATCCCAACGAAAAGTTTATCCAGTTTTACCTAAACCAAGGCGCGACAAAAGTTGAGTACGTCGTCGGCACAAGCTCTTTTTCCGTTAACGCATGTCGCGGCACTGTTGCAACTCACGTGGTTTACCAGTGTACCAATTGTCTGCTCCGTACCACAGATTTCAGAAACGGGAACTCGCCGTCTCACTCCTCAAACCGATAATGTACGTATTTTAATTGTAATATACAAAACCGGCAACATCGAAGCAAGCGGGAGCAGCCGCGGCGCGCGCAGAGCAGGATAAAGTGGCGAAGTATCGGGAACCCACCCGAGATTACCTGTTCCGTGCATTTGGCGTCGAAACACTCGGACCACTCGGACCGGACGCATCTCATTTGGTCACCGAAGTCGGGAAGATGATACATCAGGAAACAGGCGAGGTACGGGCGACGGAGTTTTTGCGCCAACGGATCAGCATTGACGGAACGCGGCCTCTGTCATGGGAACAGCACCAGCATCGGCCAACTTAGACGAAATATTCTGTGTGATTAGGCCGCCCATTTCCGTAGTCGGCTGAGGCTGTGTATTCAGTACAATTCTTTCACTTTTATGGAAACTTGTGACTGTATTGTAGCGCCAAGTTTTCGTGCATGTACAGTGCAGGGTAGCAGTACATTACTTGAAGGTAATGGTAGGTTAGATGAAATCGCGGTTGAGTTTATGTTTAAATAATGAAGATTTAGCTGCAGTAGTTAGATAGAACCTTTTAAAACGGTCTACTACAAAACCGAAGCTACGTACGCTCTAACCAGGTAGATGGGTAACCGAAAAAGAATAGCCATGCAAAATCTTCCGACAGGTGGAATTTTTTTATTACAACTTTCAACGATCGAGATCCTAGTATCGCCTGTAGCGTGCACCCTTTCCGTATGTACACGTAAAAATAATTACGTCATCGCAATTTGCTGTTTACCGAATCTGGCCCGAAAATCGATACTTTATTATTAATTTGAAAAAGATTCCAAGTTGAAGTCGATATGGGTATTGTTGTTAAACATATCCGGTTTCCGGGCGGTGACACTGTCAGTCTTGATGTTCTGGCACCCGCCGTTACGGCACGATCTCCTGCACGTACCGCGGTGTGTACTTACGCTGCGCGTTTGTAGTAAGTAGTACGTGTTGGTGTGACCGCACCCGCTTGATGCGCCATTAAATTTCATATTGATGCCTGCGCTGTGACTCACGCACATCCATTACTGTTCTCGCTAGATTGGCTGCGGTTTGCGCCACGTGGTGCGCGTGGCGTGATTCGGAACCATCTCATACAGGATTTGCGGCCTGCATTCTGCGATCGCTGACCAGTTATTTATGTTCAGGCCCTTCATGCTTTAGCCCGCTGGGGACTGCAGCAATACATTCTTCTTGCGACGAGGAATTCTGATACTGTAGCTTATAATAGTAAGTACTAAGTATTTGCGATGAGAGTGGACTTGAATGTTGTAGCTGTTGAATGTGCTAGACAAACTAAGTACTGGTTTTAATTCTGGCCGTGGATTAGGAAGTTTGGGGCCTAAAGTTACGATTCCCAAAGTGAATGTACTAAAGTACTTGACGACAGAACGTTGATTGTACGATGGTTAGGCAGTTAATATGTTTTAAGTGTTCATATTAGTTATAACACTCCTTAAAGCGTATTTTTACCCATTTATTTTTAATTAGATCTAAAGCATTGTGTTTCTCGAATTCATAGGTTCGGTAGGAAAATACGCGTAAAGTTCGAAGCTGTCCATAATGGCCCCAGGAACCCACCTATGGAACAGTGTAGACGTGATGGGCGACGACGGTCTTTTGCATTGTGGACGTGTGGTAGACGTGACGGATGAAGGCTTATTCATCGACTTTCTCTGCTCAAATCGCCGACGTGAATTCACCCCTTTTGACCGGGCTTTCCTTCATGATGGTCGGCTGTACCTGAACCGAAACGATTTGGCCCAGACACATGCCACGTTTGGGCGCACTGTAGAAGTCCTGCTGCGTGACAGTGCATCTGGCGCCTGGACGTGGTTCCCCGGCGAACTTGTCGATCGGCCTCGCGACAAAACACACACCGACTACCGTGTGGTCCTTCTCCACCGCGGCACACCGCAGGAGTATATGGATGTGGTTCCCGTTCCGCGTATTCGTCGGAAGGTGTCCGCTGAGGGACGAAAGAAGGTCGGGAGCAAATATCGCAAAACAACCGTGGATTTGACCAAGAAGATCGTGGACAGATGGACGTTTGTTAAACGGCGGTCGGAAGATCTTTCCGCAGCATGGATTACAACGCAGCGGAATACAGTGATGCATTTCCGTCCCCAGAACTCTGCCCGTGCGGTGTGCGTGGGCGTTGAGGACGGCTGTGCGGTCTACATTCAACGTCGATCCGACGCTGGAGATGAATCCGACGATATTCATGCGCGAAAAGAACTGGTAAGAAGCATTGAAAGTGGCAATACAATATAGCCATCAAATAAAATATAATATAGTCATCAAAATTGCAAACTCCGACACACTCCGACATAGTTTACAATTAAATTTTGTGATTATTTATTATTTGTATTATTGCAACTACAGTAACCACTTAAACTTAAATACTGTGAAGAAACAGAATATCTGTCCTTCAACGTGGGTTAAAATGTAATGTATTTAACTGAGCCGCAGCATTTCCCTTAGTAACAACCAACCTAAAACGTTTGAGCGATAGAATGCTCTTTTGCGGTGATTCATGTTTACCACTGTCGATATGTTGTGTTGTTATTTTGCAGAACAGTCTTAGGAAATTTCACACCGCGCTGTTGCGCTCCCTTAAGCCAGAGCCGTTAGTCCCCATTTCCATTTCAGCCATAGATGAACGCGCTCTGTTGCTGCCGGAGTTGTGGACGGACGTTTTCTCGAATCTGGACACTGTAACGCAAACCCGACTGCGTCCCGTGTGCGCCATGTGGGAAGTCATCCTGAGTTCTGTGGATCTGAGGCCCAACGTTGTTTTCGACACAGCGGCATTGAGTAAGGCGGATATGGATGGGTGTCCAACATCAGCGTATTTTATGGCCTCAGTTCTGTTCAAGTGTCTCTCGGCATCCACTAAGCACGTTGCCGTGGTTGACCGACGACGTCAGACCAGCAGAATTCAGAATTTGCAGATTATGGAAGTGTTTGATCTTCTGAGCTACTTGACTGCACAGCTCCATCCCGGCATCCAGTTAAAATGCGTCCATTTGTTCGGATTGAAGCACTGTTTGCAGAGTTGTGCGTGTTACGCTCATCCGAATTCCGAATGCGGACTTCATCAGCCCAGTAACATTTCCAGCAGTTTCGTCAATAAAGCTTCTGCCAACATTATCCTGGCTTGTCGGAATCTTCCATGTGATAATATTCAGCTGATTAAATGCACCATCACACTGGAATGCCATGTTTTCCCTGCGTTGTACGGGCCGTGTGTTCCACTAAGCTGGAGGTGTCTTCGCAGCTATCGACAACGCTTTACTGGCGATCTCGGCGGCGCTCTGTGGAGCGCGTTGGAAGCAGGCTTGACAGTGCCCAGTGGCACGGAATTAGCCCGCTTGGCCAACTGGTTAGATCCCCTTCGAGCACACGTCCAGTCAACGGGTCGAGATAAAGAGTATTCAGCCATCGTTGGCAAGGTAAGCAAGCCTGCGCCGACCGACGCTCCAGGCGAGCACAGAAATCCTTCACGGAAACATGGTCATTGTGTTGCAGGTATTGTGTGCGATGCAGACGGCGGATCCACGTCCATCGCTGCATTACCGCGGGCAGAAGTGGTGTGTGGATGGTCTACAGGGTCTGGAGCTGGAGAAACTGTCACGGGTGGCGCTGCGTTCCTTGATTAAGCTGATGAACGGTCTGCCCAGCTGAAACAGGGTTTTACTTTGTTCTGATCGGACGACGGCATACTGGGCAGCCATATGGTGTTTTAGTGGATAACTCTGTCGGTAGTCCATCCAAGATACATTTGATCTGTCGCTTTTGTATCGTACTAATAGTTTGGTTAATTAGTTATACTTCGCCCAGAGTCTGTTAATTCCAGGAAGAAAAGGAATTGTGCGTCAAACTTTTGTTAAGAATTCGACCGCTTCTTTCTAACGGTTCCGTATAAACATATGGTCAATTTGTGCTTTAGTTTTCGATCAGTGAATGAATTATGCAATTTTGGTGGAACATTGTTGTCGGCTTATCCATAAAAAACATCCCTGATCCATATTAATTACAAGACCAGTTACTTTGCGAATCGTACCTGATCGTATCACGCACATACCGCCACAGCAGCAGCGACAACAAGAGTGTCGGCACCGACTGCTCCAGCTACAGCTGCCACGTGAATTTGCGGCAATCCGGCGGTAGACGTTGTTAGTAGTGCTGATCAGACCTGGCTAAACATTTGGCAGATGTTTTTGCTGAAGTAGGGCACAACGCTCTCTTGCGCGCCCGTGAAAGATAACGCGAGTTAGTCACCACAACATTCTCAAGCCGAAAGCTAACGGCTGCGCTCATTGGTCCGCTACGTGATCCACAGATGAATTACAAAACGCAGCTTCGAAGCTGCGTTTTCTATTTCACATACACATTCACCTCCGTTGTCCCTGCTGTGTACAATTCGTTTGTGTGTACGCAGCACGATTCATTTAACAGTCAGTGCTTGCGTTTTCTGTGGTGATCCACTGCTTATTACTGGTCCAACGCATTTGTATTTTTGCTGTGTGTCATCCATCGGTGACGCATTCTGCTTTCACATTTTATTTCGCGATATCTTTCTTGAGAAGATTAGCTAGGATTGATCGGGCCTAGTGTTCCAATGGCTCAAGCTGCAATTTCAACGCGGAATAAAAACCGGTTTAGGAAAAACTATGAAGTGGCAAAACTTGAGATAGAAGTATGGATAATAACGCACAAATGCAATATCTGCCCGACATTTGTCGACAACAACGGCAATTATAGTCCAAGTAGGTGTGGTCTCATATGTCACCGGAAATGCGAGAGGGAAACCCTTACCTGCAGATAAGTGTATAACATTTCTTTGACAGCTTTAACAATTCTTTGATAGAAGTAAGAGTATTCCTCACCGTCGTTCGGCGCGTTTCACGGAAGCCGCACGGCGGTTCATCCAGTGGTGCTTTACTTGGACTTCGAGCCGACTTCGAGCCCTGTGTCTGTGCCGGTGTCTTTCGTGCAGACCAGCCTGTAACCGTTAGGCTGGACGTCGTCAAACAGGGCCATCTGAAGTATATTATTATAAAGTGGTAATTTACGGGACAAATCTCTGCTTATCACTTTTTATTAGCAACAGCCAATACAAATACGTAATGCTTGTGTTATTGGTCAAGAATAGCGCTCAACAACCGTTCCGCGGCTCCCAGGTGGCCGAGATACATTACGCAAAGCCGATCTCAGTTACGGTAACGGTAAAGCGGAAGCACGTTTTGATTTATACTTAAGTCAGTTTTCCGGCAATTTCTGGTTACGCGTCTGAATGAAACAGACGAATGGACAAGAGAGGCAACGAGGTTCCCGGTATATAAAATTATTTCAAAGTGTACAGTAAGAGTGACAAGTTGTGGGAAAACTAATATCGAAGTGTATTCTTATATCGGCGTTCGTTCCCAATTCCCAACAGTAAATTAATGTTTAGCAAGTTAATGCGTCAAGGCAAACAAAAATTATTAATTTTGATTTTGTAGTAGCAAGTTTATTTCAACAACAATACAATTCTGCAGCTTCTTGCCGAATTTGCTTGGAAAGTGGAAACCGTCGCATATCAAAACTACGAGATTGCTTGTTTATGCCTGCAAATCTTCTCTAATCACAGCGCTACAGGCTAACTAAAAATCAAAGACTCAAAATGTCCACAGTTTCGAGCACTATAGTGGTCATAATAAGCCCACATGGATCTCTTGGGCTTCGCACGAACTAATGCGCGCTTGCTCCGGCCGATATCACGAACTGCTGCAAACGAGGCACAATTCAAAAGTCGCTGGATATACTCGTACGTAGGCATTTCATATGTAAGTGGAAAATGCAAATAGCCGGTAAGGTCGAGATTTTCTAAGCTGTGAAGGCAGTCCAGGGATGCAGCATCAAAACAGTCGATGGTGCTACGCTCAAACTCCAAACTTCTTAGCTTTGGGAATCCCGTAAAATCATCTTTGGAAACCTTAATGTTTAGGCAGTCCTCGAATCGCAGCGTCAGTAAATTATACAGATGTAGTTCTCAAAGGAATCTGCAATCAAAGCCACTGATCCCGGTGATAAGGAGCTCGATGACCAGGTCAGACACTGGAGAAAACTGCACTCGTTTAAGGTCAGCGGCGCTCTTAACAATTAACTGCATTGGTCGATCTCGATCGGCATCGCGTGTCGCCAGAAATACCACTCGTTCACCTTTTTTCTCAGCATCTGGCAGAACATGCATCTGGATTTTCGTTGCTGACATGTGATGTGGCTGCGGTTCCGTGTAGCGTAAGGCGCCTTGCCACTCTACGACTTCATTTATAGTTAGCGCTCGCATCGCGAACCTTGGTAACTCATGACTGATGATCTTTCGTTGGATTCCATCCGAACAACGAAAGAACGACTGAGGACCACTTTGCGCTAACAGTTCGTTGACCGTTGGGCGATTTATCGGCTCAGCAAAACACTGCTGAAGGACTTCGCGGAGTTTAGGTGACAGGTACGACGGAATGTACGGTTTATAACCCTTTTCCATAAAGGGGAGCACACTTTGCGTACTGCCAATTTTGACGGCACCGGACGGAGGAACCTCGCCAGTTGCCGGAAGGTTGACGTGGTTTTCCTGAACGAAATATCGCTCAGTATACACTTGTGCCATTTCCAGCAGGATATGTCCGAAATGCCAGATATTAGTCATCGGCAAGAATGTGTGTGAAAACCCAGTTAACTCTTCTGGAGCAAACCAGTACGGAGGATGCCGGCACAGTATATCTAGACGTCCTTGGGCACCGACGAGATCCAATAACGACGGTGTGATAAGTATCTTGGCTTTCTGATATACTCCGCAACTGTGCTGGTCACAGAGGTGTATAGACCAGATTGTAATGGGTTCGCTGCGGATTTCATTTTCTTTCAGATAGTTTAGTCCGTTCAGGATGTCCAGCGAGTATGACCGAATCTCCGTCCACGATAAATGCGCGTTATCCATGTGCCAAGGCAGAGCAATATCACCTGTTAATATTGTTCATGTCAACCCGAAAATACGAGACGCAATATTACATACCTGGATCGGAGAAATATGTTGCTGTAAGCTTTAGTACTTCCGTGGCTTGAATGTCCAACGTGAGGAACTGCATCACCGCTTCGTGATTAATGGTAGGGTAGTGCTCCAGGGATTTTCGTTGTGTTAGACCGATCTCGGTTGAAGTGATTGCCCAAGATTTCGCTAAAGTGAATTCTCTGATAACTTCTCGGTAGTTTATGCTTCCTGCTCGCTGTTCGTCCTCCACCACATCTGACAGCGGACTGGATGGACCGATGTACGCAGTCAGGTTTGGTTTTCTGTCCGTGCGAACTAACCGAAAGGTCAACGAGTCTATGTTTCCGGTACTGTTGTAAATGATATGACGAAGCAGCATATCAGCCGTCGGTCGATTTTCTGGGTCTTCGTAAAATATAAGATACAGTAAATCAAGAAATGACGGTGGAACGGCATCGGACAGTAAGGAGAACCACCCTCGCCGATGGTCGTGAGGATACAACGCATTCTCTTTAATGTCAAAATGTTCAGTGGGTATTCCCTGCTCTTTAGCGACCTCGGCACGCTGAGTTAATATGAAAGTGACAACCCTTCCAAATGACCAAATATCGGTCTTGCAGGTTACTGCGCTGAAGTCTGCTTTGGCTGTGCATTCCGCCATTTCTGGTGACATGTACCAACGGGCGTACCGCGAGTAGGTACGACGGCGTTCGCGAACACTTCGCGGTAGATGCAGCTTTTGCAAGTAATTATCCATATCGCTGAGCTTCGCCGTGTAGAAATCGCCATGCGGCTCTAGAAGGATATTCCAGGGATGTATTGCACCATGCAAGGCATGTGCGATACTTCGGTCCACTGAGTGCAGATACTGCAGTCCCAACAGAATCCCTCGTGTCAGGTCAGTGACGTTCTGCAGTGTCGGTACTACATCGCGACGCTCAAAGAAATCTCCCACAGACCCAGCTAAGAAAAGGTTCACATTAACGCGCAGTACTTCATCCTACTTTTAATCCGCTACGCGAGCGCCTCGTACCGTATGCATCTATGCAGGATCTTAAATGTTTACAAGTGCATCCGTCATAAGGCTCATACTTGTAATAAATTAATGGTTCATTGTCAAAAGAGCTCGTTGTTGACTGCCGGCAATGGTAGAAGACGTACACCTTAATTGTGTAGTAATGTCGATCTTACCCGCATAATAATCCATCCTCAACACCAGATTGTGGATTGACGATGTTACCGAAAAGGCAGCTAAATTTGGGTGCTGCAGTTTACACAGCTCCTTCAGTTCGTCTTTATATGGAGTGGTCTGCAGTTCGTCAGTTTGAATGATCTTGTGAATGTTGTCACCGATTAGCCGGAATTCTCCATGTAAACCAATCTGGATACATCGTTCCGGCTGCCTAAGTAACGAACGACCTTCAGGTTACATAATTACCACGTTCCAATTTAAAATAGACTTTCGACAATGCCCCCAACACTAACGAAATTTCGGGAGCTAGTAGTACCTGACAGGAGGTAATCCGCTATTGCGCCTGCTTATCAGACTTTGGTACTTCCAGATATCGCCTGCCGCACGCGACTGTATCAAATACGGATGGATCTGTAGATACTGCCATAAGCCAGGCAATGATATCTGTAAGTTTTCCAAGATAACTGGTATATCTGCGATGTTGCCTTCGTGGAGCATCAACATCTCAAGGTAAGGTAGCTCTTGTAGCACATTGTCCTCAAATCGCTCAAACGTCCAATTGGAAATTTCCAGACAGCGGAGTTTAGAGAAATTTACAAGATCGCCTGGCGCCAGAACAACCTTTGTGCATCGCTCCAAACGAAGAGTAAGGAGATTGGGCAGACTGAGCTCCCTGAAGACATCGCACTTCAGTCCCGCGACATTGCTAATCGTCAGGTCCACAATCAGATCACAGGCGGCTGCGAAGACGCTGGCATTCATGCCCTCTATACTCAGCATTTCCGCGGCTATCGGTCGATCCGCATCCAGATTGCGGTAGACCCATAGGTTACACGCAGCTCTCGCCCCATCGGGAAAGGTCAACGCAATTTCTTGCGCTTCACATGAATCCTCCCCAGAAGGAGCGTCTGTGATGGCTGAACGGATTTGCGAGATGGTTACGTGTCGCATGCAAAATACTGGTTTTTCTTTTCCATCCACCACAGATTCCAGTGACATTGCCGTGCGAAAGAATTCATCAGCGGCTAGTTGTTCTAATGATGGACGCTCATGCTCGTCCCTAAAACACGCACTGATAACCCGTTTGGCATCCCAGGAGAGCTCCTTTGGGACAGCTGGACGCCAACCGTCGCGCAAAAGCGTCATGACCTCAGTATTCAACCTATTCGGTCCCACTTCCATAGTTTCTCTTTGGAACTGCAGCTCGGTCGCCGAAACCATCTTCAGTAGGAGATGTCCCATTCCCCAGACGTGCTGCTTCCCCGAAGCACCCAGTAAACTGGCCAAAGATTTCACGCTAATCGCTTCCGGAGACATGAAGCGCGCGGTGGATATGAAACTGCGGTTGGTCCAGTTCTCCCCTGCGTGCTTAGCAAAGGCCTCGGTCAATTCGGCGTCGCTGCGGTACGTTGTTTGGATTTTGGCTTGGAGAAAGGTGCCAGTACGATGCTTTCTGCACAGTATTACCATAATTATAATGGCAGATACCGTGAATGGGCACTTTTCGTTCTTGTAGGAACAAGAGCCCATCTATTAGCTGCCGGCAGGAAATCTTAATGTAGTTCCACGGCAAAGTTTTCTGTTCGAGGTACCACTGAAGACAATAACTCTCTGGAACAAACAACACATCATAATCCAGTAAATAACTGATGACAGGAAATGCACTGACAGTTTACCTGGCTCAAATTCCAGCTGGTATACAACGCTAATAAAATGTCGCGACAAGCGGAAATGATAATCAAGCAACGTAAAAATTGAGCTGTGGGTCAGCTGAAGTAGAGGCTGAAATTGCTTTTCACTCAGTTCTCGCATATCGTCGAGAAAATCTTCATCCAGTAAACGGAAATCACTGTCCAGTGTACATGGGTAAATATTTTCCCATAGTAACATTTTATCGGTGACGGCAACAGCATGGTCGACGGTTGTCACAAAGAAGCCTTGTTCAAAGCGCTCGGTGCGGTTGAATTTTGTGTAGTAATAAATCTTGGACGGTTCGAACATGGAGCAGTAGTACTCCGTTCCCAGATACAGTTGTACGCGTTCTATACACGTCACTTCTCTCGCGTGAACTGAAACATCCGTTGCAAAGATATAATGCTGCAGCAACGCTGCGGCAGTTGGACGATCGCAAATGTGAGTGCGGAAACACAGATGGAGCAAATCGTATACACCCGGTGGAATTCTCCCCGATACCGTCTCGAGGACCGAGGCATCGTCAGCTAATCTCGGTAAGGTGTCGTTCGAGTAATACGGATTTTTTGCCATATCCCTGGCGACCAACGCCGCATCGACATCAGTTATATATTCGAGCATGTAAAGGATAACACGACCGAAGCCAGCTATGTCCTCGGCCCTTAACCTTTTGTCGCTGACGCATGCACGGGCACTGTTGCTAATACGATTTGCCGTATGCGGTGCCTGAATTTTGTCGCACGTTTCGGGTTTAGGCTCTATTCCGGCGATCTTTGGAGAAGGAAAATCTCCGTTTCCAGCTTCAGTCAGCAAAATCTTTTCTGGTTGTAGGTGACCGTGCACTATACCATTTTGGTGCAGGAAAGCCACACCTTGAAGAAGTTCGTGCGCAAAGCGCAAAGTCTGGAACATTGTTGCCCTTTCTCTGAACTGCGCAAGATCACGATCTGTAAAGAATAATCGATTACATATTTTCGAGTCATGTAAAGCGTAAAACTAACCTCAATAACGTATACACTGTATATAATATAAAAAGTCAACGGGGCAACGTGGTGTCCGTTCTTGGAACCATGGATGTTACGGAAAACTTACGAGAAATGTTTTTGTTATAATTAATTTTGCTTTAACCTGCTAATAATCCTGCTAATAAGTAAAAAACCGAAGTACTGTTGGAGGCACGACAGCCTGCGTGGTAGATACGCCACTTTGCGTATGCGTACCAACGCACACATGCTGATTCGCCCTCTCTCGTACGTACGTGAGTGGCTGCACTGCACTCTCCGCCTAGCGGATCTACCGCGGGCGCACTCACTGAGCATACTTGCTCTCTCGTTCCTCTCACTCGCAGTATGACTCAGCGCCTATACGCTCGCGTTGGATACGAGCCCAGTCTGCGCAGCACATTCCACATGTCTGGACGCACGACGTTGCCGCCAGCGCTCTTTCTCTCTCTACATTTCATTACGCGCTAGAACTCGCTCGCAGCAACATGACTTGCTGATTTTCATGCCAGACATTGGCGTCTTTGTTCTTTCTCCCGCAATCACGCGGTATTTTGCTCCCCTTTATTTGTCAATAAAGATCACTGTGAGCTCCCTGCGCTTGCCTGTTATATGGTCGCAGATCGCGGTTTCGAGCCAGGCCGTGCGCGCTGCCCGCGCGCACGGCTCCTCTGATTATTTGAGCCAATTTAACCCCCATGTGTGGAGCTACAAATGCCCCCCATTCCCGCGGAACGTGATGGATTCCTCTCCCAACTGACGGAGATGGACGCCTCCCCGCGACGGATGCCTCCCAAACTGGACGGAGATGCCGCGGAGCGAGAAACGCCTCCTGCGATGCCGTGGAGCGAGAATTGCCTCCTGCGATGCCGACGGCGAACGCACTAGAACTCGCTCGCAGCAACATGACTTGCTGATTTTCATGCCAGACATTGGCGTCTTTGTTCTTTCTCCCGCAATCACGCGGTATTTTGCTCCCCTTTATTTGTCAATAAAGATCACTGTGAGCTCCCTGCGCTTGCCTGTTATAGTACATAAAAAAAATATATAAAAATACCAGTTAAAGATGATTTTTGTTTTATACTGTACATACTGTGGCAGTATTCCATCAGTACTCCCGTACGTGCGCGCAGAAGTTCCCCGACGTAGTAATACTGTACTATGTATGGATGCTCCAGTTCTCGCAAGCGTATCCTATCGTTGTGGGAAAGTCCTCCGTCTTGTTGTCCAGCTGTGAAGTATTTTGCCGCTAGCCGCTTCTGATGATCTTCGCTACCCAACCGCATAATTTCGCTATTGGCGCCAGAATGAATTTTCTCTTTTTCAAAAAATGATTTCCCCTCGACATCTACTCTGTTGCGAAATATTTGTACCAAATGAGACATTTCTCCTTTTTCGGTATCACGTATCTGCAGATGCTTCGTTACTAGTAAAACAAAATGGATTAGCAATACTTTACAGACAAACGAAGTGTTTACGTTAGGCTGTCGTATAGATCAGGGTATGCGATCAGCAAAACTGTACCGAACAACGCCTCCAACTGTTTGCTTCTCCTGACATAATTTTGGTAATGCGCTCACTATACTGTCGAGTCTTCCATACCGCTGAACTCAGCACTGAGAAAATTTCTGATTGCATCTTTGCCGGCTGTTTTAAATGCAGCGTGGCAGCTTCTTCAGTTGACTTTGCTTACAGTAGGTTCAGTAACCGTACGCCAAGCGAAGCTTATACAATACTAGTTTATTATTATCAATATTATGTGCTTGTACTTCACCCTTCTCCTACGGTAATGGTTGCAGAAACGATCATGTTATTTAGTCTGGCGCATTTCCCCATATTTTGCGCTGAAATATAAAGCTTCCCCGCTGTAGATCAGGAAATGAGTACCGTTGAGATTGGCTCAGGTTGCACTTACACTTATGACAAAGACAACTTTATAAAGAAGGGCGTCTACAAAGCGCAGACCACTGCCCGCTGGGATGCTGATCCAGGCGGGCCGTCGACGCTTGCCATCAAGGTGGTGAGATGGCCGAAACAAGCATTTGCAAATCAAGATCTCGTGGACCACTGCCAGCGCCTTATAAATCTGAATGACGCTAACGTGGCGGTATACCGAAAAGTAACGTTGCGCGTAACCAGTATCGGAGCAACCTATCTCGAATTTGCAATGGATTACTATGCAGGTAACACACATACATTCTCCGTGGTTAAAATAAGTACCCAACAGGTAGTGAGGCGAAAAAAGATACCATAATTCAAAAACAAAAGTTTAGGTACTTTGAGGAGTATTATAACAGTGAGAAAAATATGAAGACAACATAGGATCAGCAGTTGCACTCATAGAGAGGCGGGAAGCGGTAAATTAAACTCATTATCTCACACGCTGCATGTGTTTAGGAGGCAATTTGAAAGATTTCATATCTAGTTACGAAAACAACGATAGCAGCCTACCGGCGAAAGCCCTGTATGACTGGTCCAAGCAGATGGCTAGCGGACTCAAATACCTTCACCAAAGAGGAATCATTCATGGCAGTTTGAAGCCAGGATGTATCCTTTTGGATCGGTCACCGGATCGTGGGATCACCTTGCGTATCGCGCGCTTAGACCGGCATATTGCCTTGCAGGCCGAAAAGACCATGTCCTCCGATGTAAAGCGAATGCGAAATCTGATTCGTATCTGCACCAGATCATCCACGAGCACGTTCATGTCCCCGGAAATGCTGACCAATCTGGATCTGGAAACAAGGGACATTGTAGGCCGCAAAACGGACGTATGGAGTTTGGGAGAAATTGCCGTTGAACTGGGTCGGTGTTGTTTCCGAGAAAAGGAGAAAGTTTTGTACAACACAGAAACGAAAGCTAGGATTGACGTCCGCGACATGTCTTCTGTATGGAGGTCAATGCGAACAGTACAGGGCTATTCCCCGGAGATTCCTGACACGGTCCCCGGTGATTTTGCTCGAAGGATATTGCAGTTTTGCATAGCTAGAAATCCTGCGAATCGATACGGGACTGAAAAACTGCATACAGAGTTACTTAAGGCTGAGCACAACGTATTCGGCAAAACCTGGAAGCACCATCCAGAGAATCAAAATGAATATGATCACCACGAGGCCCCAAGGGAAACGGAAAGTGAACGCGACGTTTCTTACCCCATAGTAGAAGAAGTTGGCTATTACTGTGAATACGAGATAAATTTCCCGGATGGCTTTCTCGGACAGGGAAACTTTGGTGCGGTATTCAAAGCGACCATAACGCAGCGAAGCAACGGGAAGGGTGATAACGATAACGTTTACACCGGCCCCAGAGAAGTAGCCGTTAAGACGGTGTATGTTGTGGACCGGTCAACACGAGACAGACTGAGAAATGAGCACACGTTGCGGAAGGAAAAAGAACGCTGGGGAAAACTGGTCAAGTTGCGACATCCACATTTGATGGCTTATTACAAGTTTGTTCTCAGCATGTGGCGTGACAATGCCAAGATGGACATTGTCATGAATTATTGCCAAGGTAAGTTTGACAAAAGTTCCAAAATCCTTTGGTAACTTTGAAGCTAGAGCCATCAATGTATAAAGTTCCAAACAGCGTTTTTAAGCGGCAAAGTGGTAAGCAGTTGCAAAAAATTACTATAGCTGTGTTTACACTCACTCACACTACAGTAGGAGTACAGATATTTGGTAGTTATCACCAGTGTGGTATTTTTGAAAATTGTTTGAGCGATAAGTTCAACTTGACTTACATTTACAGCTGGTGACCTTAGTCTTCTCATCGAAGAATATAAGAGTCGTGGGAATGCACTAACTGTGCCTAAAATGATCACTATGACAGCACACATATCCAGTGGACTGCAGTATCTTCATGAAAACAATTTCATTCATGCCGATCTAAAGCCCGCCAACGTTTTCTTTAGCGGGCAAAGCGGACCTGGTGGATGCCTGTTACTGGTCATCGGGGACCTGGACAATAGTGTGCTCATTCGCAACGGCTACGTCGACCCGGTGGATTTTAAAATGATTCAGTTCACAGTTGGTTACATGTCACCGGAACTGGCGCAGGCCTTATGCTTCCAACTCGATGATCAGTACCTGGAGCGGACCGATATCTGGAGTCTGGGATGCGTAATGCTCGATTTGGCCAACTGCTGTTGTATGATCAAAGAAACCCATTTTAGCCGGGGAGATAATGACACGGATTTCATACGACAATCAGACGATCCCCAGGAAGAAGTCTTCCTGAATAGGATAGCAATCGGTGGTTATAAACGACACATCTCCAAAGAGATTGGTCAAGAAGAAGCCGACATCATTCGCGCTTGCCTTACTGTGGACAGCAGGCAGCGGATAACGGCACGGGCCGTGTTTGATAAGCTGCGTTTGATGATGGGCAATTTTAGCCAAGAAACGCGAGAAAAAACATTCGGTCGTGGTGTTGTAAACTTCAATTTTCTCTAAAATGTTATTATGGCTACATTAGTCCGGAATTTGACACCTGCGAACACTGATTAAGGTTCGGCTAACAAGTTAGATTCTTACTAATGTATTTGTTTTCGGCCGCCGTTTTTGGGCATGAAAACGATCGACCGTGCGTAATATATGCACAGATACTAACGGTGCAAACGCTTTCGAAATTATTGGTTAGCAGATTCTCTCACGATTACGAGGAATAGGCCATATACTACGGCCTGTTTTTCGATATGGTCACAGCGAATGCACAAATTGTACTTTAACTACTGTAATAGCGGCTTGCGCTTGCGTTTCTGAACTGATGAAAAATACCACGTCTATAAAATCATAATGATTGTGTTTTCGTGTTCAGATATTTCTGCAGACGTATATTAACACACAACAATGGCTTTGTTAAATCCGCATGCAACTGATTAAAATTACCAACCCATCCATAACTTTGTCCGCTAATACGTATATTATATATGTAGTTTCTTTCTGTCAGTTTTTATTAACGTCGGAACCTAATTTTATAATACCGTTATTTGCACGAAGCGCCAGCATTTCCCACAAATGCAGTAAAGCAGTAGTGTAACTACTTTAAAACCAGTAGATGTAGAAATGCGATTACAAATTTGCAACCATCGAAGTGTACGACTGCATTGCAAAGACGATCGCTGGCGAAGATTACACGGTCCGATATCACATACCTCGCACTTTGTTTTTACAGAAGAAACAGTGCATACGTATACTTCGAAGTACTGCATGTCTTGCGGCGCTAGTCCCTGGCAAGATGTTTATGTAATCTTCGCTGCTGCCGATTCAGCCGGCAAAAGTTTACGACGGTGAAATGAAAATTCTACAGCTATAGTCTTACAGAGACTGTAGACTTTCCTTGGCTCGGACAGACGAGAGCCGGTAACTTTGCGTTTTAAATTGTTATTTACGGCACAGTCTACTAAACTGCCGTGTTTTGTTGCAAGCTAGTCGCGGCCCTGTTGTCCATCATGGCGTTAGGCAACGACGTGATTCAGGTTAATCTCCACGAAATTGTAGGAAGTGGGCGGCAGGGCGTAGTGTGCAGAGCTACCAGAATGGATACTAACGAAATTGTAGCGGTAAAACTGGTAAATCTTTCCAACATCCAACCCGAAGCAAGGCTGCTGGAATGCCAGGAACTGACTGTAAGACTGGATGGATTTTTAAGTATCAGTCACCGGCATTTACTAAGCCACATTAAGCATCAGACTATCCTGACAGATTCGCCGACTCTTAACCCTATCGAGTATCAAATTCTTATGGAATACTGCTCTGGTATGTGCGCACGAGAATCGTCTTTTTTCCTTAAAAAGATTATATTTACAAGCACATGGGCATTTTATATTGATTAGCACATTGCGGGTGGAGTTCCAAGTAATTAAGATGTTGTATTGATGCCAGCTCTGTATTATATCCGATTGTCGCGCTGCAGAAATTGATTCGGTCATTTTTTTCAGGTGGTGCGTTAAATAATTATGTACGATTCAACGTGTTGCCATATTCTTTGCTACCAAAATGGACAAAACAAATTCTCAGTGGACTGGTATATCTTCACGAGCAGAACTGGGCCCACCGCGATATTAAGGGTGGCAACATCTTCCTCAGCAGTCCGAATATCGACAGCTGTGATCTGAAAATCGGTGACCTACAGGATATGAAGCGCATGGTGGAAAGAACGACACATATCGCCGGTGCAGCGAGCGGGCAAGGTACTTGTGCGTTTATGTCGCCGGAAATAGCCCACCCCGACGGAATGCGCATTGGCCGGCGAACGGACATTTGGAGTCTGGGCTGTGTGGTTATTCAGATGGTTACGGGTGAAGCGCCCCGCCTTTACCGAGGCACAACGCTGTTGAACACCGCGCAATCTATGATGTATTTTCTGGGCACAGGAGGAATGCCAGCGCTACCAGCTGGTCTGCCACCGCTACTTCGGCAATTCATCGAACGCTGCCTACAACGAGATGTCGCCGACCGACCGCACGCAACGGATTTAGAAAACGACGCGTTTTTGGCTGACTACAACAATGCCAATTTACCAAATCGAGCGACGTTTTACCAAGCATACGAGCCTATCCAGCCATAAATGCAGTTGCTATCGCTAACTTTTACAAACCGTTTTATATTTATGAGCAGCAGTGACTGCTCCAAACTTGATATCCAGTAATGCGTAACACATGCATCTAACGGAAATATGGAATCGGAAAAGTGTAACATTACTCTCTTCGGGGCTACCGGTAATTTTGGCGGCGAAGATATACGAGTACTTACTACCGACGAAGGCTTGTAGCATCTCACATTCGGCTCAAATTATACTATTAATCGGTACAGCCCCTTAAGTGGATAATGACCTCTTCATTCACTTTTACAATACTTCATCGCCAATAATGCCGGGCTGCGACGTATATCATCACTTTACCCTTTTGTCTGATTTGCTGTTTCCCGATCGTTTTCCGCACGAGTAGCAAAGCTTACGTCAGCAAAAACACTCAAGCCCAAACAAATGAAGCAATATGGGTAAAAAAGGTAATTATTACGCCCAGTATGGTACTCCAGTACGGACAAACATCCGATCTCGTGCCGTTTTTATTAATGGCCACTGAATATGTGCTTGAACAGTCTGCAAGGCAGCGTGACGACGCTTTGTCGTTTTGCTCAAAATATTATCGCAAAACAAGTGCAATTTATTCCGTTTATTTGAACTTGCTGCTTGCGTTTCATTTGTTTCAAATAGCACGAACAAGTATATTCCGTAAATTTCCATAACGTTCTAACTGGAAGCAATGCAGAAACCTGGTGCCGGGTCAAAATCGAAGATGAACCAGGAACAACAATAATAATGTTGATACAATGACATCAACAAAATTTTGATACGTAGTTTCCATATTTCTAACACAATAATATTGTTGGACACTTCATTACAACGCTGTAACTCTGTGCGTACTGCAACCATGGACTGCGCCATCAGGACCATCGATCAGTTTTGCGTTGCGTACAGTGTTCAATGCTGTATGACAACCTCCAATCGATATACCATTCGCATTACGACATTGACCCGGAAAGCGCAATAATAAGGACAAATGTATTTTTCATCATGTTTTGCACGTTCAACAACATCGCTCAGTTGTGTGCACGCAGTATTAATCGGAGCAAACCGTCACAAATGTCGCATTAGTTTTCGTTGCAAAAATATTTTCTTGCGAAACTGGATTAGAAATGCACCTTGTCCGGTATCGATATGATGGAAACGTTTTCCGTCACCGACAAACTGCACATGCGTGATATGCAAACCAGAAAGCGCACATAACACAACGCTATCAAGCACCGTTCGTCCGCTGATCTGTACATTTTGTAGTAATGACAATCTTCATTGTGGCTGCGATTTTTCTGTGCCTTATGATCAACGCTTGTGATGCAGTCGGTGATAATGTTCCTCAGTTGACAATCGCCTCGGTCGTGGCGTACGATAGCGTCCAGAACCAGATTTCCTGGCATATTCGTGGACTGCTTGTGGGAACTGAGGAACTGAAGATGAAGTTTGCCGGACGCTTGACTATTGAGCATAAAATTATCTGGGTGACAAATATGTCGCAGGGACCGGATATCGCCGCTAATATTGTCAAACTGGCGTCGGATTTGTATTATCGGGAACGGGAAAAAAACCATTCCGTAATTTTCTGTCATCCAGGTATGCCATGATAGCTTGCTGTGTTTAAAACAAATTCTACATATTCTGGACAAAATTGAGTGCAATCGTGCAGTTTACGGGCTAATCTTGTATTTTTTGGAAAAGTTTTTCAGTTTAACTATGGTTGTGTTATTAAAGCTAGCGTCGTACCTTGTGCAGTATAACTGCACATTTACCAACGAATAACATGTTTCTGGACGTTCTAATGAGTGTATTTTAATGAATAGCTTCATTTTTTCATATGTGCTAACAAATTACTTGGTTGGGTGTTTTAGGTTCGTTTGAAGATATTTATCAACTCGGATCGATTGCGCAAGGTAAACACAGCGTTGCTAAATCGACATCTTTTGCAGATTGTAATTTCACTCTTTTTTACAGAATGGAACGTTTTGCTGCTGACAACGTAAAAATGCCCTCTTGTTTAAAACAAGATTAATTATTCGCCCGTTGCACGCGTAACTGATTTTTGTGGCACTAGGGTAGGAAGCAGTTACGTGATTACCCCCAAAAGCTTCCCCACCGTGGTATCCATGACCTACCGGCAACAGCGCTCCTTCGCCGAGTTTATGATGGTGGTGTTTGATGAGTTCAATTGGAAGACCAATCTGTGGTTGTGCGATCAGGAAACCAGCACCGGTGTCTACGCTCCATCAGTGTGCTTCAATGCCGGCAAGATTCTGGCCGATCATCCCAAGTTCGTAACCAACATGATCGATTTCAACTCCAAGAAGGCCTGGGATCCCGTTCAATTATTGGAGAGTGCCAAGAAGCAGTCGCGCAGTAAGATCATCAATAATCCAACGCTTTTCTGAGATGTCTCTGCAGCGCTTAATAATTTACGGTGTTTTGTTTTGTAGTTATTGTTATGATGACCAAACCGGCCGTGGTACGGACAATCATGGTAATGAGATTATGAGCGTCAACGTCATAAAAACGTGGTTTCATGTGTTGTGGTGTTGCAGTTGGCAGCTGCTCAATTAGGCATGATTTCGGGAGATTACGTGAGTTATTCATGCAATGTTTGTTATCACATTCTCGGTTACATGTTCTTACAAAGACAGTAACATCATTAATTATATCCTGTTCTTATTTATTCACTTATTGCAGATATTTCTTGTATCTGAAAATATTCTACAGGTTTTTTTAACAATCGCCGAATTCTGGACCGATTTTGCAAGTTGGAGGCTGAATAATTCGGACGACGAGGTATTATAGCTTTTCTTTCTTTTCCGTTTTAACATCTTTCATGTAACTGTTCAAGCATATTATAGATTTTAACGGAAGCATACCGCGTCCTTTTTGTTGTATCGATTCGCAATCCGTTGACGAAAGTGCAACTGGATTCCTTTAATCAATACCTGACCAGAATCGAGGAGCACACGTTTATCCAAGGAATGCTGCGCAACGGCAGTATGCAGCCTAACAATCTCCGTGATAACACTGTACACATGAAAATCTGTTAAACGATTAGAGCGTAATAACAGCTGATTGTGCTGTTACAGAAACCGTATAATTTTGTCGATTACGAAACGGTCACGGCGCTGGGAAAGGTACTTACAGCTTTTCTGCGTCATTTACGTGGTATTTTAACTGTATTCTGAAGGTCATCGATGAAGCGTTGGAAGTTGGTATTCCTCCATCGAATGGAGTATCCTTGGCAAGGATGTTCTATGGACGCCATTTTAGAGGAAATTATTCGGAGTTTTATGTTGATGACAACGCGTTGCGAGTAACGCATATGGAAGTGAAGGATTTCAATCGAAATACTAGCGCATTTAAGGTAACTCCGCTTTGCAGAATTAGCGCAACCATTTTACAAGAGAAACTTGGTTTCAATTAAGAAAACATATTTTCACCTAAAGCTAAGTAAAAAAGTTTTCGATTTTGTACAAATGAACTGCCACGTTCGGTTTTATTAAACTTGCATGATTATCAAATGCGCTGAAGAATTTCATAAATGACGTAATTAAGTTCGGGTATCGCCAGAAATCGCCTGCTAACTTCTCCTAAATTATGGCCTCATTTAAAAGGTGCCTACGAGTCGAGTTTAACTTCATCATAATTTCAGATGGCCATGTTTGGCGACGTCCAGCCTAACGGCTACGTGCTAGTCCGTACAAAAGACTCCGCAATCGACTGGGGTCCAAACTACAGTAAAGCTCCACCGGATGAGCCTCATTGCGGTTTCCGTGGCAACAAGCCACCGTGTGATCACGTTGGTAAGCAACATTCTTACTTTGGTCAGGGAAATGTTCAAGTTACGTTGATCTCTCCGGATACAGGATTCCCAGTGGCTGCTGTCGCTGGAGCAGTCGGTGCCGGCACTTTGATTGTTGTTGCTGCTGTGGCGGTATTTGCAGTCATCACGATCAGGTAGCGTTTGCACAGAAGCGTGAGATGACTTTGAAGAATTACCCGTAAAAAGCTACTAGTACGTGATAGAAATCATTCACAAAGATAATTTTTGAACGCACGCGTACTCAAAAGTCAAACATTAGTAAGCTGACGTTCAGCAGTTTTACCATTTCTGTTTAACAGGCGAAAGACGGTCATCGGTAAATGGTGGGAGCTTGATCCAACATTGTTTCTGCGTGAGGAAACCAGAACCCGTGAAGTGTTAGCACCATCAACGGTATGCATCAGATATCTCCGGTTTAATTAAAAGATCATTGGTTATAGATATGCACCGTAGTTGTGGCAAACCATTTTTGCAGACGTCCACTTGTTATGAACATTGCTGCACGTATGCCGGCTCCAAAGTACAGGTCTACATTGTTCCCGCGTCCATCCACTCTGTCATGAGGAAATCGGATTTTTTGCTACTTCATCAGGTACACTGCATTTGGAGCCTTAGCAATGATCCACATGTGTTTCATCTCGTACGCCGCATCTAACAAATTGCAGATAAGAGATCTGAACAATCATAACAACATCAACGCGCTGACCGGTTTCCTGATAATCGGGCATAAGTTGCTGTTCCTCAGTCCGTACTGCGATCGCGGGACGCTGCGGGATCTGTTGCAGAATTCGGCACTGGATATGGATCTTACCATGCAGACATCCCTGATCTGGGACCTTTTCAGAGTATGATGCAATGCACTTAATGTTGATTATGCATCCATTATTAGCTTTGATCAAAACATTTTTAGGGCGTTTCCGTGATCCACAATTCGGGGATTAAATACCACGGATTGCTGAGTTCCTTCACATGCTGTGTGGATAAACACTTTACATTGAAAATTTGCGAACTGGCTTACGAGCGCTTCTCGATGAACGAGGAAGGCACAAAGCCCAGCCAGGAAATCTGGACAGCGCCAGAGTTAATCAAATCGGCAAAAACCGATATTTTCAGCATTGCTGTCATTATGGTGGAGATTTACACGCAGCACGAACGCGTGCGGAGCGAAGTACCCACTTCAAAGTCAATCGCAGGTTCGACCGACATTTCACTCTATAGCTACTCTAGTAACCGTTTTTGCCGGCTGCGTGGCTTGCACAACGCAGTTGCAAGTACTGTAATTATCTTACAGTTAGTTCTCTTTTTTTAGACACTATGCATTTGGTCAAAACGGGTCAGCGCGCCTCGACCAAATTAATCCCGAAGCAGCAGCACGATGACCTTCTGGCATCGTGCTGGGAGCTGGAGCCCGAAGCCCGTCCCACCATCCAGAAAATGGTGACAACCTACAGGAAGGTCGTGGGTGCTCCGCCCAGTAATCTTGCTAATGTCATCCTGCACCGACTAGAGCGGTACAGCACCAATCTGGAGAATGCCGTTGCCGAAAGAATATTTGATTTGCGACGGCAGCAAGCGATTGTCGATGAGCTTCTATGTCAAGTCATTCCTCAGTGCGCGAAACTCAGCAGATGGTTCTGATCACTTTAGGAACGGAATATGTATAGTCTCCCTTTATTTGTAGAGTCGTTGTACGGGAGCTACGCGCTGGTCGCCCCGTTTACCCCGAAACATACGACTGCGTGACAATCTGTTTCACATCTTTTGACGGCTTTGCTCAACTAGTCCAGACAGCGCCTCCTGTTAGTGTTTTGGAGTTTCTCAACGAAATGGTCACAACCTTTGATAAGAGCCTGCATTCCCTGGATGTGTACCGGGTAGAGATAACCGGGGATTCTCACGTGGTGTGTAATACATTTTTCCCATATAAAGAAATATATGTGTTATTTGAGACTTGAGTACCTTGCAGCTGGCAAGCGGAGTGCCTTATAGAAACGATAACCGTCACGCTGGACATATTTGTGATCTTGCCTGGACATTACTGCAGTTTTACGCTGGAGAAGCATCCCGAACCCAGAACGTTGTGATGCGGGCAGGAGCCCACAGTGGTCCGGTTGTTAGTGCTATTGTTGGAACCAAGCTTCCAAAATATTCATTGTAAGAAACACAAACCTTTGTCGAATGTTCCACAGAACAACTGACGAAATGCAGAGGTGTGTTGCAGAGTTGGAGACACGATTAATACCGCATCCCGCATGATGTCTTTCGGTGGTGGTACGTCCAGGATCGTTCTCTTCTGAAATATTATACGGAATGTCTTTGCTTTATTTTCTATTCCGTAAATGTCAACTTGAAGAATCCACACAGTATGACTCGTTGTCGATGTCTGTACGATTGTATATTCGTCGAATTATGTGCGTCGTAATGTTAATCCTGTTCTAGCTTCCCGATTGCACGTTTCGGCGGCAACGCAGGAGATCCTGCAAGAGTCTTATTCTACCGAATATAATTTTGAAAAAAGAACCGTCGATGTCAAGGTACTTTTATTTTTAAGCAGGCTTTTCATTGTGAAGTATTCAGGGTGACGTGGAACATGTTCTAGGGCAAAGGAAGCATGGTGACCTATTGGTTAACAAAAACCAAATAAAGCTTGGCTGCGCCAAACTTTTGCAAGGTTGCATTGGTCAGGAATTTGCTGGGACCGATAGCAACTACTGGAGCACTCGCTTCAACACTAAGAATTGTTTTTAATGTACTGCATTTGCGGATTTTGTTGGTTACATCCAGATAATTTTTATCTGAAAAGACAGTATACCGGCAAAATCATTACGGTGGTGCATGCGCTTTGATGGTGGGACAGCAGTGTTCATGCAATATACATGTGCCTGTCGCAATAAGATGGAGTTCGAGGCGATTGTTGCACAAAGGTGTACTTTCAATGTGTAGTGTACCTCAAGTAATGCAATTTTTTATTCGAATAATGTGGACGGTTACGGTTACAACAACTAAGAGTTAAATTCATGATAAGTTTGAAACATTAGCTAACTTGGTTTGGCAGCGAACTATAGCAAACTTCAACAATAATTTGATGCCCAATTTGACGTTTACTGACCAGAGCACCATCGCGCGAGACGAGTCAGTTGCGCAAGTGCGCTGCTGTCGCTGCACGGCATAAAAGAATGTACACAACTTGTGTGTGAAAGTAAACCAATATAAATACCGTCTACATACAGTATACAGATACAGTATACAGTTTTGATGACCCATAAACTGGAGTTGAGCACTTTACGTAAAAATTCCGGTATGAAAGTCCGATTTCCCACTCCAGTTTATGATTCAACGCCGCCATTTTGTTCACGAATTATACTACTGTTTTCGTCTGATACTATTTGTACAAAGGTGATACCCTTCTTGTGAAGTGGACGGTAATTCCAGTGGCGCCACGGATAACGACTTTACCATGACGTTCAAGCCGAAATTTCGGTAATTCGTCAGATCAAACACCGTAAAACTGGCACGTGAACGCAAAAACCAGGAATTATCCACGCACAGCGAAAGCCCAGAAAAATAACGACTAGCAGCGTTTTACAAGCGCAGCAATTTTACGGATGTTTTGCTGTAAAATATGGAATGCAGCTGCTTAATGGTAATACGATAGTTTGCGTTCGTAAAACCGCAAATAAGAAACAGCATAATATTAGGTAATAAAGAAGCTGGAATGGCATCTATATTACGAACTGTTTCTTCTGTCATCTGCAGCTTCCATGCTTCAGCAGATCACATACACGTAACTGGACGGTATAATCATATAATACAAAATACCTACTAACAATGAATTTATTTACGGTGACCTTTATCTGCAGCCTGCTGTGCTGTACAATAAACTGTCAATACCCACTGGTAGATAACAACTTCTATCCCGGATATCCGGGATACGGAGGGGGCTACGGAAGCGGGGTATCTGGAGGATGTAGCGGGTTTGCAGGAATGTTTTCCTATCTGATGGGTGGCAATCGATGTTGTGGTGGCGGTTGTGGAAGCGGTTCGCCGATTGTTTACTACCCTGTTCCCGTTCCACCACCCCCTAATCCACCGTGTCCACCAACGACGACTACCGCGCCGGTTCCGAGCTGCAGCGGTAGGTAGTCACACACAGTGCTAAACACTTTGAGAAATAATTTTGAAGAATTTAGTCTGGCTAGATTTTTATTTAGCAATAGCCAATGCGCAGCCCATAAGCCTGTGCTGGCTTACACTAATTAAAACGATCAAATTTTAAGCGTTGAAAAAAATCCAAAATCATTAGTGCCATTCGTGAACAATTCGGGCATGCATTCGGTGTAGAAGCGCCCAAAACTGCCGCTGTATTTCAGCTGACTGCTGCTAGACTTAATTGTTGCTTCAAAAAGGGCGCACGGTAGATCGAGGGTTTTATTGCGGTTGAATTACATAATCATTCTTATGTCGCTACGTGCTGAGTTTTGTTTTTGCTGTAGTAACTATTGACCACGGACCATTCTATCCTTGGATGTGCGACCAAACTCTCACCCCCGCCACCGTATCGGTAAGAAATCATTTTGCGTAACAGAACACACGATTGTATACGTTCAACTTCCGGCATCCTATTATTTGCCTGTTTCAGGGATGCCCAACATACAGAGTGACCTTTCAGCTGTTGGGAGGTGTACCTTGTACCTACCTGGAAAGCAACGGCGTGATCCGGTACAGTACCCTTGGCGGCAGCTGCGCTGTTGGTCCTGGATACGTTTACACACCAACCCTGACCGCGACGGACAGTTTGACTGGTGCGATTTTAGCTACCAGTCAAATCCAGGTGAGCATTGATGGTATCCACAGTTTTACTTCCACAAACATAACTATCTTCATGAACTTCATACTATACTCCCATGTAACAAGATTTAATAAAATTCTTAAAAAGTTCTTGATTCTGCTCACGTTTTGTGGGTACATACAGAGTAAGCATATTGTATGAATGTATGTATGTTATTTAGATAAACACCCAGTCGCTGAGTTTCTGCACTACAACAACAACCACTGGAGCACCTGCTTGCAACGGTGCGTAAATAATTGCTGTGAAATGTTAACTCAGACTCAGGGGTGCACCGTGCCGTAATTTTGTCCAGTTTCCCAAAACATTAAATAATTTTAATACTAGTGGAAGTGCAGACGCTATAATTATATACTTCGCTTTGGTTGCTTGCAGTTCATATTGACGCGGGACCGCTTCCTGTCTGGTTATGCAGTCCAATGCTTCTTTCGCCAGTCCAGATATCCGTAAGAAATCGGTGAAAAATTCCACCACAGAAAATACAGACTGCCATGATTTTGTATGTAGTGAAGTGTCCTGTATGATCCAGATTGTCTTCTTTAGGGATGTCCGGCTTCCAGAGTGTCTGTTCAACTTTCGGGAATGCCGTGTACGTACCTACAGAGCAACGGTACAATACTGTTTGATTCACAAAGCGGCGGCTGTGCCGTGGGACCCGGCTACGTATACAGCGGCATCATAACGGCGACAGACAACTGGACGGGGGCGACTCTAGCCACCAGTCAATTCCAGGTTAGCACTATATTCAATCCTCCGCTGCATTAAACAGCATTAAGTTGTCGTTCTTACTCCAAAAGAGAAAATTAATCCCGTTTCGCTGTTTTTCGCATTTGGAACACTTCTGGTTTGCAACCGTTTTGCACATAACACGTAATGTCTTTGTACTGTGGGCACGCTAGGCAGGAAATTGTATGCGTTGTTCCTCATGGAAAAATTTGTCTTTTTTAACAGAAACCCATGTGCAAGCTTGTACTGTATCACGGCGGCAGTAGTTAGTAGCTTGATCAATTTCTGAAAGATTTTCATGCGAAACAAAGCGGAAAGTCCGTGTCTTGGGTGGGAGAATGCGAAGATATTTGTGCAAGAGTCCCGAATGCGAAAAACATCGGTGTATGATAAAATAACGTCTGCACTTTAATAAGACAGTCACATCGATCATTCTACATAAACATAAATAAACAAGCTGTAACTTTGTTACAGATAGACACCGCAGAGATGGGCTACTGTGCTGGAACAACGACCACGACCGCAGGACCGCCTGCTTGTAACGGTACGAACTTGATAAGTTTCGAAAAAATGACTGTAGTTACATCGCCAACTGTATCAGTAGTCTGCTACGTTTTTTTCCGCACTTCCATACTAACGGTAATCGTGTCGCTGGTGTCTATATTGCAGTTACGTATTCGCTATCGCAAACATGGAATAGTGGAATATACTTCCCGACCAGCTGCCAGCAACAGCTATTTTCTCCCACTTACATCGTAAGCAAATAGCAAACTTTTAACCTTACCATTCCTGTATGTAAGAAACGTATACTTTCGCAGAGAATAAACAAATTTTTTTTGGTATGTCGGGTAGGCTGTTTTGACAGTTCTGCACTATATGTGCTGAGTATGGACATTTATACGTGTGCACCTTAATGGTGTGAAACACCACATTTTCTAACGGCAGAAGCAACTGCATTGTTTTAGAATTGTTATCCTCCGAGAATATCCTGGTCCTTCGGTGATATATGGTGTTTGCAAGCCCTCCCTAACGGCACAATCATGTTCAACGCCGACGCATGGGGATGCGAGATCGATGGCAGTCGGCATCTGGGAACAATGATAATCATAGACGAAGACACTCCCCCTCATCCCCTTGGAGGGCCATTTGGAACGACGTGGTACATACAGGTACGTGTAAACCCCACCATTTAATTAGTTTAATTTAATTTGAGTCAGTGCAGGTAGCCCATATCCGGCTAGGATGACCTCTAACATGGGATTTTAAACTTGGCTGTAGAAACGCTGAACAGAAAACACTAACGAGTGTTTTATCCATAACAATCGAACAGATGAGCGCATTCAGACTAATAATAAATTAATAGTGACATACGTACAATATAGGTAACATTCTAGAATTATACAAGAAAGGATACCCGTCAGATCAACTGTATGTTATTAGCTTATAACTGCAATCACGTTCTGCTGCAGTTGTACACGGCGGGCCTGGAATACTGCAAGGCGACAACAACCACAGCCACTTCGACGACAACCACTATTGGAGGTGGTTAGCGTGATTGATTGGATGGAGCGTTAGATTGATTACCACATATTTCGACAAATTCGAGTACAACAAATATCCGAAAAAAAAGCCATCTTTCACATAATTATATAAGCCGCTATTAATATACTGTACGTATATTCCTGCTTACTCGTCAGCCCATATTGCGTGCGACGTCACGGTTACCGTTATCAAAGCAAAATAAACTGCAAGAGCGGTTAAAGTGCATGCAGATTATGATATGCAAATTTTCTTCCCTCGTATCTGTCTTCCGTTTCGAAAACAATAAAATTACTGCTTCAAAGACGATGCAAACAGTACATCTGAATTAGTGACCTTCGAGCTGTTTCGTACAAGTTACAATCAAAACTGATAGTCCAGTTAACATATGGAACTGAAACACGAGGAATCTTAATGCAAAGTAAAATGCTGCTGTATTTGGTAGTTTGTCGATTAAAAAAGGAACCTCAGCAGCATTCAAGCACCCTCACTGATACGTGCGGCGCGATGGCGGAACAGTGTATGGAAAGCGGGCCGACCGCAATAAAGGGGAGGGACCGGACGGGTGCCCGCGATTGTGCAAGCAGGAATTGCCACCTAATGCTGTATGGTGGTACATGCCTTCTTTTGATTAAAGTAACGGCAGAAAGTGGGACTGACATTAAGGCTACAATTTGTCTTGTCAATCACAGGGAAGTTGAGTTTTAGCGGCATGTCAACAACAATTTCACAAGCAAACTTGCATATCACTTATTGAAAACCACTAAACGAGCTTGTTGCAAAACAAAGTGCAATAACGGCTTTTCATAGGAAACCGTCAGAAAACAGAGTAGCATCTTTTGGCGACGTAAATCACAAGTTTGGATCTAATGCTGATGATAAAACTAGACGGTAGACGGAGCATAACGAAATTAGAATAACATCAGCGACATACAAAATCTATTGACACATTTTCGCTACACGTCGGTTAATCCAATTACACAGTGCGGAAGGACAGAATGTCGTAGCCAAAGCAAAGTAGAAACCTACTTGAGCAAGACCTTCATCAGCTTGATGAGGGAATGCAGCGCCACCCGTGACAGTTTCTCCAGCTCCAGATCATGCTAACACAACACTTCTTTCCGCGTTAATGCAGCCATGGACGCGGATCCGCCGTCTGCATCGCACACAACGCCTGCAAACACGAGAACCGCTTCCACAAAGCAATCCGGATTTCGTTCTGTCAGTCGCCTTCTAACTTACCTTGCAGTCTGCAGACCAAGACCGAACAGTTTTTACGCCGACTCGATAACCGGCCGCGTGCATGGAGTGGGCTTAACCAATTGGCCAGGCGAGTTAAATCCGTGTTTGTACTTTGTCGGCAGTGACAACTCCGTTTCCAAGGGGTTCCACAGCAAACCGCCCAGATCGCCAGTGAAGCGCTGTCGGTAGATGGGATCACGGACACGGGTCCAGAACCCAGTGACGATCCTCCAAGCGAGTGATACTCGGTGGAAACTTGTTTCATAGTGATGATGCATTCAATCAGCCGAATGTTCTCACACGGAAGATTCCGACATGCGAAGATGGTACTCGTGAACTTACGCTCGCGTTCGGATAGCCTTTGACAGACGCACAAGGAACTGTGCAGACGGCACTGCAATCCGAACAAATGGATGCATGTCAACTTGATGCCGAGATTGCGCTGTGCAGTCAAGTAAGTGAAAATATCGAACACTTCCATGATCGGCATTCTCTTGGTCTGGCATTGCTGTTCCATCACAGCAACGTGTTTCGTGGATGACGACAGGCGCTTGAAGAGAACTGAGGCCATAAAACAGGCTGATGCAGAATGTCCTTTTTGATCTTCCATAAGCAAGGCAGCGCTTTCAAAAACAACGTTGGCCCATAACGAAGCCGACCCCGAAATGGCGTATCACTTTGCACACACAGGGCGCAGTCGGGCCTGCGATACAGTGTCCAGATTGGAGAAAACTTCCGTCCACAATTCCGTAGGCAACAGAGGGAGTTCATTTACTGCCGAAATCTGGACTAACGGCTCTGGCATAATGGATCTCAATCGCGACTTGTGAAATCTGCCAGCACTTTTCTGTAAAATAGCAGCACATGTCAGCATAATACTCGTTAGTAAATATGCACCCCAACTGAAGCGAAAACATTCAATAATAAATATGCACCACCACTGAAGCGAAAACATTCTACTTACCAGTTTGGTTGTCGTACAATTGTCGTCAGGTTCTCCTCCCGCAGCGGATCTTCGCTGAATGTATTCCAAACAGTCGTCCATAATGTCCACACACACTGCACGGAAAGAATTCTCGAGAAAGTAAATCATGCGCTGTAAATATGGTTTATCAAACGTCCTGGCTGTCCTTCGATAACTTTCCGGCAGCCGCATAGTGTGCTTAGTAAACGTCCACTTCTCGACGCAATTCTTGGGTGGATCCGCGGCTGATTTGCGATACTTGTCCCAAATCTTTATTCGTGCATCGATCGACACATTCCAGCGGATACTAGTCATGGGAACAACATCCAAATACACCTGCGGTGTCCCGCGGTGGACAAGGGCCACACGGTAGTCGGAGGCGTAAACGATGCGGCTGGCCTGGTTAACAAGTTCTGCGGGGAACCACATCCACGCACCGGATGCACTGTCACGCATCAGGACTTCTGCGCTCCGTCCAGGCTGATGCAATGTTCGGGAGAAACCGCTGCGGTACTGTTGCTTATCAAGAGGGAAGGCCAGGTAAAAAGGGGTGAACTGGCGTCGGCGGCCGGGACACAGGAAGTCGACGAAAAGGCCTTCGTCCGCCACATCCACCACGCGTCCACAACGCAGTAGACCGTCGTCTCCCAGTACGTCCACGCTGTTCCACGGGAGGCTTTTTAGAGCCATTGTCGAAAGCTACAAATCCAAGTGGACTCCTCCAACCGATCCTGCTAATACCGAGAACAAGCTTGGTATCACATAACGGACTTGCGATTACATGTAGATTCTTGTGATTTAAATTCTTAACTGGATCGCGGCCCCCTTTTCGTAATCTCCTTCAGTGACGAAGACGGTCTACCGATTTTAAGCGTATTTACGTGTACGTACAAGGTACAACGTTTTTATTATCGTATAAATTCAGTTTAATAGCTGCATCAGTGTAGTTGTACCGGTACGTATTCCGCCTAAACTTCAGAGCTGAAATTTCCTAATATTTTGCGGTAGAGGGGCGGTGCACTGAGCGGTGCAATCACGCTCAGTGGCTGTATGCGTGGCCTAACGAACAGTGGCCTAGAGCAGCTCAACTGCCAAATTTAGAGGGAGAGTACGCGATTGTTCCGCAAGTATTTGAATGGTACAGGAACTCTTGTTAGCATTCCAGCATCTTGCCAATAACTGCAAAAATGTATAGCGACAGCATTCCCGCAATCAACATGGCATATCATTTATTTTACTGATCGAAACTATACTGGAAAATATAAGTAGTTAACATCCTTTCATCCCAAACAGTGAAAAAGAAGCCGCTGAATACATTAATTTAAGTACTCACAATATCTAGGCTTGCGTTTGTTGCTGACGTTACAAGATTCTCCCTGTACATCAATGTTAAGAAAGTTAAATGACTAACTTAGTCAGGCTGGCATCGTTGGCATGCCGCAGTTCGAGCAAGGAAAGCAACCGATCACCTGACTGAGGGAACGCAGTGCAGTACGAGACAGCTTCTCCATCTCCAGATCCTGGAGACCGTCCACACACCACTTCTTCCCGCGGTAATGCAGCGATGGACGCGGGTCAGCCGTTTGCGCTGCGCACAATGCCTGCAACCAGGAAAAGCATGCGTTTCCATGAAGTGTCTGGGACGATAGCCGCCTTACCTTGCAGACTGCGGTATACTTTCCTGTGCGCCTTGGCAAGCGGTTTTGTCCTGGTAAAAATCTGGACAGGTCAGCTAATTTTATAGCACCTGGCATGGGCAGCCCCGCCTCCAGGGCGCTCCACAGCGCACAGTTGAGATCGCCAGCAAAGCTCAGTCGGCGCAGACGAATATAAGCGGAAGGCACACATCTAACTTTACAAGGGTAACAAATGCTTTAAGCACAGCGATCCAGAGTGATGGTGCACTTAATCAACCGAATGCTATCACAGAAACTCTTTTGATACGCACGGGTGTTGCTATTTGCTACAATGGTGTTGGCACGCTGCTGAAGATAAGGATGAAGGCCGCATTCGAATTCCGAATAGTCGCTTTCGGAATCCGGATAGTCGTTTTCGGATTCCGGATAGTCGTACGACGAACGGTTCAGCAGACAGTATTCCAGTCCGAACAGATGGATGCCCTTTAACTTGATGGAGGCATTGCGTTGTGCACTGAAGTGGAGGATGTCGAACACTTCCTCAAGGTCCATTTCCCCCATACGCTGTCGTCGGTCAGCCACAACAATGTGTTTCGTGGACGGACTGAGACGCTTGAAGATAGCTGCGGTCATTAAACACACTGGCGAAAGACACCCGCTCAGATCTGTCTTGCTGAAGGCAGCGCTGTCGAGAACGACATTAGCCTTGAAGTAAGTCGAATCCAGAACGGCGTGCCACAATGCGCATACAGGGCGAAGCCTACTCTGAGTCACAGTGTCCAGACACAGGAAAACTTCCCTCCACAATTCCGCCGGCAACACAGCGGCTTCATGCAGTGCAGACATCGGGACGAACAGCTCCGTATACAGACCGCATATAATTAACCGCATCCGTGACATGAATTTAAGCAGCGCGCTGTGAAAACTCTGGAGCTTTGTCTGCAAAATTCTACCATTACATGTCTGGATTGGTAAACACATTCCACAACGTAAGCCCATTATTCTTACCAGTTCTTTCGTGCCAGATGCGGATTGACGTTGAATCACTTGAATGTACACCAAACAGCCGTCCACATGGCCCACGCAAACAGCATGGGCAGCATTCTGGAGACGGTAATTCATCACTCTATTACGGTGCTTCAGCGTTGCTGCAATCACTGTCGCGGGAAATCCTTCAGGCAGTCGCATAGCGCGCTTAACAAACGTCCCTTTCTCCACGCATTTCTTTGGCACATCCACCACCGATTTGCGATATTTGTTCCCGATTTTTTTCCGCTCATCGGTGGGCGCCTTCCATCGAATACGCTTCACCAGAACCGCATCCGCATACTCCTGCGGTGTCCCGCGGTGGATGATGACCACGCGATAATCGGCGTGAACCTTATCGCGGGCCCGAATGACTAGTTCCGCCGACAACCACGTCCACGCACCAGAGGCATTGTCTGGGATCAGGACTTCCACGGCCCGCTCAGAATGGGCTGGTGTCAGGGGCAAATCTTTGCGCTGCATGTACTTACGGCCATCTTGAAGGTAGACTCGGTCAAAAGGGGTGAATTCGCGCCGGCGATTGGAGCACAGGAAGTCGATGAAAAGGCCTTCGTCGGCCACATCCACCACCCGTCCGTACTGGAAGCGGCCGTTGTCTCCCAAGACGTCGACGCTGTTTGCTGGGTATCATCCCATTTCGCCAACGGGACATTTCGCCAACCGGGTAATTTGCTCCCGTTTACTGAACTACAGTACTATGCTATAAGACATCGTATATATGCCATTAGCATTAATGCACACGGCTCAACGCTACACTTACGTACAGATTGTACATCGTAGAATGTGATTCGAAACTGAGCGGCACATGAACAATTGCTGATGTAAATGAGTCGATTCGAAGTCATTACTCACATGTCAGTCATATTATGAGCAAGGCTGATTAAGCGTAAAATCGAACCCTCAGTACCACTTTTAATATGTGCACAGAAAAAGCCGTTGGATAATCATAAATTTCGTATTAACCACAATTTTCCAGCTTTTCTGTCTACGTTTTTACATAGCAGGGCGCAGATAATTAACTGCCTAGTTAATTATGACGGAAATAACGTTTTCTTTTACCAACCGCAAATGCAAGGTGTTGAATTACAAAGGTTATGAGTATATCGAATTCTGGAAACGCGCAGAAGACAGAACGGATAATTGTCAGAATTGGCGTTGCCGAGAAAGAGCCCACTGCAGTGCTCGTTTATATTATGCCGATGGCGAAGCTGTTGAGCGCGGACAGCATTCTCATGCCCCGGATGTCATAAAGGTTACTGCAAAATCAGCAAGGCAGGCGTTGAAGGTTCGTGCAACCAATACAGTGGAGCGACCACGGCAGATCATTGACGAAGTTCGCGCCGGGATGCCTGTATATGCTGCAGTAAAAATGTCCTCTTACAACGCTCTTGCCAAAACCATTGGACGCCAAAGAAAAGCGGAAGGTATCCCTACTGGTCGTGTAACTTGCTTAGCTGATATCGATGGCAGTTATTTTCTGAAAGAAACAACACGCAATGAATCCGTGCTAATTGCCGATACTGGTGCAGAAGACATTCATCGGATTATTGTGTTCGGAGATCCGAAATGCTTCGATTATCTGGAGAGAACAAATGTTTGGCTCAGCGATGGCACCTTCAGCGTTAGCCCGCCTGTTTTCACGCAGTTGTACACGGTGCATGCGGATGTTTGTGGTGCAACGGCTCCGCTTATTTATGCGCTATTGCCAAATAAATGTGAGCTCACTTATCGACGCTTTTTCACAATAATCCGTGACGCACTGATGCAGAAAAGTGGATCTGAAGAAGTCGGACCCGAATATATGCTGATGGATTTCGAACAGTCGGCTGTCATTGCGTTCCGAAATGTTTTCACCACGTCAAAATTAAGAGGTGAAATTAAAACAATATTTTTATTAATGGAATAAATTGTCTTATTTTTATGCAGTTAAAGTAAATAATGAAATATATGAAATATTCAGGTTCTCTGTATGTGCTTAATTTCTTTGAATTTTGTTATTTTACAACAGCTATTATTATTTGTGCTAATTGTTATTTTTTGTTTTCATGATTACAAATTTTTATGCAATAAATATAATTATTTGATCGTTATTTAGTTGTTGTTGGCTGGCATTAATTACTACTAATTTAACGCACTTATATCACGATTTTCAAAGAATACGCCGGTACTACTGCTGTTAGTGAAAGCAGAAATACTACTAACAATGATTGATTATTAATAATTATTATCACTTGTTCCTGATTATTAACTGTTATTAATAATTATTGTTCATTACGGTTAATTATTATCTGCTAGAAATTCTATGCTGTACTTTATATAAATTTTTTTTGTATAATAAAAAATTTAATTTGAAAACTAATAATAAAAATTTGTTCTTAAATTCTTAAAATCAATGAAAATAAAAAAGTTTTGCAAATAATTAACTTACAGGTTGCAACTTCCACTTCGGACAAAGCCTGTACCGGAAACTCGTTGCCCTGGGACACGGGCCCCTTTACGCGATCAATGCTGAGTTCAACATTTCCTGTCGCATGCTTTTTGCCCTCGCGTTCGTGCCGGTACAGGATGTGGAACGAGCGCTTATGGAACTGCTGGACGCGCCATTTTTCCCGTTCAAACACAACGATGTGTTCATCGAGTATTTGAAAACAACATACGTCGGCGAAACAACAACTATGTTTCGAGTAACCGGTTGTCGTATTAAACGCCCTTTGTATCCTGTTGAATTTTGGAGCTGTGTGGATAGACTGGAGCAGGATATTCACCGTACGACCAATCGCCTAGAAGCTTGGCACCGAACGTTTTCTGATGTGGTTAATAAAGACCATCCCGGCATCTATCAGTTTTTCAACCTACTGTGTCGGGAAATTGTTCACCAGCAAACAGAGGCAGCTTCACGCATGGCAGGTGAAATTCCTAAACAAAGGAAGCAATACCTCGAGGTCACCAAGCGGCTAAAAAACGTTGCGTCCAACTACGGGCAAATCGATACGATCAGCTATCTGAGATCGGTTGCCATTAATCTGGAAATCATGTTGTAAAGTTTCATGGTCAAACTGCAGCGCAGCAGCTTGTATTATAATTCTGACTTTAGCTTCATACTCATAATGGCTTACTTACTAATATTAATATTAATAATTTGTATTTGTGCAAAATTACGTAGCAACACTTTCATTTCCATTTTTGTTCTTGGAATTGGCATTCGATAGTGTGCGTAACATGCCGACATATATTTTGAGTTTCGCATTTCCGCCGAATTCGGTGCTGGACGTAATCGCCTTTTGATACGTTCCTGCTAATTATTTTACCTTGCATGGCAAACTGTCAGTTATGGTTAAAAATGGAAAATACTTGTAAATACTTTTTCTGTTCTTTTTGTAGTATTACAATGGGTGAATGTCCTGCAGTACGTATGTATTTATTGTACATTTAAAATAAAAATGCATCTAAAATTTGCTGCTATGGCCAGCCAAGAGTGCCATATGCTAATTGTCCTGTAGACTAAGGCCGCTAAACGTACGGTACTGTAGGCTAAGTACCCTGTAGGCAGTTGGCGAAATGTCTGGTTGGCGAAATGTCCGGTTGGCGAAATGTCCGGTTGGCGAAATGGGTGGTAGCCGTTTGCTGGGTGGATTCTTGAGGCCGTTGTCGTGGCAACAATCCGAGTGCCTTTTCCAACCGATCCTGTTAATGCCAGGAACTAAATTATTACTTGAATTTATCTTATTCCGTAGCGTGAGCACTCCCGCAACTTAGCAGCGACTGTTCTGCCAACCTTCCCTAATTTTAATCCGATGGTCTGATGCCCCTCGAAACTGTTACATAAGAACAGCTCTTACCCAGGTTGGGTCGTTTACAGGAGAATACAGCGAGGCTGGAGTTTCAGAAAAAAGGAGTTTTTGCACACGCAGTACGTAGTAAACTTTCATATAATACCGGCCGCTGCGACAGTTCGATTACCCCTCGCGAAATTGAGAAGTACAAATATAAAATTAATATTCTTCGGTATCAGTCGGATATGCTGTATCAGGTCGTACTTGTCTGTGTGCTCAGCTCTTGGAAGCTAAAAAAGAGTGCTAACTGATATTTCTCAGAAATATTGGCATTTTCGGACTTACTTATCCTACAGCTTAGGACAAAATGGTCGCATACCCAACATCTCCACATTCAGTACGAATGCAGCGCAGCGCACTGTACGACTGAGTTCAAAATATCCGTTTCGTACAAGTGCACTGCACCGCTTGCGTACAGAATGCTGGGTATGGGGCTATGCGACCATTTAGTCCTACATTGTACCTGGTAGCCATTTCGAGAAAGCCGCTGGATAGGAGCTTAAGGGCACAAGTATGCTGATGTCGGTACTATTCGTACAGCGAAAGAGCCGCACCGTAAGTACTGTACTCGCACACGCGCAAGCAACCGCACTACAAAATTAATAAGTACCCAATGCGGCGAGCTTGATACAGTGTATTTTTGCAGATACCGGTATTAAACGTACGTATCTGCATTCATACCTGTCCGGCTGTCACGAGGGTCACGGTAATTGTAAAGCGAAACAACTGAACCGATAAGGGACTTGTTAAGGAGCACTGGGTTATGTTCGCGATATCGTCTACGCTCCATGAATAGCGTCTGGAAACTCTACCGTTGGCGGTTTTGTTGGCTGTTGCATTACTAATCCGTACAGCTAATTATGCTGCGACCTCCTTTTTGTGCTGCCGCATCCGTACAGTACTGTACCGTCGGCGAGCACTCACTAAAAAACTTCCTTTACAGTTAGTGTTGCATTATCTGGCACTCTGCGAAATTGACGCCGAATGTGGTATACGCTTTCGTTTTAACAGTTTGACGGCAGAAATCGTGATTGAAATGAAGGTCAGAATTTGTCTTGTCAATCGCAGGAAACTAGGAAAGCATAAATAAGTACACACTGACAATTTCAAAACCAAACTAGCATGCTGCAGAGTAACTTGTTGCAAAGCAAAATGCAGACAACAGTTTCTCATACCAAAAAGATTGAAAGAGCGGCATCTTTGGATGACTAAAACACAGAAGTCTGGATCAGCTGCTGATAATACTAAACTGTTGCAAAGGCATAACGAAATAAGAAGAATGTCAGCGACAAAGCTTGCAATATTGACACATCTGCGCTGTACTCAGGTAACAGGTTAACCCAATAACACTTCCAATAACACGCAGTGCGGAAGGACACCATGACGTAGCCAAAACAAAGTGAACAACTACTTGGGCAGAGCTTCCATCAGCTTGATGAGGGAACGCAGCGCCACCCGTGACAGTTTCTCCAGCTCCAGACCCTGCAGACCATCCACACACCACTTCTTCCCGCGGTAATGCAGCGAGGGACGCGGATCCGTCGTTTGCAACGCGCACAACGACTACAACACGAGCACCGCTTCCATAGAGCAATCCGGATTTCGTTCTGGAAGTTGCCGCAAACTTACCTTGCTAACCGTGACCGAATACTGTTCAGCCCGCCTCGTCAAACGGTCGTGTGCTTGGAGTGGCGTGGAGTGGCATCGTGCGCTTGGTAGGCGTAATAGATTGGCCAGGCGAGTTAATTCCGTGTCAGTCGGCACCGAGAGTCCTGCTTCCAAGGCACTCCACAGCGCGCCGTCAAGCTCGCCAGAAAAGCGCTGTCGGTAGAGGCTAATGTAACATGGATCCAGTGAAACACCTCCACTCGAGTGGTATCTGGAGAAAGCTCTGCATTTCACAGTGATAGTGCACTGAATCAGCTGAATATTCTCACAGCGAAGACTGCGACATGCCATGATGGTATTCGTAAAATTACTACAAGTGGACTGAAGAAGCCCGTATTCAGGTAGCTCTTGATGGTTGCACAAGCAACTTGGCAGACAGCACTGCAATCCGAACAAATGGATGCATTTCAACTTGAGGCCGGGATTGCGTTGCGCAGTCAAGTATTGAAGAATATCGAACACTTCCATAATCTGCATTCTCTCCGTCTGGCATTGCTGGTCAACCACAACAACGTGCTTTGTGGATGAGGAGAGGCACTTAAAGAGAACTGAAGCCATAAAATACGCTGATGTAGAACATCCTTCTCGATCTTCCATAACGAAGGCAGCCCTGTCGAAAACAACGTTGGCCTTGAGATAAGCCGAACTCAAAAGGGCGTCCCACGTTGCACACACAGGGCGCAATCGGGCCTGCGTTGCAGTGTCCAGATTGGAGAAAACTTCCGTCCACAATTCCGTTGGCAGCAGAGCCAGTCCATCAGCTGCTGCAAGCTGGACTAACGGCTTTGGCTCAATGGATCTCAATAGCGCCTTGTAAAATCTGCTAGCAAATTTCTATAAAATAGAAATTGCCGCCATAATATCGTTGGAACATATGCACCACAACTGAAATCGAAACATTCTACTTACCAGTGCGTTTGCCGTACGACTATCTTTGGGTTCCGCTCCAGCATTACATCGGCGCTGAATGTACACCAAACAGTCGTCCACAATGTCCACATACACTGCACGGGCAGAATTCTCGTGAAAGTAAATCATCCGCTGCAAATATGGTTTTTCATCAAATTTCTTGGTACGACTTTCCGGCAGGAGTAAAGTGTGCTTAGCAAACGTCCACTTCTCGACGCACTTCTTCGGTAAATCCACGGCCGATTTACGATATTTGTTCCCGATCTTTATTCGTCCATCGACGGACATATTCCAGCGGATACGAGCCATGGGAACCACATCCACATACTCCTGCGGGGTTCCACGGTGAACGATGACCACACGGTAGTCAGAGGCGTAACCGATGCCGCTGGCCTGACTGACGATTTCCGTGGGGAACCACATCCACGCATTAGATGCACCGTCACGCATCAGGACTTCTGCTTTCCATCCAGGTTGGTGCTGTGTTTGGGAGAAACCGCTGCGGTACTGTTGCTTATCAAGAGGGAAGGCCCGGTAAAAAGGGATGAATTGACGTCGGCGACCGGAGTACAGGAAGTCGACGAATAGCCCTTGGTCCTCCACATCCACAACGCGTCCATAACGCAATAGACCGTCGTCGCCCAGCACGTCCACGCTGTTCCATGGGAGGCTTCTTAGGGCCATTGTGGACAGCTGCAAATCCAAGTGGACTTCTCCAACCGATCCTGCTAACACCAAGAACAAGCTTGGTTTTACATAACGATTACATGTAATGCGTACAGTGCACGCCATCGTACAGCCGACTGCCTCGACATCTCGGTAGATCATTCGCCACTCGAAATGCTACGACCAGTGCTATATTGTTTATTCTGCAGAAAGACGTTACTGCCGTAAAAAATGCGGTCTATTGCATTCTTGACTTTGGAAGGCGCAGGTTTCCGATATATGTAATCGTCAACAAACTTATCGAGAACTTTCTTCCCAAAAAGAATGATTGTCGGGCATTTGTCCAACTATTAAGGTGTAAATCCTTACCTGATATCCAGTTCGGGAATGTTTACAGGACTATAAAGCCAGGCGAACCAATTAGACTTGAACACTGCGCACCCTGGCTCTAGGACCAAATTTAAAAATCTCGACTGGATCGCACCGCTGCAGCAAAACGATTGCCCGTCGCAAATTGTGCTCCGTTAAGCTTCTTCTGCGACGGTTTTACCGGCTTTAAGCGTATCGTCATGTACGTTGTACGTACAAGGTATAACGTCAGGTAACCTGATGCACCTATATTCAATTAGCTGCATCAATGCACGTAGTCCGCGGAAGCTTCACAGCTCAAATCCTAGCAAAATTTTCTAAGAAACGCAAGTATAATTTTTTCTGACTTATTGATCATAACTGAAGCGCAGTAAAATTCTGCTCCCATAAATGTATAGCGCCAACAAAATTTCACAACATGGCGCATTATTATGATCCCACGTTATTGCAAAAAGATGTGGGCAATGTCTTTCATGATTAAAAATTCATCCGAAACAGTTAGAAAGAAACCGCTAAATACAATTACATAATTACCAAAAGTCCAACACATGCACGCTTGCTTCTTTTGCTGACATTACAAGACTGCAAATAAATGGATACAGTAATAAAAATAAAAATGAGCGGCAGCAGCATCCGTACAGTACTGTACCTTCGGCAAGCTGGAGCACCCATTGGCCATTAGGGAATTTTCTTTTAGTGTTGCTGCATCTGGGACTCTCCGAAATCGACGCCGATTGTCGTATACGTTTTTGTTTTAACAATTTCACGGCAGAAACCAGACCGAAATTAAGATCAGAATTTGTCTTGTCAATTACAGGAAGAAATAAACAGGTACATAGTGACAACTGACAACAATTTTACAATCAAACTTGGATACTGAAGGTACTGTAACTTGTTGCAAAGCAAGCTGACAAGGACAGATTTCTCACGAAAACGTTAGAAAGAGCGACATCTTTTGCCGACTAACACACAAGTTTGGATCTGCTGCTGATAACAACACACTGTAGAAAAGGCACAACGAAATAAGAGGAAAGTCAGCGACAGATCAAATTTTAGACCACAGGCACATTTTTGCTATTCGCAGGTTAATCCAATAACACGGAGTGCGGAAGGACAGCATGTCGCAGGCAGAGCAAAGTTAACAACTACTTGGGCACGGCCTTCATCAGTTTAATGAGGAAACACAGCGCCACCCGTGACAGTTTCTCCAGCTTCAGATCCCGCAGACCGTCTACGCACCACTTCTTACGGCGATAATGCAGCGAAGGACGTGGATCCGCCGTCTGCATCACACACAACGTCTACAACACGAGCCTCAATTCAATAAAGCCATTTTTCGTTATGAAATCAGCGCAAACGTACCTTGCAGACCATGGTCGAATAGTTTTCAGCGCGACCCATTAAGAGGTCGTGTGCCTGGAGTGGGCATAACCATTCGGCCAGGCGAGATAATTCCATGTCAGTTGGCTTCGCGAGTCCTGATTCCAAGGCGCTCCACAGCGCGCCGCCCAGATCGCCATTAAACCTTTGTCGGTCGATTCGATTATAGGAGACAGAGCCGCAAGTCAATGAAATGCTTCCCGTACAGGAAACCTGGCATTTCAGAATGCTTTCAGTGAGCTGGATATTCTCACAGGGAAGACTGCGACATGCCCGGATGGTTTTTGTAAATTCTGTACTGCTGGGCTGATGACGCGGGCATTCGGATTTCTGGTGAATGTCACACCTGCACCATTGCAAACAGCACTGCAATCCGACCAAATGGATGCATTTCAACTTAATCCGGGAATGTGCTGCGCTGTCAAGTAGTTAAAAATACCGCACACTTCTAGAATATGCATTCTCCGCGTCCGGTTTTCTTGGTCAACCACAGCAACGTGCTGCGTGGACGAAGAGAGGCACTTGAAGAGAACTGAAACCAAAAAATACTTCGATGAAAGATATCCCTTCCGGTCTGCCTCACTGAATGCCGCTGTGTCGAAAACAACGTTGGCCGTTAAACAGGCTGAACTCAGAATGGCGTCCCACGTTGCACACACAGGGCGCAATCGGGTCTGCGATACAGTGCCCAGGTTGGAGAAAACTTCCGTCCACAATTCCGTCGGCAAGAGAGCCAGTACATTTACAGCGGCAATCTGAACTAACGGCTTTCGCTTAATGGGTCCCAGTAGCGCCTTGTGAAACCTCCTAAGATTTCTCTGTAAAAACAACAGATGTCATCATAAGTTATCATAACAGCATTGATAACTTCGCAATGCGAAGTATTACGTCCACAGTTGATTTCTAAACAGCTTATTAAGTCTACTTACCAGTTCGGATGTCATACGATTGTCGTCGGGCTCAGCTCCAGCATCGGATCGGCGCTGAATGTACACCAAACAGCGATCCACAACGCCCACACACACCGCACGGGCATAATACTGGTGACGGTTGGTCATCCCTGTAAAACGCTGCTGCAGACGTGCTGTTGTCACCGTCCCGGGATGACTTTCCGGCAGCCGTATAGTGCGCTTAACGAACGTCCACTTCTCGACACCGTTCTTCGGTAAATCCACGGCTGATTTACGATACTTGTTCCCGATCTGTATTCGTCCACCATTGGACACTTTCCAGCGGATACGAGTCATGGGAACCACATCCACAAACTCCTGCGGTGTTCCGCGGTGGACAATGGCCAGACAGGCGTAACCGACAAGTTCCGCCGGAAACCACGTCCACGCACCAGATGCACTGTCACGCACCAGGACTTCTTTGGGCCGGCCTGATTGGGCATTTATCCGGGACAAAACGTCGCGGTACTGTTCGTCATCACGAAGGAAAACCCGGTCAAAGGGACGAACACCCCTCGGCGATTGGGGCACAGGAAGTCAATGCAAAGACCTTCGTCCGCCACGTCCACCACATGTCCATAACGCATGAGGCCGTCGTCGCCCAGCACGTCCACGCTGTTCCACGGGGGAATTCTCGGGGCCATTGTCGATGGCTACAAATCCAAGTGGGCTCCTCCAATTAACAGATCCTGCTAATGATGACCAACTTGTGTGTTTACATGTAATGCGAACACTACACGCTATCGTACGACCAACTGTCGCGACACTTCATTAAAACATTCGCCATTCGAAATGCCATACTGATTAATCAGTAAGTGATTGCCGCAAGAAGATACTGTCGATTGCATTACTAACTTTTGCAGGTGCAGGTTTCCGATAATCTAAGAAAAATCAAGCGGGAGTCTTCCTTGAGAGGGGAGTGTGCGTCTGGAACTGGCAAACTTTAAACGTGTAAACCCTTAGCTAATATCCAGTTCGGAATAGTTTACAGAACAGTCAAGACTGCAAAGTCATGTAGACACAACGCTGCACACCATAAGAGTTCGTACTGAATTTTAAAATCACCAGTGGATCGCAGCCGCTGTAGCAAAATTATTGGCCGCCGCAAATTGTGTTACGTTAATCCTCTTTTGTGTCGGCTCTACCGGCTTTAAGAGCACTTTGACATGTACGTACAACGTTGATTCAATTTATCGTTACTGCAGCAGTATAGCCCTCGGAAGCTTCACAGCTCAAATGCCAGCAAAAGTTTCTAAGAAATGCAGGTGTTTTCTAACTATGGGAATTTTCGGTTGCGCTTAAATAAATCGTTTCGCAATCTTAAACCTCTTTCAGCTTCGCGGTTACACATTTCTGCACTAATACAAGAAGTCATGCACGAATCCAGTCCTAACGAATATGAATCTGAACAACGAACCGTCGATGTTTGAGTTAGGCCAAGCAACACACAATAATAAAACCAATCATAACAGTAACAAGAGCAATGATACAAGATTTGTGTAATGGGTGCTATCCCCGATCAGATAGCATAGAGGAAGTGTTTCTGTTATAAAAGTAGTTTTGTTCTGGTAGTTAGTTTGTACTCGTATTATGATACTTATTAAAAGTTATTATGCAGCAAAAAAAAATCTGCCTTCGCCGTAGGATGGAGTTTTGATGCTACAGAAATACAGCACAGCAGTAGAGTCGTATTTAATCCTGACCCGTTACCGATCTACTGGTGTCGCAGTTAGTACACCAGAAGAACCATTAGCCAAACGCTGCAACAGTTCCTGATCTTTCGGCGACAAGGAGACGATTGCCCAAGCTTCGCCTCGTCTGGTATCGTAAACTTCTACTGTAGATGCGTGCTCTTTTGCAGAATTCCTGCCGCCACAGACATATATTTGTTTATTAATAACGCATGCTGAATGGTCATATCGCGGCTGTCGCAGGGCCGGTATATCTTGCCAGGTAGCCGTGTCGAGGTTCAAACGCATACCGGCAGATGTTGCGGTAGATGTACCGGTAGGTGAAGCGGTAGATTTGCAGGAGTTTTGTCCACCGACGATGTACACGTGCCCGTCCACCACAGCCATAGCGAACCATATTCGTTTTCCTGGTATGTCTGGCAACGGCTTCCATTCTCCGGTTACGGTATCATAACATTCCAGGCACGTCGACTGCTTTTTGAAATTGGCAGTATAAAAGATTTTGTTTCCGTACTTGGCCACGGCTCCTCTATGGCTTCCAAACCTGTAGTGAGATTTGCTAGTACCGTATGGAAATATGAAACGTATTTGTACGCTTTCGCACAATTAATATGATAACGTACCGGTTTTGAGCAGCAGGGTTAATTTCTAGTGGCTTTTTGCTGCCAGTTACGATGTCAGCTTCCATGAAATACCGAGCGCCATCCCAGTAGTATAAAAATTTGTTCACCACAACAGGACATTCGAACGACGATCGCAACTCAAAAGACGTTTCTAATTCGCGTACCGTTTTGTCTCCCACATTCCAGAAGTGCAGCTTACGGCACACAGTATAAAACATTACTTCCCTGCCCGTTGCCGCTATGGTAGGACTACTTAATGGCTGCAAAGGCGTGATATGACATTCCCGATGAGCACGTACAGTATTGGTTAACGGATCGAATATCACTATCTTCGGGATTTCGTGGACTTCGTAGCGGACAAACGCAATTAATTTATAATACTGCAACTCGTTTAGAAGGCACTCTGCACAGATTCGCCTCTTCACGTCAAGACGCAGGCACTGACGAATGTAATGCGCCAAAACTTTTGGTATACCACCATTGACAAACGGAGCATAACGTTCAATTATCATTTTACCGAATTGATAGCCCGAAACATCTTTCCCAATAACGACCGTCTGTCCCTCACTTATCAGTTGCTTTTCATGGATTCCCTGAACGCATTCCACCAATTCTAAAATAATGCATCCCAGACTCCAGACATCGGTCTTTCGTCCTGGTGCTTCGGTCAACAATTTTGCAAATTTTTTCAGCATGTCCGGTGACATGTAGCGGGTTGTACCGCGTAACTGCGAGATGTCGCCAGAACATGTGGCGCTTTCTTGCATTTGCACTAAATCGTCCAGATCACCGATTAAAAGCCATTCACTATTTTCTGATGAGCCTTTGACTAAAATATTTCCCGGTTTCTGGTCGCCATGAATTATGCCGTAATAGTGAAGAAAAGCTAATCCTCGGGTTATATCCTTGGCGTAGCGAATAACTTTTCCATAGTTATCTGTAAGAGCTCCATTTTCTGTGGCTTTCTTCAAGACAGAAGCAAGATCACCTGCAATGGACGAGGTGATTTAATTGACCTTCGTTAAAATGAATATCGTCGTTCGATGTACAAGCCGGTCCGGAGTTAGAGCACGTAAAGATACAGCTAAGCTAACGCGTAATAAGCGCGATGGCCACTACACCACGTTTGCCATAATGCCACCTTCCGTCAGGAAATTATGATTGTATTCATTAAAATATATGACGTGCATCACGCCAGCTTCCAGCGATTCGCATGTTACGTGTAAAAACAGAGTGGCGTGGCGTAGTATGTTGTATGGCGTAACCCATGAAATTACATTTTTCGCTGTTCTCTATCATTTTCTATGGCTGGACCGGCTTGTACAACAAGTTTTGCTTACTGCTTACTGTCTCCGCAACCAGAAAGCACTTCCAAAATTGAAACAAGCATTCAAAAGTCATTAATCTTTGGCTCACCACCATAGCAGTTCATCATCAGTTCGACTATTGCCCCACCGGAAGCGGTGGTAATGCGGACACTGTGATAAGGTACAAGATTCTGATGATCCAGCCCAATAAGCCTTTTCAGCCTTCGTATAACTTTACCCAGCTCTCCTCATCGGCAAACGCGTCAGACTGCACACTAAAGTGAATTACTTTGACCGCCACCTCATCAGGACCTGTGTAATTATTCCGTTGTGTTATTTTCGCCTTATAGACATTGCCAAATGATCCGCTCCCGATGAAGTCCGTATGTGTGTACAGATACTGGCAGTCGCTTCCAATTGTAACAACTGTACCGGACTCTCGCGCCACTCCGTTACCCATTCCAAAAGATAAAAATAACGTCGGTTTCTAAGAGACTAATGCCTCCAAAAGGACGCCTAGAACTCTTGCCCATTATGCCGCTGATTACTCAGCAGTCAGCACTGGTCTAACTTTTGCCAATACGGCCGTTTTTTAGCGGTTTGCATACGAGTACAACTTACAGCAGCAGCAACGCTGCTCCCCTTCGATAAGAGTTTTGTTTGAAGCGGGTTTGCATAATTATATTGCTATAACTGCGAGCTCGCCGAGATAAGAAAGCCTGTTAATTTTACATCGTTGCTTTTCATGGATTCGTATCAATACAATTATCTTATCGAACAACGATACTTCCAGTTTATTGCTCATTAAGCACCAACCCAGATGAAATTAATGACATTTTCTCCATTGACCTATGTGGAAATATGATTACCTGTCCAGAACGATCGTTCGTTAAGGGAAGTGGCCCGGTACATGGTACCAAATTCGTGTACATCCACGAAATCTTTCACTTTCGCGCACTCCCAAACCCTTTTTTCTCTTGTTTTATGACATTATGTAGTCAAATGATTGGTATACATAGGCCTGAAAACCGTTTGCGCGCGCAACATCCGGTTCGGGAGTTATGGCTATAAGAAAATTCCCAAAAGTTTAAATGCTTTCAGGTGTACCAAAAGTCTCATTATGGACCGATCTCCTTCAAATTTTGCATGTAAATGCACATGGCCATGAAGATCGTTTTTACACCTATCCAGACTTCCACGATTTTTTTCAAATTTTAAAATGAATTTTAAAATTTTTGAAATTCATTTTGAAATTTGAAAAACATGCTAGAACAGTGGATCGCTGTAAAAACGTTCTTCGTGGTTATGTGCATTTACGTGCAAAATCTGAAAGAGATCGGTCCATAATGAGACTTTTGGTACACCTGAATGCATTAAAACTTTTTGGAATTTTCTAACAGCCATAACTCGCGAACCGGATGTTGCGCGTGCAAACGGTTTTCAGGCCTGTGTATACAAATCATTTGACTACAGATTGTCATAAAACAAGAGAAAAAAGGGTTTGGGAGTGCGCGAAAGTGAAAGATTTCGTGGATGTGCACGAATTTGGTACCATGTACCGGGCCACTTCCCTTAAGTTAGCGTATGAGCAATAAAATAACCTAATTCAAGCTGTAAAAGTGCACATTAATGTTACCACGGCACTCCTACCGCATGATCATAACCATGTTGATTGTGACTGTTTTGGAAATTTCTGACGACGATCTACGATACTCGTCATCAGAATCAGTCTGAGATTAACGAACTAAAAAATCCACGAAAATGGTCAGCGAGTTTATATCCAGGATTAAATGGAACGTTTCAGTTGACACAGATTCAAAATCAGGGTTTCTATGCCCAACAGTACGTAATTCCGGGAACAGTAAGTGTTGACTGCCATTTGATTGCCCATCAACGCACCGGTGTCTGCTCTACCTGCGTATACGCATACAATACGATGTCCATCCAGCGGTGTTGTGCATTTTACAGGCGCATTAACCGCTAACGATTTACAAGCACATTCTATTACGGTGCATAACAAATGACGTTTCAGTCGACACTTACGGCTCCAATACCAGCTGCCAGTTCGTTCCGCACTTATGCAAGTGATCCCCGCTGGGAGAGATGTGCCTGCTAATGTGAGCAATCAAAATACGGATGTACACTTGTACAGTAACTTATGGGTGTAGCGATATCCCAGTGTATTTTGTGAAGTTGACTTTCCTGCTTATTCGTTAGCCGGCAAACATCATCCGTGACGTTTATAACCATGTTTACCAACGTCTCTGCTGTCTATTTTAATGAAAGCGAAGAAATAATTAACGGAACGTTCAATAATAAACTGTCTTACAGAGGATGGACATTTTCAGCGATCATGCGCACAACCATGTGCATCGTGCAGATTATCCTCAATCTCGCCATGTCCACCATGATATTCTCCCGGAAAAGCCTTCGCACGTCCTTTACAGTATACGTCGTCTTCCTTCTGTCCTCCAACTTGCTGGTAGCGATTATGCAATATCCTCTGGAAATTCAGCGAATTCTCTACAGGAAATGGTCCCTGTCAGAAGCGTCGTGCACGTTATACCTGTACAATATTTGGGTGCTGTTAGCCTTACCGATCCACTCTCATTTACTGCTGACGATTAATCGGCTGTGGGCGTTGACCTTTCCGCTATCTTACAAAAACCATCATTCGAAACGTGTGGCTGGGATTCTCTGTGGAGTAACGCTGCTGTATATTCACGTGTTTTTTCTCCCGTTGGTTATTATTGATCGAGGATTCTACCGGGCGTCGAGCCGAACGTACGGATGTACCACAAATTACGCCATGCCGATGGTAAATAAGTACGCCATCGCGGTGCAGATGGTCGGATGCAATATTCCGTTGTTATTTATCGTTGTTGTGTTCCCGTATTTGGCTGTCATGGAGCGGCAGAGGAAGAGAACTGTCGGGCTGGCGCAAACAGCCACTCCATACAACTTGGGAATTATGGGGTTTTTTGCTAATGCCATAGCTCAGCCCAATCACAGTCATAGTTCTCCCAATAAGGTAAAATTACAGCGCTCTTGTCGATTAAGTTCTTTTATGTACTTCGACGTTTATCGCATTCCAGGCACTTTAACCACAGGAATTCGCGTACCGGACGTTGGAGACACAGTTTCTCTCCTTTGTTCCACATTAGAGAACTCGATCATTTTTCATTAATATCATGTACAAGCACATGTAGAAGAAACACTAATTATCCCGTAATGAATTTTTGAAAAATGCCTGCCACGCGGAGCAAGCGCAGAATATCGTATCTGGTGCCCGGTACGCGAATCCATCTTCTCAAAATGCCTGGAATGCAAAAAAACGTCAAAGTACTTTATATCAGCACTCTACAAGCTGGGATGCAATTGCAGGCGCGCGCCGCAACCGTACGCCGGAATAACCGCTTATCAAATCGACCTTTTGCGCTGCTGACGCTGCTAACCATTAGCATCACCATCTGCTGGACGCCGATCTTCACGTACTGGACGACTGTCCTCTTCGTTCCCCTGGGATCGGATTACAGTGGATTCCGCAATTTTGCCAGTGCCCTAGTGACACTGCAGCCGGCACTGGACCCGATCTTGTTTGGACTAAGTCTACGCAACGTCCGCAAGGTCTTCGTACAACAGATTACATGTCGATGAAATCCAGGAATTTATAATTTAGGCTAAGGCTCAATAAAGTCACCAAATGCACAATGCGGCCGAATAATCCTCTGGTGTGTAAGGCTTTTTTTTATGTGTTTTAGCTTTTATCTGTCGGTTGCCTTAAGAGTAAGGTTAGACAGCTTGTACAGATACCGACGTACCGTCATTTTACTAAACGAATAATTGCTAATTTCTTGTTTCGTCAAAACAACACCACAATTTTTAATGAAGATCCATCTCGCTGATCAGTGATTTCTTTCATCAAACACACTAAATAGTAAATATAACATACCTTACATATATGAGTTCATGCACATACTGACACACACACGGGACGCACCCAGCGAACACAAAACAGGCACACTAAAGAGTAAACATACCACAATACCACATATAATAATAAATATTTCCTGTCCTGTCATATTCTTCTAGGGGCTCTATCCAGCTTGCGGCCTTCGATATTAATTTAGACCGGCCCAAGCGAGCCTTATAATCCAAATCCGTTGCAATGACACCAGGCAGGATGTAGTCCTCTACAGTTTTGATCTGCTCGTGGAACGCCTTCAAGGAAGCACATCCACCACGCACTGCATGCAATGGTGCAAGGTGTTTCTAGCACAACGAGCCCTGGTTTTTCAAGCTCAAATGTGAAGCGTTATTATCTTCGTGATGCCGCATCGCAGTACTTAACGTAGTCAGTAAGGAAAGTAACCAACACCTTCAAAGCTATAATTTGATCGTTTTAAGAGAGAATCATTAGGTTTCCCGCTGCTTAAGAGGCTGCCTAATCGTAGCATTACCTCGTTTGACACGAGCGATGTCTTGAGTGTCTCGAAAAAGGTCACCATCGGCAGCCATCCCGTCGTTGATGAGGATGAGTTGCAACAGAACAATGCTGATGGATATAATGTAAGCCTTACGAACGTTCATCATAGGTACTCTTGCAGGATGCAGAAAACTTTGGGCTTAACAGAATCGTGTAATGCGGATGCTGCCTAATTCTTGTATCTCAGATTTTCAGTTGCTGCTTAAAGTGGGCACTTGACGGAAGATCACAGCTGCAGAAATGTGTATTAGTGGTGTTCAAATTTTTGTGGTTTGCTAACCAACTACGCTAGTTGTTATATTATACGATATTGTGTTTGCAGTTAGGCGCTGTTTTATGTTGACATTTTTGGCAGGCACGGCTGTTACTGTCATGCGGACATGCCATTTGCGTTGCAACTGCTGACCTTTGGTTTCCCGTTCGGGGTAGTTGGCAGCTGGTTTCACGGAACGATGAGCCGGAATCATCATTTCCTGTTCACCAACCGCAATTATATTTTTAGTTTTCAAGGAAGCGAGCAACAAAGACCAACCACAAAAACTGAAATTATAAGCTGTATACCAGATACAAGCTTTCAAAAACTCTCGGAAAAGATTAACGATTACGGGCAAATTGACAAGCTTCGTAAGTTTTGAGTTCTTGCGTCATAGATTCAGAGAAATGCGGTTTATCTGAATGCGCAGTGATATGGCCGTGAAGAAGAAGCGTATGTGCGAGTATATTGGCTTTAAGTTAGCTGAACGGGAATGGTGTTACGCTTTTTCTATACAAACAGGCAAACATACTAGAAATCGTCCCTAGGTGTAAAAAAACGATAACCGCGTCGCAGCCTCATTAAGCAGTCGAAACCGCAGCAGTCAAAAGAAATTTCAGCACGACTTTCATTTTATTTCTATGGATTTTGGATGCATCCGGTACAAAATGGCCTTTCTGCTGAGCATTTTGTCAAGGAAAGCTGCCAATCGGCACGAGGAAATGAACCTGTTACACTTCGAAACGTTTTTTTGGATGTATATGATTTCTGCAGCTGAATCAGATTTTGAACACCACAGATATATCTGTGTACTATAAGTAAGCTGTACACTGACTGAAAAACCGTTACCGTGAGCAATATTCGACTGCTTAGAAAGGATTTAAAAGCAACAGAGCTGTATTTTTCAGTTTTAAGGATGATTTAAAATGACAAGTACAGTAGTTTACTTAAACGAGAAGTCGCGCACAAAAAACTCAAGTTGTTATCTGATCCTCTTGAAACTTTGCTGTGACATATAAGACGTAATATAAAATCGATTCCTAACCAAAACCATACCAACATTTTCCCGAAATTCTTAAGTTCGTTTCAAAATTAATAAAAACTGTGTAGCCTGAGGTTGGTTCAGATGCGGGATTAATCGCATTTTTTTCATATACAGCCGTCGAATCTTGTTTCTTTCTTTTTTTTCCATTGCCAAGTTTGTGCGCGAACCAAACGTTATACTGTGTTTACAGATACGTACATGTACGTAGGTGTGCGACATGTTACTGCGAGCTTAGTTTCGCATTAGTTGCAGTAAATCAGTGTGTACTTTAAGCATGCCTACTTTGCGAGTGTCCAGTTATCAAAATTCCCTAAAGTGACGTATTTAATATTGCAGTTCGGTGACCACAAGTTTTTAAGGGCCCTTTGAATTTTAATCATCATAATCGTCACGCTATTCTCGACACACCAGTGAAACGACAATTTAAAAATGCATCTGATTTATGTATTATTGTAGTAATAACGGTTATCTACGAGTACTCTTGTTCGTTCATCCCACTCTCTGCCGTGAACGTTTCGGTTGGTCCAAATTCGCCTCAGAAAGCAAATCCATTGCACTGGCACCCGCCAGGTTGCGCTCCACAGTTAGCACAGCGGGGAAAACTCCCGGCGCAGCACGTCCACCACGCAGTGCACGCGATGGTGCAGGGTATATCTAACAACAAACCCGGAGTTTTGAATGTAATGTCGATAATATGATGTCGCATCTAAGACGTCTAAGCCCGAAACAAATTTAACAGTCTATTTAAGCTATAATAAGTTTGTTCTAAGTCGAAAGTAATAACTTTCTCAGTTGTTTGATCGCGACTTACCAATTCCCCGTTTGGCGCGAGCGACATTTTGAGTCTCCCCAAAAAGGTCACTGTCGACAACCATTGCGTCAGTTGGCAGCATCAGTTGCAGCAGAACGATGCTGACGCAGATAATGAAACTCTTGCGAATGGCCATTATTCTGCAAGATGCGGAAAATGTAGCGTCGCTTAGTGCAGTGCAGCCTGATTTACGCACCTCAGTTGTGGTTCAAAGTGGGCTCTTGATAGAAGGTGACAGCAACAAATATTTCGATTACTGGTTGTCCAAACTTTTGCAGCTTACTACAGAACTGCTTTTTTATATGCTTTTGGTTGAAGTTATGCGCGGTTTTATACCCGCAATTTTGGCTCGCACTGTTGTTTAGTGTCATGTTTACACGCCATTCGTGTTGCAACTGCTGCCCTTTAGCTTTCCGTTCCAGGCAGTCTGCAGGACTTTTCATGGAACAATGACCGGAATTACCATGTTCCGTCTTCCACTCGCGATACGATTTTCGGTTTTTGAGAAAGCCATACAAGAGCCAGTAACTGATAGTCTAAACTTTAACAGATACCAAGTCATACGTCTACAAATGCAGAAACATTGCGTGGCTATGCACCAGTAAACAGCCGACACCGGACACCGCAGTCACCAGTAGAGCTTTGCTGCATCAGCAGCAGCACCACCGCTGTGCTAATTATTATTTCAACTGATATCAGATACAAACTCTGTACTTCCGATATAAAACGGTTTCCTGCCAAGAACTTCGCCCATCCGGGACGATAGGTATCACATGTACAAGAAACCGACTTTGCGATGTGGCTATTTGGAAACGTTTTAGCTTAGCTTAGTAGTTAAGGGCCAATGTTAATAACACCTTTTAGAATTTCACTCAACAGGCAGCCATGTAAACAGAATTTAAAGTGAGTTTTAACTTTTTCTCATATGTTCTATACAATTTTTTTTGCTCAGAATTGAATTGCAGCCTGTACATAGTGTCATCTAACCATTTTTGCATTTTGCGAATAAATCAAGCTTGAAGCGGTTCTTTAGTTTAGGTATGCGGGTATTGAACTGATTGATAAAAGCCACCTAGCAGTCGCTGCAAGCGCTGGTACATTACTTGATAACTAAAATTTAAACAATTAAGAAAACAACTTAAGAAATAACATATCATACATTGTAGCGGTGTTGGTTTTGTACACTACGCGAATGTTACACCCTTACCTGTTAACAGTTCTGTAAGGGTGTAACCGAAGACCGTCTTCTTTCGGATTTAATCGTAAGGATAACGGGTAGCATACTCAAAGTAGCCGTAGCCTTTATTTTTAACCACAGCCAGGCTAGGTAATTGTAATTAGTCATAATAACGTGTTCATTATTTTTGAAAACGCGTTAATATACAGTAAGTGTACGATTTCTTTATCCTGATGAACATCCCAGCGGAAAAGCCACTTGCTCAATCAGGCATTTTCAAACGCCGCCAAAAAAGTGTGACCATGCATTAAAGGATTAGCTATTTCTTTAATGTCTTTAATGTAAAATTTTCGTTGTTTGAAGGATGGTCAACCTGCGCGAATATTGACTGTAGCAGCTTTTCCCGAAGAAACCCCTGGGGTAGTACGTAAACCGTTATCCAGATTCACGAATGACTGCTTTTGACGTAGCATAATTTGTATTTTAACTTTTATTCTTTTTTGCTATTTTATTATTCTATTCTTTTACTCTGTTTTGCAACAATACCCAAAAGTTGCCAATTGACGAAACAGAGAGACGTGCTTAAACAAAAGATTCATAAAAGTGGAAACAAGTGGCCGTTAGATGCGAAATATGTGCAAAACTTGCAACCATACCACGTTACAGTATCCGGTGTATTTGCGATATGATCAACTGCATTTAGCGTCGGAAAAACGCAGCTTACACCCTTACCTGCTACCAACAGCGCTATACGGTATGAATCCGTACGATACAGTATGTAGTGAAATTTAGTTTAATCTATGCGGTATGGACATAATAGTAAACCATGGACATATTAAAATAATCCTCTCCAATAACTACAGTACCTACTGAAAAAAAGCAAGCTGGCACTGAACAGATGAACAGAGATTAACGGTGGTTTTAGTTTCCTTATTGGGAGTGACGGTTCGATATTTGAAGGACGTGGATGGACCATCCGACCGGCCTATGAAATACGCTACAACGGGAAAGGTTTTGGAACGGCATTTATTGGGAGATACTCCTCCAAAGGTCAGTAGCTGATTATCACCGCTTTGAATCCGTTTGCAAATCGGTGCCTCTTGCTGCTAATTTGTGATCCAGTGTCACAAATTAATCAGCGCACCGATCTCCTACGCTTTCGAATTTCTTCAACTAGTAACTACGCTCACTACAGGATGATCTGATAAAAGTTTGGTTTATCTTGTTTTATCTCAACTCTCAAGTCAATTTCAAAGCAGATCAGAATAGTGCAGCTTGGATGGAAAAAGCGTCGATTTCAGGGCTCTGCATCTGTTTCCGAGCTTTTGCTAGCGTATATCGTTTTCTTTTTGAGATCAGAGCGGGTAGCTACCGTATATCATATATGATTGGATAAGAGAAAAAGGACCAGTTATCAGAAATGCATAAAATTTAACTTTAATTTGAAGATCACGAGCTTTTAGAAAATTTGTAAAACGTGGGTAGGTAACCGAAGTAAAATCAAACCGTAAAAAGTGACCGGTTTGCGAACGAAGTACTTACCAGATTGTGTAGGGTGCTGCAGTTAAAACTGATTTGACATTTCAGACAACGCTTCCACGCCCTTCACTCACCGCGCTGCTGTGAGCGACCACGACCTGTTAAAATGTGCTCAAGAAAAGGGATATGTGAAAGCAGTGCCTTTCAACCAGACCGCTGAATTCACGCGTATTGATCCTGTGATTAAAAACTACATCGAAAATCCCCAAACCGTCCGCGGTAAATTCGTTATTCCGTCTGGATTCCCATACAGTGTTGTGTACAATGTATTTCAGATCTCACTATGCATTACAGATATCACTATAGCACCAGCTGACAGCAGCACGGCAGCTCTCATTACTGGGCGTTCGTTACGATCCGTCGCCGAGCCGCTGGAGGCACAACCTACCTTATCTACCGCGGCACTTACGGGATTAGCGACCGGAGTTACTGGTTTCATTCTCCTGGTTGCCATAGCCCTTTACCGCTTCCGCAAAAAATTACTAAGTTCTGTAAGCAGCCAAAACTCATCTGTGCTAAGGGAACGAACTCATCTGTACTCGGTACATGGTATCAAATCCATTAACAAGCATAGGAACTTTTACTTTCGCGTACTCCCAACACTTTTTGCATTATTTTACGACTTCCTGTAGTCAAAAAAATTGCGTCCATCAGCATCTGGTTGGGGAGCTCTGCGTGAAACGAGATTCCAAAAATCGTAAATGCAAAAATCTCAGGACTGACCGATTTTCTTCGGATTTTTTATCAATATGCTTTTTATTAACCACATTTATAGCATTTTTTCTAACTGCAAACGAATTTTAAGATCTAAATGAAATGGTGAAAAATGCTGAATCCCTCGTTCGATGTAAGAATGACTTTCATATTCATATTTTTTTATGTGCAAGATTTGGCGCAGATCGAGTTTATGGTGAGACTTTTGGTACACTTGTCAGCTTTTAGCCTTTTACAATTTTTGAAATCAAGTTACACGCAGAGCTCCCCACTCCTCAGTCGGATGTGACGCGCAAAAGCGCTTTCGATATCAAATGTATACAGATTATATAATTACAGAAAGCCATAAAGTAATGCAGAAAAATATTTAGGTGTACTTGTTCGTGTACACGTACACCTAAAATACGTGTACATGTTCGCGAAAGTTCTCGCACATGTACAAGTACGAGTGCAATGCTATGTTATTGTGCAGCAGTGGCGTTTTAAGCAATTTTATTGCTGATTTTACTGGCATTGCACCATTTGTGGACCTTCCGGTTGTCGAGCGACAACGTAACAGAAGCACGCGTGCGGTGGCCCATGCCACAGGCTGTTTTAACGTAAATCTTTGAAAATTCATAACTTTGTTCATTCCTCCATTAAATTTTTATGCATAGTCTTGAAAAATGCAGAATAATACAGTATCAGGCAAAAGAAATGCTTTTTAATTTTTCTTTCAGGATTGTGCGCTGTTAGCCTGCGCGGCTAGCATAGCCGCCTATGGAGGATTTCCCATAGGCGGCTATGTTAACCGCAGAGGCTCATACTGCATTACCCTAAAGAAGAAACAGAAAACATTTATTTTGCCTAATACTGTGTATTATTCTGCATTTTTTAAGACTATACATAAAAATTTAGTGCAGGAGTGAACAAAGTTATGAATTTTCAAAGATTTACGTTAAAACAGCCTGTGGCATGGGCCACCGCACGCGTGCTTCTGTTACGTTGTCGCTCGACAACCGGAGGGTCCACAAATGGTGCAATGCCAGTAAAATCAGCAATAAAATTGCTTAAAACGCCACTGCTGCACAATAACATAGCATTGCACTCCTTGTACACGTATTTCAGTAAGGTACGTGTACCAGGTCACTTCCTTAAAGTTAACTGTCTGTATTCTGTACGGATTGATTCGCGCCAGGTGTTATAACAGAAATGTTACAGAATCCCGATGATCACCGGAATGACATGCAGAGGCTCATTCAGCTGCGACAATGTCGTATTACGAACGGCAGCCCTGGACGGTGGACATGGGTAAGAATGTCGATCTATGTATGGATGCGTGTACGAATTAGTGCATTTCGTGACGTTTTTCCGTGTTAAAGCTACTAAAGCTGAAGACCCGATTCCGATCGAAGGACACAGCGGAATAGTCGTGAGAGGCTTGCTGATCTCCCGGAAACGCTGGAAGCTCTTAGACAGAACACCGTCTCAGCGCCTACCGGTCGCGGTCAAAATGCTGCGGGAAGTACATCCCGACAATCGCAGCATCGCGGGGTTTTTGACGGAAATGAGCATCCTTATGAAGGTCGGCCGGCATGTCAATATTGTCAACCTGGAAGGCGTAGTTCACCGAGGTACTAATGCCCGACTTCCTTTTGCACACCTCTTTCGCTTCGCTCGGTGTACAGTAATGTTAGTGTATGATGGCTAAAGGTCATGCTTAGCAGGTGGGTTGAAAATTGTTATGGAATACTGTGAGGTCGGCGCTCTGGACGACTTTCTCAGAAATCTAAAAGGCGAGACGAGTGGGGACTGGGGAGTCTGGCGAAGTGGTTCGGTTGGTCAACGGTTACGTCGCCTTCGACAAGAACCAAGAGAACCAACTCATCGCCACACCCGTTCTGACCGAACTACTATGCATTGCTCACCAGATCAGTCGCGGCATGGCTTTCTTATCGCAGAAGCACATTATCCACCGCGATTTAGCTGCGCGGAATGTCCTCCTGACGGCTGATCGGATCGTGAAGATTTGTGATTTCGGCATGGCCTGAGAGCAACCGGAGTACGTTCTAGAACGAGGTAAGGTATGTACGAGGGGATGTCAGTAGCGCATGGCACCACTCCCTGTACTTTCTGCCATCCGATAGCTGGAGCGTGACGTTGCGGCAGTATATATGGCAAAATCAGGCGCGATACATAAAAAACCATGGCGGCGGCGCGGTACATAAACACCGGCAGCAAGTACAGTGAGTGCTGACATGCGCTACTGATATTCCCTTGTTTATAGTACTATGCATTACGCAGCTATCGAGATTATGCCTTGTTGTGGTTCAGAGCGTCAGACTCCCTAGTTTTTTCATAAAAACTGCTACAATTACGTTAGTAATGACTAATCAACTCGTCCCTGTCGACATCTTGATGAGAAAAAAACGTTTTGGTATGTTGTGCAGTCTCTGTTTAAGCTTCAAGTCAGTGTGTGTCTTTGACTGTTAGTGTAATCGTCAGCCGGAATGATCGTAGGTGCCGTTGCCGGTTTGCTGGATGGCGCCGAAATCCATGGTTCAGGGGCACGGTGTCTTCAACACGCAGAGCGATGTGTGGTCGTTCGGCGTGGTCCTGTGGGAAATCTTCACCGTAGGCGATGTACCGTATACCACGGAGTTCTTCCACGGGATTTTCTACGATAAGCTGTATGGATTTCTGCAAAGCGGCGGGCGACTGCGAATTCCAAGCCTGTGTCCCGAATCTGTGTAAGTTACACCAACCTGAAATAGAACATCGTCAACTGTGAGAAAAATAATGGGAAACTTTACAAATCAGCTGTAATCGAACGTTTTCACGTGCTGATACGAGTTTCATGTTTACTTTGTCTCAGGGCTGTGATGATGCTGGAATGCTGGGATTTCACCGCTGAGAACCGACCCACATTTGAACTGCTGCACCAGAAACTGGAGCAGTTGCTCCCGGGGGCCCTTCGCAATCGCTATGTCATCTTTGACGCAGACAATAATAATAAGATCAATGAAACATTAAAAATAACGGCGGCGGAAATTGATATCGATGGTAGCATGGCCGAACTGGGCAGCAGTGATTAGATGTGCGTTTAATTGCGCTGGTACGATTGGCTCTGTTTTTCATTAACTGCAGCAATATGACGCTTGCAAATTCACCGTGTAGTTACTCAACACTTACCTAATTTACAAGACGTCTGACTTGCTACATTTCGATTTTCATGTATTTTGCTTGTGTACCAATCAGCTCCCGGCAAATTAAATGGATGATAGTGATTGAATTTTGTTAATATTGTTGCTGGTGTTTTTAGTTATCCGTCAAAGTGTCCGAAAAGGTCATTAGTGTTCAATCGTTCTGTGGAAAAAAATGGTGTTGCAGTCCATCTAGTTCATACTTTTGTTTTTATGTACAATTCTGACGGCGCTCCCACGTTGAGACATTATGAATGAATCGCTATAAAAGTTCGGCTGGGCGCGTGGATGTGTGACAGGAGGGTGAACTCGCCGATCAGGGCGGTGGTCTTCTGGGCGATGCGTGCGAGGCTTCGGGGTTGGAGCGCTACGCGGAGATGGTCCCGAACTCCCGGTTAAGGCGCGGCGGATCCAATTGAACGCGCGGATCCAACTGTCAAAAAAATAATGTGATGCGATGCTTCAAAATGCTGCTCGCAAGGTTGTGAAATTGCAAATACCGGTATCTACTGCGTGCAGTAGGTTGTGAAATTGCAAATACCGGTATCTACTGCGTTCAATGGAACAGGATGCGAAATTGTTTGGAAAAATAAAATAAATAATTTGTTTGGTAAAAATTCGACAATTACGGTAGATTAGGCTGAGTGTAGCGGCATTAGCACATTGTGGTGGATGTGTACAACAGTCAAATGATTACTTGTAGTGCTATTAGCGTTGTGTAGTTTCTTACAAAAAGAGTCAAATGACCCTGTTGCAGTGCCATTAGCCAAATTGTGATGTGGACTGTAGTGACATTAGTGTTTTGTTGTGAACTGTAGTGGCAATAGCGTTCGCCTAAACAAAATTTTAATTTTAATTTACGTAATCGTCCATCGCTGTTAGCACACCAGAGAAAACACAATCTAGATAAGAAGCAACGCACTGATCATGCACTATCCGTACTTACAGTAATAATCATAATTTCAGTGGCTATCAACTCTTATCATTCTTTCAGAAGCTCCCCATCAAAGGGAGTATTTTTTCATATTCAGTAGCCGAATTTTGTTTGTCCTTCTTTTGCCATTATCAAATTTATGCGCGAACCAAACGATGTACTACAGAAATGCGCAAATAATAGTGTATAAGCTTGTCGCGTTAAGTATCAGTAACGTCAACGTCAGCCTGTAATGCAAACATGCAAGCATTACGGCAGCAAGCAAGCAAGCATTACGGCAGTAAATGTGTGATTAAGGGCCCTTCAAATTTTTATTGTCATAATCGTCATAACATTAACGATACACCAGTGAAACAACAATTTAAAAAGAAATGCATCTCACTGGTTTTTCAGCAACTATATGTATTTAATAATATATATAGTAATAACGGTTATCTGCGAGTACTCTTGAACTTCATCCTATTCTCTGGCGTGAACGTTTCGGTCGGTCCAAATGCGCCTCAGGCAAATCCATTGCATTGGCACCCACCAGGTTGCGCTCCACAGTTAGCACAGCGGGGAAAACTCGTGGCGCAGCACGTCCACCACGCAGCGCATGCGATGGTGCAGGGTATATCTACCAACGAATCCGGGTTATCTCAAGGTAAAGCATTAATGTCAACATGATGCCGCATCCCAATACCGATTGCGGAGACAGCAACAAATTTTACAATCATTCTAAGCTATAATCAGTTTGTTGTACGCAGTAATAACTTTTTAGCTTTTATTCGCGGCTTACCAATATTTCCCCGTTTGGCGCGAGCGACATTCTGAGTGTCCACAGAAAGGTCACCGTCGACAGCCATTGCGTCGGTTGGCAGCATCATTTGCAGCAGAACGATGCTGACGCAGATGATGAAGGTCTTACGAATGGCCATTGTTCTGCAAGATGCGGAAATGTATTGTCTGCTTAAGGCAGTGCCACCTGATGTACGTACCGCAGTTGTCGTTCAAATTAGGCTCTAGATGTAAGGTCACAGCAACAAATATTTCAATGACTGGTTGTTCAAACTTTTGTCGTTTTACTAAAACACTATTTTTTGTGATATGCTTTGGGTGAAGTTAAGCGCGGTTTTATACGCGCAATTTTGGCTTGCACTGTTGTTTACTGTCATGTTGACATGCCATTCGTGTTGCAACTGCTGCCCTTTAGCTTTCCGTTCCAGGCAGTCTGTAATTCTTTTCATGGAACAATGACCGGAATTACCATGTTCCGTTTTCCAATCGCGATACGATTTTCGATTTTTCAGGAAGCCGCACACGAGCCAATAAATGATAGTCGAAACTTTAGCAGATACCTAAGTCGTACGTCTACATATGCAGAAACATTGCGTGGCAATGCGCCAGTAAACAGCCGACACCGCAGCCACCAATAGAACTTTGTTGCATCAGCACGACCGCTGTGCTATTATTATTTCAACTGATATGAGGAACATCCGTTGCAAAACGATTTTCTGCCAAGAACTTCGCCCATCCGGGGCGATAGGCATCATATGTGCAAGAAACTGACTCTGCGAAGTGGCTGCTTGCAAACGCTTTTGCTTTGCACTAGTAGTTAAAGGCTAATGCTAATAATGTCTGCTTGAATTTCACTCATTAGGTAGGCATGTAAGCAGAGTTCGAAGCTTTTTTTCGTGCATTTTAAATTACCGTATTCTCATATGTTTCAAAACATTTTTTGCTGTCTCAAGTTGTACTGCAGCCTATAATGTCATTTAAGTTGCATTTTGCGAATAAATCATTCTTTAGTTTATGCGAGCAATCGAATTGATTGGCAAAAGCCACCCAAGTAGCAGTCATTAAAGGCGCTAGTACTCGTACATTATTTGATAATCAGAATTTGAACAACTAGAAAATATTCTATATGAAATGACATGTTACATACCATGCCGTGTAGCGGTGTCGGTGTTGTAGTAGGTAAGGGTGTAGCAGGTGCGTGGTGTAAAGATGAAAGCTATTAACCTAAGACTGTCTGTTTTCGGGGTAAAAGATAACGGATCACGCACTCGAAGCAGCCGTAGCCTTTATCTTCATGAGCATCTAGGCTAGCAAATCTGTAATTTAATAGTAATAACATCGTGTTCAATAATAATAAATTTAATAGTAATAACATCTTTTTTGGAAACGGTAATATATACGGTTTTTTTATTATTCTGATGAGCATCGAAGCAGAAATTCACACTTCATGAATCAGACGTTTTTCGCACGCGGCTAAAACAGTGTCACAACTATTTCCTTAATGGATTTAGCTATTTCCTTAATGTCTGAAATTTGTTGTTTTAAGAATGGTCAGTCAACCTGCGCTGGTTTTTACTGGTTGGAGGAGCTTTTCCCGCCAAAATCCTCAGTATGTACAGTAAACCACGATACAAATTTGCACATGTCTACTATGAAATGTCAGAATTCGAATTTTAACTTTTACTATATAAGCCAGCAGCAATACGTAAAATTGCTGACTGATGAAGAAAGACACCCGAAGACGTACGTAGTCGTGAACATAGATTCATAAAATTATTAACTGAAAACAAACGGCGACCGGATGCAAAATATTTGCAACCACACCACCTTTACCGTATCCGTTTTATCTGCGATATGATCTACCGCATTCAGCGTCGGCGAAACACAGCTGTTACGCTCTACCTGCTACCATATGTTGTTTTCCCACGCTGTTTTATCTGATCCCCAATTCCGCAGTGATTGTTATAACGTGTAAAAAACAGTACACGGATACTCCCCATATGACCACATATAACGACGTCATTTCCTCCACCCAGTGTTTGTTACAAGTACTGGGCATTCACAAAGCACAAAGCTTGCTCTAGCCCTGGCAATAAAGGCAGTAATACGGCGCTGGAATACGATGGCATTCAAGTTATAGCTCTCTAGCGTCAGTTTATTCTGCTGTTTAGATACCGGTGTGTCGCACTGCAAAAATGGCGTCTCCCTGTGATACGTTAGATATTGTCCCACGAGTCAGCTGGGGAGCTCGCAACGCCAAGCCGGGTCTGGACAAGGCCGTGCTGCCTCTGGATATGATGGTCTATACGCACACGCACGGACCATCCTGCAGCGACCGGCATGCCTGCGCGGCGATCGTCAGGGAAGTCCAGGCCTTTCATATGGACCGCAAAGCCAGCCCCTTCTCAGATATCGGATACAGGTAAGGTTGTGTACAGTCTGTACCGTGATATTTCTTAAAGCCGGTCAATTTTACTTTTTATTTTAAACAACCGGTCACCCTAGTCTGTCTATTCCTCATTCCTTCTTCTTATTCAGCTAAGGAACTGGATATGGCCGCAAAAATTGCTTAGGCATAGCATCAAAACTTATACTTTCACTGTAGACGTACATGTTGTGTGCAGCTGCAGTTAGGAGTTAATTTTGTAAAACGCCACACGGATGCTGGTGTCCAAAATGTGAAGTATGAGTGCCCGGTTGTTGATAAATGTCTCAGTATAGAAGTAATTGCCGGTTAGCGTCGTTTTTACTTTGATATCTCTCGTTGTTGCAAAACTGACGAATTCTGAAAGCATCGCATTGCCAGTTGCTTAATTAGCGGTTTAGTATATTACCTTGACTATCATCATAGAAGCCAAGCAATCCTTTACTTTTTTTGTAAAGTGGCGGATCACGAGTGATGGTTCTCAGTGTTTTAAATTGAGTTTAGTTCATACGGTGTGGACCGGTAGCGCGTATCGATGCCGATACAGTAATAAATCTCTCCAAAAATCTACCTGCTTTATACGCTGACACTGAACAGAGATCAACGGTTGCTTTAGTTTCCTTATTGGGAGTGATGGTTCGATATTTGAAGGACGAGGATGGGCAATCCGACCTGCCTATGATTTACGCTATAACGGGAAAGGTTTTGGAACGGCATTTATTGGAAGATACGCCTCCAAAGGTCAGTGGTTGATTATCGCTGTTTTGAATTCGCTTGAAAATCAATAGCTTTTGCTAAAGGTGTCACAAATCAGCACACCGATCTCCTGTGCTTTCAAATTTTTTGAAACTACAGGAGGATCTGATAAAAGTTATCTTTTTTGTCTTTTTTAACTTTTCATCTCAAGTCAATACTTTCATCTTAAAGCGCAGAAAAAGCAGCGCAGCATGAACGGAAAACGTATCCGTTCAGGACTCTGCATCTGATCAGAGCTCTTGCGACATTTTTTGTGAGATTAGTGCGGATGATTATCACGTTAATAGTTATGTTGTTGGCTGACACTAAGAGGCAAAAGACCAGCTACCAGAAATGCATAATTTATCACTTCAAAAACTACGAACTGTGTAGGAAATTCGGTAACGTGCTTACAATGTTAGATGAAGTACTGATCACTGTAGTAAAACTGTAAAAAGGGATCGGTTGGCAAGCAAAATCAAATTCAGAACCACATTATGTAGGGTGCTGCAGTTATTGCTGATTTGCCATTTCAGACAACGCTTCCACGCCCTTCACCCATCACGCTGCCATTAGCGCCCATGACCTTTAAAATAATCAGGGCCTGTGATCACACGCATTATCCTTATTACTACATCATCCCCACCGTCCGCGGTAAAATCCATTTCCGCACGTTTCCGTAGAAATCTGTAGATATCTATAGTAGTCTTATTACTGCAGAAATTGTTACGGGATTAGCGACCGGAGTCGCCATAGGTAATTCTGCAGCAAATCGCTGATTTCACAGCCGAAGCTAACGGACACTTGTGTCAGGAACGCGCACTTCAGTTTTCCGCGGAGTCAGTGTCCCGAACGACAATGTCATATTACGAACGGGAGTCCTGGGCGGTGGACCTAAGTAAGAAGGTCGATCAACGGATGCGTGTACAATTAGCGCATGTCGTGATGTTTTTCGGTGTTAAAGCTGATAAACCTGAGGACCGGATTTCGGAAGGACAAAGCGGAATAGTCGTGAAAGGCTGGCTAATCCCCCGAAATCGCGGGAAACTCTTAGACCGAACACTGTCGCAGCGTCTTCCGGTGGCGGTTAAAATGCTGCGGGAAGCACATCCCGACCACCGCAGTATTGCCGGGTTCCTGACGGAAATGAGTATCCTTATGAAGGTCGGCCGTCATGTCAATATTGTCAATTTGGAAGGCGTGGTCCTGCGAGGTAATTCCGGGCTCTTTATTGCTCCGCTTGGAAATAATAATGCTCGTATGACATAACCAGTGGTCATGCTGGACAGGGCGATTGAAAATCGTTATGGAATACTGCGAGCTTGGAGCTTTAGACGGTTTCCTTAGAAAGCTAAAAGGCGCGACGACGGCGGAGTCTAAAGAAGTCGTTCGGCTGGTCAACGGTTACGTCGCCTTTGAGAAGAACCAAGATAACCAGCTTGTCGCCACACCGGATGTGACCGAGCTAATATGCATCGCCCACCAGATCAGTCGCGGCATGGCGTTCTTGTCAGAGAAGAACATTATCCATCGTGACTTAGCCGCGCGCAACATCGTGCTGACGGTTGACCGAATTGTGAAGATCTGCGATTTCGGCATGGCCAGGGAGCAGCCACAGTACGTTCTCGAACGAGATAAGGTAACAAAGGCAGCTTTACCAGAGATTATAGTTCCATGTTGTGGGTAGGAGCAGCCGAATCGATTACAACTTTTAATCGGGGAAACAGTTCAATTAGGCGTTGTGATGAGAGAAAAAAATCTACATAATATGTTGCAAGCGAAAGAAACTGACGTTTGTCACCTGCATGCTATTATTGACCACAGATGGCGGCAGAGTAAGGCGGTCGCCAGATCGCCAAAACGACAGTAGTAATCCGCAGTAGGCCTAAACCTGATTTCGCCTGCCTTGGCTAGACCTTCATGATTGCAGGCTTACAGCTACCGTTTCGAAATTTTGGTAACGAGACCTGGTATACAGTAGTCTCTTCTTTAGCACATCGAGTCCGTTGTATAATCGTCAGCTAAATGATCGTAGGTGCCGTTGCCGGTGTGCTGGATGGCGCCGGAATCCATGGTTCCCGGGCATGGTGTCTTCAGCACGCAGAGTGATGTGTGGTCGTTTGGTGTGGTCCTGTGGGAAATCTTCACCTTAGGCGATGTCCGTATACCACGGAGTTCTCCACGGGATTTTCTACGACGTGTTGTACGGATTTCTACGGAGTGGCGGTCGATTGAGGATTCCCAGCTTATGTCCCGAATCTGTGTACGTATCCTAAACCTACAAATGTTGGAAGCTCTATCTTGTGTGGTGTTTCGTTACCTTTTAAAGTGCTGGTGCGAATTCCGTGTTTGCTTTGTCTCAGAGCGGTGATGATGCTGGAATGCTGGGATTTCACCGCTGAGAACCGACCCACATTTGAACTGCTGCACCAGAAACTGGAGCAGTTGCTTCCGTGGCTCTTCGCAACCGCTACGTAATCTTTGATGCGGATAATAATAAGATCAATGAAACATTAGAAATAACTGCGACGGAAATTGATATGGATGGCAATATTGCCGAACTGGTCAGTGATGATTAGTGTGCGTGCTGTAGATCTGCGCTTGGACGACTGGCTCTGTTTTTCATTAACTGCAGCAGTATGACGCTGGCAAATTCACCGTGTGGTTACTTTACCCTCACCTAAATCACGAGACTTCTGGCTTGCTACATAATTCTATCAGTTTTCGTGCGTTTTGCTTGTGTACCGATCAACTGCCGGCAAATTAAATGGATGATAGTGATTGAATTTAATATTGTTACTAGTGTTTTTATTTATCCACCAAATGTCCGAAAAAATCGTTGGTGTTCACTGCTTTCGTGCAGAAATGGTGTTGCAGTGCAACTGAGTGCATACAGGTGGATGCAGGCGCGCAACTGCGGCATAAGCGCTACTCGTAGCTTGGCAGCTGGTTTCCTGTTCATTTTTCATACAATTAGAAATTACTTTAGCGGAATTTTAGCAAATTTTGACAATGTACTTCAATTTTAATTTACTAAAATTGCCAGATTGTACTAAAATTGTGTTTTTCAGCTAAACGCGGCAGCTGAGTTTCACAAATGGAAGACAATTTCAGTGAAACTGCACCTTATAATAATTTATTATGATCACAAGTTTTGTTTAATCAGTCACGAAAACGTTTATGTAGTTTGTTAAAATTTCGGCCCCCATATTAAATAATCACACAGCTGGAACTTCTCTGTAGAAAATCTTTCGTTTTTTTTGTATCCGGCTTCTAACGAATCAACATCCTCTTGCTTACAGCTAAAATCAGTTAAAACGTGGTTGTAAATTTTTCTCTGCCTTTTCTACGTTTTGGTCTCAGCACCCAGATAAAAAATTTTACAAATGTGTTCGACTTTAGTAATCTGTCATGCAGTAATGTAGCAAGGTCACGACTTTCGCAAACATGCTGGTGATGGGCACCGCGACATTTCGCCGCCGACAACTCGTCGCAGGGCGTTTGGTCTCAGACATTTCGCCGCAATGCCATCTTGTCGCGCGACGTTTCGTCGCAGGACATTTCTTCGATAGGACTTTACGCCGCACGACTTTCCATTGCATGGCCGCTTCGACGCAAGGATTTCTCGACGAAGCGACATTTCGCCTATCGATAAATGATTTACTGAGCTAAACAAAAGTGTCAGAAATGGGAAAACTAAAAAAAGCAAACGAAACCCAAGAAACCTGAGAAACCTAAGAAACCCAAGAAACCAAAGAAACCTAATAAACCAAAGAAACCAAAGAAAACCTTAGAAACCTAAGAAGCCTAAGAAAATCTAAGAAAGCATAAGAAGACCTAAAGATAGTCTAAGAAACATAAGAAAAACTTGAAACAGGCCTATAAAAACTGAAAATCTAGTGAGAATTAGTTTTGCGCGGTGAATTAGTTTTGCGGCGATTATTCGCATCGTTCGAAAAGTCCCGAAACGAAATGTCCGCGACCAGACGTCTTGCGTCGAAATGTCGCAAAGGTCAAATGTCTCAAAGCAGAATGTCCCAAGCCGAAGTGTCCAAGCGTTCGAATGTCCGGCGGCGAAATGTCTTCGCGGCGAAAAGTCGCGCGTCGAGTTTGAGTGCGGCAAAATGTCACACTCCCAATTGTCCGGGTGCGCTGGTGATGGGTACACACGTTATCCGCCATGGTTCTATGGTTTTAAAGCAAGTGAGCAAATGTGCACAGTTTTATTTGTTAGCGGTAGTATTTGAATCGCTAAATCCAGTTTCTGTTTATTTTGATCCGCAAAAAGTACATAGTTAACATGTGTTTTACTTTAATGAATTCAGTTGAACAAGGAACATGGCAAGCGCAAAATTATATGTGCCTTTTTAGCAATTTGATTCGGAATATTCCAATTAATTACTGTAATCTTTAAACTGAGAAACTGACTATATACGTACCGTACTTAGGATAAGCTGTTGGGATCGGGCGGTACTTAGCGAACAAAAAACCACTTATGCCGAGAAAAACATATAATATATAAACTAGCATAATAAAGTTGTTTAGACAAAATTATACACAACTAAATTCAGCGCAAACTATTTCGGATTGGGTTTTCCTGTTAACTGGCTAGTTAACCCTCCAGCGGGCGGTACCCGAGGAGTGCGAATTTCCTTATGAAAATCAGCATTTCCCTATGAAAAAATTCAATTAAGAAAGGGAATTTTTTGTGCGCCTCTGTTGACCATAGGTCAGCGGTGGTTACAATGTCGCCTGCAGAACGCCAATACCCATGAACGATCTACAGCATAAAAACGTTTAATTCTGCAATAATCAGGCAAACAGTTATTACGTAAAAGCAATAACTTTATTAAATAGCTAAAAAAAGTGCTTCAAAACATCAGTATAGAAGTGGTCAACACATTGACCACTGGTCAGCAAAAAATTAAAAGCTGCCAAAACCCGTTTCCATGGGTTTTGACCACTACTACCCAATAAAATACAAAGAACAAATTACGCTGATGATAGTTTGGCCGTAACGCTTATTACAATTGCATATTATGATTACAATCGCTTATTACAATTGTCATTGCACTTGCTGCATTTCGACCACTTTATGATGCTGCGTCGTCCGCGACTCCGCGGTTGCACATTTCTTGGGTTTAGCAGCAAGGGGCAGTATCAAAAAGCGTTGGGGATGGTGCAGCTGCAGTGGTGATAGGCGTAGATTCAGATATAAGCCGTCACTATGCACTAGCACTTTTTAAAACGCACAAGTAGCCGAAACGGCCCGAAAGTAACCCGTAAGGCTGCAGCAAAGGTCAGCATCCCCAATGGCAATGTGCACATTACAAGTTGCAATCGCTAAAGTTTGCAAATGCCAAAGGCTGGTCAAAATTAAAATTCTCATATTCTTTAAAGCTGTCGGGCTTTCTCACTTTGTTTCTCAAGCGATGCATCGCTAGCGTAGGAAGAAACGCGGCAGAGTGCAAAGTGCTATGCTGCCATTTTATATTATCGTACATACACTGTTTCCTTGAACGTTTTATTGTCCGGAGGCAGACAACGTTTGAGACAATTTTGCTTTTTCGCCGACCGTCCGGGGGACTGATCAGAAAAGGGGCTTTTTGCCAGCTTCCGACAATTGTAACCATGTGGCGCACGTTTGTGTACAAACCGACAAGAGCTTGATCCGATTACGTAATAAAGCGCTGCTGTCGAAATTGCACCCGCCCGTGCATTCAAAACCCTTCATGGGCAATGGCGTTTAGCAGGCGACACACGTTTTTGACGGACTGTGGTCGTCTATGGTTCAACCTACAGAACCCGTGTTAACCGTTTTTAGATTCAGCTCCCTCAATTGTACCTTGTTGATTTATCTCCGGTTTAATTAATCATTCACTAATTAGTTAATGGACCTACGGCAGCTAGGAAAGTCCAAAATTAACGATTTTCGCGGACCTGTCGTTCGTAATTAGCTTAAGACAAAAGTTTCAATTATGTTTTTACTGTTGCTTTAAAGTCCCATGTTGCTTACTACATTAAAGGAAAACGGTTAACTGTTACCGATCGCAGGGGAAAAAATCCCAAACACCTTGTCGCCTCCTGAACGCCAATGCCCGTCAACGGGTTAACAGAAAAACCAATCCGGAATAATTTGCGCTGAATTTATGTCAAGCAATTCATCAATTACCTATAGGTAATTGACAAACTGCGTAACACAGCGACAGATACCAGCCGGTATCTTTGCGCTTGACGCTTTGGATCGCTTTGACGCTTTGGATATCATGGTGAAGGAAGGTCTTCTCAATCCGTCGCAGTTGATTCTGCAGTGCCTATTTCATGGCTTCGATGGAGAAATCGGTGGTAGGCAAATGCACATTGCGGCTGGATGTTTCGAATTTCTCTGCCATGTTTGGCATCTTTTTCTGTTGTAACGTGTAGTTTTTATCTGTCTGTCGACTTTGGAGAAAGGTTAGGCAGCTTGTAGGTGCAGATACGGACGTACTGTCACCTTAATTACCAAAGAATTATTTAATCACTTTTTTTTACAACAACACCACAATTTGCAACGAGGATCCATATGCTGGTCAGCAATTTCTTGCACCAGAATATACTGACTGGTGAACACAAACATTCCGCAAAAATCTAAACTTATTTATACACACTGACACACACATACACCAAATGGACACTATACAGGCACACTAAACAGTAAACTTACCGTATACTACTATTAAATATTTTCCGGCCTTGTATATTACTC